TAACTTCTGCCGATGTCTTCAGTATCCTGAGCACTCAACAGTTTCTCGATCAGGTAGAACCGCGACTCGAAGGACAGCTATTTGTCACGATGGGGGAGAAATTAGGCGTCGAACGAAAAGGAGACAAACAAAGCTAGGGTTCCCTCAGCGCAAACACAGAGGAGATTTAAAGTTTTCCTCGAAAAATGCTTCAGACGAAAGCGATGAAGATTCCTATTACGGTCATTGCGGACCACAAATTTTCCCTTCCGCTTCAGGGGAACTAGACTTGGCATTTGAAAAATCGATGAAGCGATTTCACATCATCTTGAACAGACTTCATCCTTTACGAGACAGTGGCAATTTTATGGACTTTACCAGCGTCGCAGATAGTATCCTGATGAACAGCAAAGGTGATTTAGAATTAGAACTCTTAATCCTTCTCGAGAAGAGCGTAGTTGTCAGTTATCAAAATGACTTGGAGAACGCGGAAGCGATGGTTCGGGAGGTGTTGAGTAAGTTAAAAAATTCTGAGGCTAGAGTTGAAATGAAAGACTATCTTGTGACTATGGCCCATATTTACCTGACTGGAACTTATCGACGGCAGTATAAGCACGGGAAAGCAGATTCCACCATTGCTGTCGCCGAACAGGTATCACCCAAATCACAAAATGAAACCTCTCGTTTCGTAAAGGCATTGATACTCTATGAAATGGCAAGCAATTTGACCATCTATATTAACTCTGTTCCACTCCATCTTTCTGCACGCAAAAAGCTCGTGGAACAATCGAAGCACTACATGAAGCAATGCATAGACCTGAGCATAGAACTTGACGGAAACAGCCTGTACATTAAAAAGCATCACTTTGGTCTACTCAAACTCGCCGCACTGGACCTAAATTGTGGAACAAGGGCAGCTCGGGAACAAGTTACAAGCGATAAATGTATTGCAGATGCCCAAACCTGCCTCCGAGCAGTACAAGAAAAATATGAGAATGAGATGAGCGAAGGACAGAAAATACAGTTCTTAGGGGCGAAGTCAGACCTAAATTATAGGCTAGGTGATCTGGAGGCAGCGCAGAGTGAGGCCACTCAAGCACTGCAGTTGGCTGAAACACTTGGATTCAACCTAGAAATCGTTCCCTTTCGGGAGAGGTTAGAGGATATCTCCAAATTAATAACATCAACAGAAATGATGTTTATGGAACCATCCCATGAAGAAGTATGTGTGAATTCTCTGTCATCCAGCTCTGTGCCACTCAATAGGAATTCTTCTTGCTCCTCAGGATGTGAGATGGAATGAATACAAGGTGCTTACACAGGTTTATCTATTGCTTAACCAGTGTATTGTGCATTTTCAATATCTGAGGGCTCCTTTTTTTAATTTCAAACTATTGTGGCAACAGAAATTATAGGTAATAAACTGAGCCAAATATGATTTTTTGATCATTCTGTTACCAGTGAGAGGGTTTGATTTAAGCCTTGAATCCCATAGAGTGATTAGCATATTATATCTTCTTACAATATCTCTTCTGAATCACTCCTTTATGAGAGTAAAGGAAATGATTACCAAATAAATTAAGAAGCTCTAGGTTTTTTAAGCAAATTTTCCTTATCAGCACCTTACTAAACCTTTAGCAAACAGAGTGGAGAATAGGCTCAAGTTGTTAAGAGCACTAGAAGTACAGTGCTAATTCATGTTTGACTGCTAGGAAAACTATGACTGTGTATTACTGCTGATAGGCTTATTTAACCCTTTAACTCCCATGAGTGACCAAGACAGAATTTCTCCTTACAATACCAATAAAATATCAACCAGATAAGCAATGAGAATAAAGAAAAATATCAATTTGGAGATAATTAGTTGATCTAATACTGAGTTCTCTGAACTACCATTATAAGAATTGTATGGTTGACAGTAAGGAGAGTAACAAATTTAATCTGGGAGTTAAAGGGTGAAACAAGCACAAAGTCAGTAAGTGTGAAACCTTGAAGCCTTCTCCCTAGCCCACAAATCAAGAGAGGGCAAGGGAACATTTTCCTTTCCTCCACCTCTCCCTTGCTTATAATTTTTTGTTCCCTTTACCCTTTACACCCAAACATCAGTATGCATATTCTCCATACTGTTCTCTATACATTTCATAAGGTTCTGACAAGGAGAATTATTCAGTCATCAAGGACTTGTTTTGTTGGTGATCATTTCCTTCATTCTTGTGACCTTGATTTTTGAGTTAGGGGTGATATTGTAGAGAGAAATCAGATGCTTATCACCCCAAGAGGTCAAAGAGTTAAAAGGTCTTAACTTAACATTTCGACTTGTGCTAAAAGGAAATAAATAAAAAAAAAAGTTTTGCTGATGAGGGTTTTTATTTTCATGTAAATATGACTCATTACCAAAGACAAGTTTAATTTTGAAAGTGAGGGCTCTTGAAACCTAAATATTGTCTTCTTTTGAGCTTGGAAAAGTTAACTTAGACGTCCAATTCAAGGTGAGGTTTGTAATTGGTGATTACTATTAAGTGATCAACATGAACAGACCTCCCGTCATCACTTGAAAATGATGACATTTATTATTGTCAGTAGTTTTAGAAGTAGGGGAGACAAAGTATTTATACAAATGCAAATTATGCATGGATCATTTCAAAGCTTCAAAATTCAACACTTCAGCAGCCTGGATTTGATGGTCATTTTTTTGGTTAAAGGCAAAATCAGCGATCATGACTTGCTACCCATTGACCAAGCTTTCAAAATAAGACCTTGTTGACCTAATCTCCAGAGCCATTCACTCACAAAAGGGAACTCTTGATATAACAAAAGATGTTCTGCCAGACTTGATGGACAATGTATGTGTGGTTCAAATTACCCACTCCAGCTAAGCAAGGTTTAAATTCCCCAATCCCCAGGAAATGCTCAAATGCCAGTGGGTTGCCAGCTAGCAGGGGGTGGGGATGTTAAAGTTTCAAATTGATTGGTGCATTGGTTTAAATGATTAGAATAATAACCCAGCTTTCACTCAGGACTCTTCTCAAGAGCAAATTTTCAGTTGTACAGATCGTACAAAGTGCATATGCTCAGACCATTTTTGCAGGGAATGTGGCACAAATAAATTTTTGAAATCTGCAAAAACTGATCAAACCAGTTTTATCATTACAAATATGACTGAACTAGCAAGCATCTCCTGTTTTTTCCCTCTACCCTACCTGAGAAAGGAATGGAAGGTGTCACTCTTCTGAGTGTTATTCTGTTGGCTAGGTGAGAGGTGACCATAACATCACCAGGAGAACTAAAGAAAAAAAATTGTAGTTTTTCTTTAATATTTGCTATGGAAGCAAACTAATCATCTCCATGTATTCTACTCAGACAAAGAACCACAAGTATATTCCATTAAATGTTTCTTGCTTATATGCGATTTGTTCAAATACATCATGTGACTGGATGTACACCAACTAAAACTGAGGAATATGAGGTGATATCCCAAGAATGATATTCCCCTGTTTCATTTCACCTTGCATGAGATGTGATGAAAGTCTTCCCTTTACCAAGTTAGCTCAAATTGGGAGAGAATTTGAAAAGTCTTCAAGGGTAAGTCATTTGAAAACATCAAGTTATGTGTGATATCCAAATGGTAAATATATTGGAAGGATAACTTTAACTTATAGCTTCCAACTGGCTCGAAATTACCCTCCTTAATACTTGTGGAGAGACATTAATTGTCCTTATCAGTTCACAGTTTTCTTCAAACTTTATTCTAACAAAAAATTGCTTCTCAGAACAGGTTATGTCCACAGAAAAATATCTGAACATATTTTTACCTCAAATGGAGTCTATTATCTATGTACATAGTCATTCAAATTTGAATTTTACGCGATAAATTATACTTGAAATGTCGGCTATGAGGAAGGCATACCAGTTGGCTTTAACCCTTTACACCCTAACATCAGTATGCAAATCCTCCATACTGTTTTCTATACAATTCCCAAGGTGCTGACAAGGAGAATTTGTTTATCAATCAAGAGAATATTAAGTCAGTGATCATTTCTTTTATTCTCATGACCTTACTGTGCAATGTAGCAGTTATACTGTTGGGAGAAATTAGATGCTAGATACTCAGGGATTAGAAGGTTAATTGTTTATGTATGTGTTTGAATGGTTATAAACTTGAAATAATTATGAGACAAATCCTGTGATAATTTATGAAGCCAAAGTGGGATTCACACTTGTAACTGGGTTGTACAGTATGTCCAATATACTAAAAAGTATATTTTCATTGTAAAATTTGGCTGAAGACAAATTTCCGCATGATGAGTGGTTGAAAATTCTTCCCTGAACAACTAACTTAACCCATCAGAAATCGATGCTTTTAAAAGTTGAATCAATATAGGTAATAACATGATTTCATGTGAAATTTGGTGTTAGCAAGAACAAGTAAATTTTTCAAAGACAGTAAAATTGCACAAGCCGTTTACAAGAGCTTATTACACCAAATTGCAAGGGAAATCATGTTGTTACTTGTTGAAAATGTACATGAAAAAATACATCACAAAGAGTCAAAACAGAAAAAATTTGGTGCTCACCCTTCATGCAATTTGTGTGTTATGTAAGAATGCTCTTATTTTCAGCCAATCAAAAGCTTGTAATTTTTGCATGTACATTATTACAAAATTGAAATAGGTTCTTTATTCTTTAATCTACACTTAACACACTGGGCTGGCCTGCATATAGCCAAACTAATCAAGGCAGGCTAGTAAAATATTGAGATATCATAACACCCTTAGTTAGTGTACACCACACAGGTTAATAGTGTGTTTTGCCCTATGAGTGGCCTGTTTGGAAGTCATGAATAGCAAGTACTATTCACCTACATACAAGCAGCTGAGGAGACAAAATTGCATGTCAAGAGTTTATTTTCCAACCTTTTTTTCTGGTATATTGACAAAACTACTTTAATTTTTTTGGTTTCTGTGTGGTATATACCAAAAATTAATCACCTCATTATCAGTGAAAGTGGTGAATAGTTTTGTATTATTAGGTTATGATATTAGTTAAATTGTAGCTAAAAGAATACAAAGGGATTTTTTTAACTTTTGTTTTTATTTTATAACTCCCAATTCTCTTTTTCCTATACCCAGTGTTTTGCAATTGTTTAAAGATAATACCTAATATTTTGATTACTTTTAAACATGAAGTTGTTGTAACAAGGAGATTATTTAACAACAGCATTTCTCCAAACAGGAAAAAAAAATTCCATGAGGATTGTTAATTCTGAACTTTGCATTATCATAGTATTTTAGGAGGGCAACAACAACACGAAACAACACAACTGCGCTTGTTTCAACGTTTGTAGAAGATTGCGTTACGACTGGATTGAAAAGAATGAAGTCACGCAACAGCCGTGTCTAGTCACGCAATAATGAGAAGTATGAAAGAAAGTGATGGTTGACTCAAGTCTTAAAAGTGATGAGATATTCCGGATAGCATTGCGCGTCTCGAAATACAACGAAAACGGATGGATTTTCCGTGTTGTCCACTACAGAATCAAAAAGAACTTCTGGTTCATGACTGGATATCGCGGGAGGAACAAGTAGCCCTCTCTGTCCTAAGGTGTAAAAACCCACAACGACTCGAGCCAGATACATGTGTCTCAGTCCATTTTTATCTGGGGCCGTGTAGCCCTTAGAATAGGACGCTCTAGATGCGAAGTACACCCCATTGCCAAAGGCCGCTCCTGAAACAAAACAAACAGAATTGAAATTTAAAACCGGCTAAATCTGACCACAATGGATTAAAATCTCCAAACTAACGCTTTTTCAAGTCTGCTTACCACTTTCTCACGCCTAGCAAGAATAATTTGAGATAAAGTCTAAGGAATACAGAAGAAGAAATGCCCATGTGATTGATGGTTTTGTTTCCGAAAACGTCCGGTTTGAGAAGGGGGGGTCTTGGGAAGGAGGTGGTGTCGGAGCTCTTCGGAAATTCTTGCAGTCTTTAGCTCGAATATGAATATGGGTCCTCTCTGAGAAATTATGGAACTCAGTCAAGATCAAAATCTGGTGCCCTTAAAGAAAATAAATGACATACAATCATCAAACTAACCGTGCATCGTTCCAGAAAAGGTTCTGTTGAATCCTTGCCTGTTAATGGAGTTAACATTCGAACCTTTCGTCCCGTGAAACAGTTGTAACTCGTTCCTTACGTATCGATCGAATCGACTGTTTGTCCGCTCAACCTCCTGCTTATAAGCGATGTACTGCGTGTAAAGACATGGATTCTGAACACGCTCGATGCTGACTATCGTACCCGGGCCACCAGTACTATAAAACGTGTTGGCAACGCTTTGGTACTCCATGTCTGCGGAAGGGGCAACGGTAAACATGGCAACTGGAAATGGTTTTCCGTCTGCGAAGAAAGGTTGCGTTGACCAAGAATCTGGAGTGACAACACCTGAAAAAGTAGTATCTCTTATAGTTTACAAATACATTCCATGTTGCCGTGCGTGTTTTCAATAATAGATCACAGATGACATCAAAATGCGATAAGAACAACGAAGCAGCGCACAAGGCGTAGCCGAGTGTGTCACTGATGTCCTTATAGCCTTTTGACCTCTCCTGAGTCCCGTTACTGTACAGACCTACGGCAAAATGGGTACTATTTGCTTTATATGATAACAAAAGGCAAAATGGCGCCGATAAGAAGCTATCAAAATGCGTTTCGTGACGAGAACAAACAATGATTGCGCAAGACTACCTAGCACCCACAACATAAAGCAGCTAAACCCTTTAACTTCCGTGAGTGATTAAAATGTAACTTCTCCCTATAATATCCATACATTATCCAGCAAACGGGTGATGAAAATTATCAAACTTATCAGGAAGAGTTTGCAATATTGATCTAAAGCCAAATTCTTGAATCTAATTTACAAGGAAATGTGTTGCAGCTAGAGGGGAGAATTAATAATCAGATCTTGAGTGTTAAAGGGGTAAGGAAGAGAGCATACCGGTTTCTGTAAATAACTTCCGACTCAGCCGGAGTGGTTGGTATTTCATGTCGCTCGACACAACAGTCATGGACTTAAAATTCACTTTGTAAGTGTTATTACTCATACAGAATGCAACTCCATCTTGTTTCTTAGTCCACGCCTCTTCTATCATTGAGCTGACTACCTCGTTGACAGGAATTTCCTGGTCAAGGATAACATAATGCCACCGCATGTACTGCGTCATCAATTTACGTTTTTCAAGTACTTGCTGATTCTCGATGAGCTGATCGATTTTCTGCCGAATACAACTCACAACCACACAAACATCGTCTGAATTGCCGCCTACTATAAGAGTTCTGTTTTGCTCATCTTTTTTAATATCCGTGTCATGTTTTGATGCCACGTGTCGAAGCCACGCCCAGCAGCTTTGAATCAACCGAGGAATCTCTTTGTGAGTTACTTTTTGTACTGTGCAATATTTCATAAACTTGCCACGCAAACTGTTTATGACAGTGGTAACGCACTTCCTATCTTTGCCATACACTCGAAACTCTGCCGTCTTAGTCGGCGGAGTGTTTCCGCACTCTTTGGGAAATTCGACCACCGAAGGTGTCATCTCAGTCATACAGTCTTCTTCCTCAGCAGGCATAGAAAGCGGGGAAAAGCCCTCAAGGGCTTGAATGGGGGCGAATTCGTTTTTCAACTCATCGCGAAACGTCGACAATAGATCTGCGTTGAATAGGACAATTCTTATCTCTCTGATGGTCCGTGGGGGCGTCTCAAGAAAGCTTAGAATTCCCCTTGAAAGAACCCGGGCCGAGTTTGATGGTGACAGTCCCATGGCCCCCGCGCCTATCGCTGGTAGAACTATAGAACCCATTCCTCTTTCGTCTGCGAACTTTAGACCCATTTTCACTCCCATCTGAAGATCCAGGATCTGCGGAGAGCCTGGGTAAGCGATGACATGTATTATGTTCTTAGAGGGGAGATCCCCACCTCCTGTCATTACTATGTTGCCGGGAAGTTGCGCACCATCTCTGGAGATGATGCGCTTGCACTCATTTCGGACAGTAGGGCCAGCAGCATGGTCGAGACTTTTGTTTAACTGACCACCTTTCTTCAGCTCCAGTGTATTTGTATTTATGATCAACAAAGAGTCAGTTGTTTCTTTCGTCACATCGCCCATGCATACGCATATCTGCGTGTTCTTAATCCATGTGCTCTCACTGCGATCCGCTGACAGTTCAGGGAAGGTTCGTTTCCAGCTCCTTTCGCGCCAAACCTTCTCGTCCACAATTTTTGGAGAACCCATCTGCAAAGTAAACACCGTCCGTAGTTAATAATCTTCCATTCTTCAATAGCTGTTTGGCACCGTGTTTTCGCGACATGGGCGATCATCTACAATAAAGCTAGGGTGATGTGGTGTGATGTTAGCGGTTAGTGCTGTGAGAATGGGTCTGGTCCCATAGGCGGTTTACTTTTTTTTGTTTTGCTTTATCTTTTTTTTCTTGTTTTCTCTTTAGGTGTTCTTAGGGGAGAATGACACCTGAATATCACAATGCGCCTCTCCACCCACGATTATAAACAGGCACCATTGAAGTGTGAGGGTCAAGGAAATTGAGGAATGAGGGACGAAGGAAGGTGAACTTGGGGTAATGGTGATACTTACAGTCCCTTGTTGCTATAGAAACCGAGATAGATCGTGATTTCATGACCGCTTGTGTAACGAAGATGAGGGAACTTTTCAGCTTGAAAGCATTAAGTAATTCTTTTGGAAACCAGCATATATTGTGAACCCAATGAGGTCCACTGCTATGACGGATCCTGTACCTCAAAATTCGTAAGCAAAATTTGGATGAATATCTGAGGATGGGGAGCTGCGTTCTATATTCATCTTTATTGATGGCACATCCCTCCTCCATCAATATCCTCTACACCCCTTCCCCCTCATAGTGTGTTGTACTAATTCAATTTATATACTAACATGTGTTTTGAAGACATCCGAGATCTTCTCAAACTCAGCTAAGGCACTGTCAAAGCAAGTTTCGATCTCGTCACTGGAGGAAGCCTGTGTCTTGTCGTCAAGTATCTCTATCAAACAAGAATGTTTCCTCTCCACAGAAGTCATTACGTGCTTTCCGATGCCATTGGAGTAAAACTTCCGCAGACCTGGCTGTTTCAAACGCACGGTTGCAACGATTACGTGACTCGCGACCTCAGCGATGAGTGCGTGAAAAGTGCTCGACCTTTCTTCCGTCACGCTCGTCATTGTGTCACGGAGTTGATCCTCATCTTTAAACCGCGCCAGGTTCTTTTTTAGCTGTTTTAGAGTTTTCTTGTGGGATGGAAATTCTCGTTGACCGTACTCTAACAGATACTTGTAAATAGCGCTTTTAGTATCGTCCAGTTGCCAGTGCATATCAGAAGCTGAACCCCATTTCACACAAAACACCTCCTCTAGCTGTTCTTCAGCTACTGGTTGTACTGGCTGAGGTAAACTGCTTGGAGATGTTGCTGCGTCTAAGGAAATACAAAAACAGAAATTCAGATAATGAGATCATTTTTTTCATTCGTTGTAATACTACTTCTAAGCAAAGAAAAAGCCGGTCAAGCCTTGACCCTTTTTTCTGGCCAATGAAACTTTACTTCCTTGACCCGCCCATGAGGAAAGCGTATTGGACTCGGCATCGAAAGTCCTGGGTTCGAGCCGTGCAAGGGTCAACGTTTCTGTTCGTGGACAAGACAGTTAATTCGTTAATTTCCTTTCTCTTGCAAGAAGTACAAACGAATACCAGAATACTTGATGACCTGCACACACTCGAGGGTTTACCCACCGACAGCTACTTAAGCTCCTTAACTGTAGTTAAGTGTAACCTGCCTACCTACCTACCCCTCCCTCCTCAGTTTAAAACCTACCTTCTTCAACGGTACAATATATTTCCGAACCTACGCCCCAGTCTTTCCTATGCACCTCCTCGGGTTGTTTCTCAGACAGCGACTGCAACATCTCAAATAACTCATGAGAAGATAGAGCTGCAGCTAAGAAAAGATACAACAAATAACTTGGAGAAAGTTACTTATATTTTTCTCATTCATGTGGATTAACTCGTTACATCCCTTTTCTCCCTACTGTTCTCTGCTTATTTCCTGAGACGCTTACAAGGAGAATTTGTTTAAAAAATCACAAGCTCCTTTAGTTGGTGATCATATCTTTTATTCTCCTGACCTTAATGTTTGATTCAGGAGTGATATTGTAAGGAGAAATTAGATGCTCGTCACTCTTAGGAGTCAAAGGGTTAAACGAAGACTTTACGGGTGGAAAGCAACAAATCACTCGAGTACGCATTTGTGTTTCCTACAACTGAAATCTTTTTGAACAGAGCCACGTACCAAAAGCCTCTGGTTAAAACTGTCTATTCATGCGTGAAGCCCCCAAAACGAAAGCTAAGGTTTTTTGTCTTTTTTTTTTTTAAGGGGGGGGAGGGGGGAAGGGGGGAAGGGGGGAAGGGAGAAATCATGGTGTTTAATTTTCAATGGGAACGGAGGGAGGAGTTAGTCGTCACCAACAGAGTATAAGTTCAGACAAGTTCTAATGCTCTCATACCATGAATGTTCTTAGGTAAAAACAAGGATTTGAAACAATGCCAAGTAAGTGAGTGGGTCCGCTGTAGGGCACTTTTCCAGAAAATAGAGCCTCTCAATTGCTCAGTCAACGGAAAGTCCAAGCCGTCGTTGAAAAAAAAAAAGAGCCAACAACTTAATTAATCACGTTAAAGAAGCCATTTTCACTTTAGACATCTTGAAATCTTCGTTAAATATCTATGGTTTCTCCTTCTCTAAACAACAACCGTCATTGATCCACTGAGCAAACCAGACTTTGTACTTATAATCTTAACCGGAAGAGCAACTCATTGTTATGATAGTTTGTTTTTTTTCCTTTGTTTGTTTTTCTGGAGTCTTCTCTGACATCCGCGTGACGCACCACCTCCTCCACTGACAGTGATGTTATTGATCATATAAATAAGGCTTGAAAACTTGTAAAACTCGCACGGTCATGAAAGTTGCTAAGCATTTCAAAGTCTAAATGTAATGTTACATCTAAGATTACATATAACATCGATATCATTCCGAAAATCAAGGAAAGTTATGCTTTGCAGCTATCAAAGCTTTTCATGAGATTTCGAGGAAATGAAATGAAAAGTGCATTTTAAATTCCATTGATAAATCATGGTTGACACACGAAAAGCAAAAAAAAAAAAACCCGGAATATCAAAATATGTAACTGGTCGGATTCCAATGTCACTGTGAAAATTTGTTGGTAAGTTGTGCTCTTTCGCCTACGAGCGACTCTTCCGCTTCTCTAGTGCTCTTCTAATACCGCAAGTGCATCTACACCCCGACATTCGCAAGCTAAGCATGAATCAGTTCTTAATTTTCGATGAAAATCTGGTTCTTCAAACTAGTTATCCTGGAAAATTCGCTTACAAAAAGAGAATCAAGAGAAACCAAGTAAAATACCAAAGTTTCAGTGGTGGTCTCAGCTTAACAAAAATCAAAGACTTGGAGAAGAGTTTTGATCTTCAAAATGTTGTTAAAATTCCATTTTTCCTCTGAGCGACTGCAACACTGCTATTTTTGAAGGACAGATGACCGGAAGGAGAAGAATCAGTTGAGAGGGGGTCAATTTTCTTCATTAGTTTCTTCAACTGAATTACGGAAGTTTGGCAAAAGGAACTCTCTACAAAACTGGACGGGAACTTCGCAACGAATTGGAACTGCGCACGTCGTGATGAAGGCTCATTTGCTAAAACGGTGACCCCTTAAAAGCATGTGATCCACGAACGAAGGGACGCAATGGCTTTATGGGAATGCTCGTCCAAATACATAATTAGTGATGCACATTCCTTGTTCTTTATGAAAAACCTTTGTTATGACCGTCCTTTTCTTCCACAAAGCGAACATAAGTTTCATAATTCACCACGTGTTAATGGTGGCTATTGTGTACGTGTACCTAGTGAGCCTTGAGTTGTCATCGTTTATTACAAACGCATATTTTTGTGTCAACTTTTTTGAAATCAAATGTTTACACGCAACCATAAGAAAATAGAGAGACAGACCGTCTTGGCTCAAACGAAGCTTATCAGTAGGACAAGCAAGCGAGCTATGTTAAACATAATTTTAATTTACAGCGGATTTCGGCTCTGGTCTTACGTTTCAAAGGTATATGGCGAAGTCATTTCATGCATTCTTTATACATATTTGGTTATTTGCGTTTTGAGAAACCACAAAAATAAAAGTGGTAGTAATTATCCGATTGAGCGAGAACGCTTTGAAGTGTCACTTCTCTGGTATACGGCATAAATTAGGTCAAAGACACACGCAATCGTCGCGCAATCTTAGTCCCCTGCTAAAATATCGCTCAATGGAAAAGAATCAATGACGACAGTTAAGTCCAAAAGGGGAAAGATTTTCTGATAATCCCATACTATTCTAAAACAAAGTCGTAGTCTCAAAGATATTCCATCGTTTTCTCCAGTTTTATTTTTCCAAGATGTGTCTGCATAATGAAGTACGGGGTTGTGCGGAAATATTGCCCAAGGTGACCAAAACGGATTCCAATCGACTACCTCGAGAATAATTCGACTGAATCTAATTTTTTTGAAGAGGTGTGAAACGGTTCACAGAATATTTTACGTTTAATATTAATTCACTTACTCATTTCGGCGCTCTTGGTGGTGATTCCTCGATTATTCTCCCAACTTCCTCGTGTCCTTCGAATGTTAGGGATTCTCCGTAGCAAGCACTACCGACGTGTTTCTCCCGGTACATCCCTTGAGGGAGATATTGCACTTCCAAAATTAGTGCGCATATACGTTCTTCACAACCCAAGCGACGGATGCCATCACCTACGCAAATTAAATTTCATAACATCAATGAAACATCATGCAAGAATCTTGACACCTACGAACCAAAATCCTATAATGTCGCCCAAGTGTGTTTACAATGGTTAAATTTAGCTAAAGGACCTACGCCGAACTTCGCGATCCCACATAGAAAACAATAAACTTCATCCTAAGTACATGGAAGATTCGTTGCAGAGCTTGAAAGAGCGTTTAAAATGTTATTCAGTCGTGACCTCTCAAGTCTTGTTCAAACAGAGCGGAAGTTGCTTCGACCAATTAGGATTCTCGTCTTAAGAGTGGGTCGATCGTGAGCCAACCAATAATCGAGATGTGTTTTCACTTATGATAAGTGTTAATAATTGTGATTATATCGCTTGTATGGAATGATGATGCTGGAACATGCTTTCAGGCTCTTTTTACGCAGCTTTACACTGCTTAAAAGACCTATTTTCAATCATGACTTCCTACAAATGCGCAGACCGCGCGGAAGAATGAGGTGGCAGTTCCACCACAAGTTCCGCGAAATTTACAGGATTAATTTTGAATGCAGGGTATTTAAGCGATAGTGAGCCTAAATATAAAAAAAAACTTAGACTTAGACATGAATAAGACCAGAAATAACGGAAATCCTTCAGTCTTTTGCTCGTCTGGTTAAGAGAGATTCAAACAGGGAAAGCTTATACACCGCGTTTGTCACAAGCGTTGTGGCGTGTTGCGTGACGTTGATTAACATCACGATGAAATTTTGATGGAAAGATCCAAGGTCCGAGATTCCGGCGAAAAGGGTAGCTCATCTTATCGCCCGCCCAGGATATCATTTCATCAGCTAAGCATAAATTCCGGCTGGGGGAAAAAAGACACCCGCTCACTTGAACCAATGCGATTTGCATTTTGGATTTGACGGTTTTGTAGCGTAAATACTCCCACAGATCACAACGATTTTTCCAGGTGCAGGACGTGGGTTTTGATGGTTGGTGTTTCCACGATGAATTTCATCCAGAAAATATGAAGAATATGTTTACTAAGAGGGATGATAACTCACCTGAGTTAATCCGAGAAATATTTATCGAGGGTTATGATTATCGGAGACAACTGAGAGAGTGACGGTGCAAATTACTATCATGTTTTCATTATTTTACTTGTCAGGCGCAAATGAGCAACTCTTTCGATCATCATGAACACTTGTAAGTTGTCCTTGTACTGTGTATGTACAAGAAACGCCAAAGAGATTAGCGTGTAGTAAAAATCAGTTTGAACAGGAACAGGAATTAAGAAAGAGGTCATCGCTGACAAATGATTGCAACCAGTCAGTTTAGTGCCATTTAGCATTGAGAAAATTGATTGATTAAACGGACTGGACCGAAAAGCTACCCAAAGCGTGACGTATGGATGATTTTGCGACCACTATACAAATATTTTTCATATGACTGTCACATTAAGAAGAATTGTTGTAACACTCTATTATTGCTAAGATACGGGCTACGTAATTCTATTATTTCATAACCATATTTCAGAATAATATTTATAATCTGTGCATTATGACTAATACTGCTAAATCACATAATATTTTCGTTCCCCAGTTCGAGGGTTTTTTTTCTTCTTAAATCTGTCATTTCGGTTGTCCATTCTCAGCGAAAATAGAATTATTACGTGCTCGCAACTTGAAAAAAGAAAAAAAAATGCGGAAAAAACACTTCCGTTCTGATAGACAAGCGCCTTTCATCGGCTTCTACGGTTGCAACTGCTTTAAATCAACTGAAACATCAATACTGTTCTTCATATCCCAGGTGCTGGAACAATTAAGTATATTGCTTCCCTGTGTTTCCCTCAAACAGCTGGCCCTCGATGAAATGCAAGTCCGAATTCCTTTCTGAAGAATCACAGTCATGCTGAATTAGTAGTAAAAGGCCGATGCAATAGATGAGTCATCAGAAGCCCTCAAAGGTCAATGTGCGGCTTGAAATATTAAAATGTGGTCAAAATCTCGATTCACCGATGAATAGTCCTCCCTAGTAGTTGCTGTACATTCCCACCCTTCCATTTCGTTAAAAAATCACAATGAGTTTGAAGTGTTGTAACAACATAACAATATCTTCTGCAACACAACGGTCACTAGCCTCTTATCATGAAGCTTGTCTTGAAGGCGCTTTATTTACGCGGGCCCGCGCGAGTGATTAAGATCATCATGCCTGCTTCCTCTCGAGAGGCTGTCACGCGCGTTATCAATAGACATAAGAATGTTTTATCAACAGACAGAATGTTCTGCTCTGACGGCCAAACACATTATTGAATACCAAACAAATACCTATGCCAAACATTCAAGCAAATTGCTCAGTAAAGTTGGAGCAAGTTGAGCTTAAGTGTAAAGAAAAATTGTCGCTCATATACAGTAGAACCCCGCTAATTCGAACTCCAAACATAAACAAATGGTTCGAATAAGCGCGGGTTCGAGACAGCCGAGAGTAAATGACGGAAAAAAATCGGGTCAAGAAAAATCGAGTCTTATTCAGGTTATCGGGGGGCTCGAGTTACCCGTGTTCGAATGATTAGCTGGGTTCTATATCACGGTCGATCTATACGAAGTTTCAACACCCCCCACACGGGCAACCCCCGGGCAACCCACCCGAAATTTTGATGGTTTGTCCAAATTCCGACAAATTCCCGCCTCCCTATGGCCAAAATTGCGTTCAAATACCCTACCCAAGTGCCGGGTTGATCAACTAACTGCCTCGCCCTTGGAACAAATCTTAAAATAATGAGGAAAAAAAGGCAACAGCGGTGAATGGCCGTATTAAAACTGTCATATTCTATGACATCGACAAGGCAGTTGTTTCTCATTCTGACTGGGTTCTAGCACAAGGTTTGTATCACCTCTTTAAATCAAACCAGCATAAGACGTGATATGCCTCCTAAAATATTGGTGACTCGTGAATTTTTTTTCTCAGTTCGTGAAAACCTCATGATTCCCTGAAATCTTGTACACAAGTGGAAATATTTGAAGTTTTCCATTTATAAACGTGACAAAATCAAGGGTATCTCATGATCAAGTAATCCTGTGAACACTATGGGGAAGTAAATCGCAATTTTAACTGTCGATTTACATCTCAAAAATAAATTAATTGATAAATTAATAAATTGAAGAATTCTTCGTACGATCACCGAATGTTGTAAAATATGGCATAGTCCCATACGACTTTTTGCTAAGGGTTCATGTAGCAAGCAATGCTTTGAAGCAGAATTAACCAATGAACTCGTCATTTTGCAAACGTAATCAAATTTTTAATGAATTTTAAGGTATTGCTTGCGTAAGAGTCTTTTATGTTTCTTGCGAACTGGTTATCGTTGGGCATACAATCTTTGGGCGAAGTTTTATAATCGATAATCGACAGTCACGGTGTTGCGTGACAAGGAGCGTTACTACCGAGCCAGCTAAAGAGATATTGACTAACGGCAACAAACTACTAAATATCTGCATTGTTCAAGGACAACAAAACAAGGATGACTGCAAGGAAAATTAGTCATTTCAATGCATCTTAATTAAGGAAATTATGGCTTCTACGATACCCCATAAAAAAGAATCACGCATGTTCGTCATGCTGTCTCCAAATGATTTATACAGTTTCCAATTTGGAAAAGCTCCAATATCACAAACACAAACCTCCATCAGTTGTACACGCTCAGTGAGACGAGGATGTCTTGCAACGTTTGAATGGACAAAATCATAGTTGACAAATACTTACATGTATTTCTACATTTCATATCCCACCTCTCCCCCCCCCCTTCCCATTTTCCATTACAACATACTCCATACTCTACGATAATTCTTAACTTTTCCAAGTAAAATCATTCTTTTTCCATCTTTGTTATGATTTTATCTCTATTTTAATAGCTTCTCAGGAGGTTTAATAATTCGTCTTTAATATTTGACGAGGTTCCGTGTAGATTTTTCTTCCATCAAACTGCAGTTTTCAGCAACTCAAAAAAAATGAACACATCGTAGCCTAATTCGTAGCTAAGAAAGAAAAAAGACACTCACCTATTTGGCAACTTCTTCAAATCCAAATGCTAGCAAAGTCATGACAGCTTCACAAATCTAGAGACAAATAAAAAATTTTATTGGGATCAAAGACATTGATATCAGTTTGGAAATCGAAGGAAGTACTCCGCAAACAACTGTATATATTTACTGCACTATATTTAGAACGAAATGTTGTTCGGCTTCCGAGCAGAACTTTCTAAAACGATAAAAAATGATGAAACAATGAATTAACATGCAATGAGACAAAAAAAAGCACTGAAATGGAGTCGAAAGTGAGGCAAAATGAGATGAAATAAAATGCATGAAACGAAATGAAAGTGAACGTGACGAAAGGCAGTAAAGTGGATGGAATTTTCACGTCATATCTAGGTCGCAATTTCGTGCTGCTAAGTCTGTCTATTCACATCACCAGTTTGCTGGATAATGTAAAAAAATTGTAGGGAGAAGATTTATGTGGATCATCTTTTAGGAGCCTCGCATGTTTTACTTTCCTTGGAGCTCCTGTATTGATTTGAGTCGGCAAGTCGGCAATTTGGGTAGAGGTCAAACTTTTTAGCAGCGACTTCCAGTTTGGATATCAAAAGGAACCTTTAAGAGCAATGATTTTAGGAGAGGAGGAACAGCTGCGTAAAACTTTGCTAATTTGGTCAATTCTTTGATAAAAACAAAACAGCAACTAATGCTTTTACTGCTAATTAACAAAAGAAGCGTAACGAGTTATGGTTGGCATTTTCATGAATTCCCATATTAGTTGATGTTTCCGCCAAGCATTTAGCCTGTCACGTTAGGCATCTAAAGATCTAAATATTGCTTATCTGTAAACATAACAAAATGGCCTTTAAGGCCAAATTATTGTAAATGATTGAGTCGCATCACGAAATATACTCTGATATTATGCAACATTGAAAATAAAAATTTAAGCATCTGATAAATAAACGAAAAAAATAACAACTTCTTTAGATAATTTCATTCACAGAATCATAGGATCGTGAGAGGTTTCGAATTCGTTGGCCTCTTTTGCCAGGATGTATCACTTGCGGAAATATGCTCAGACAGATTAATTGCACAAGTCAGATGCCATGCATGATATGAATAACATGAACTAGCTACTTGTAACTGACCGACAAATTCAGCTAGCGACCTGGAATATTTCATCGGCGTAGGCTTTTTCCACACAATGCTGCGAAAATCTTGAGTTCATAACTCCTCATCTTTGTTTCAAGTCAAAATGGTTCTCAAAAGCGCTGACAGAGCACTCAATGGCAATACCAAATATGGTACCAAGAATTTAAAATTATGACCAATCGAGATTTGCGTTTCAAGAGAAGGATAGCTGTCTCGACTTATCGAGATGTGTGGATGGAACTAGGATCGTATTTTCGGATTGATCAAGTCTGCAACGCGTTTTTTAAAACGAGCCTCAAAGGGCTCTTTTACGACCTTTGCACAGCTTTTATGAAAAGTTATTTTTAGCTATGCTTTGCTCTGCATACGCAGACCGATAACGAATGCATATTGATAAGTTCGTCAAATTTATATACAGGATATACTGGAGAAAGACGGCCAAAATATGAATACTTTAAACTAAGCCATAAATAAAACGCAATAGCGGAAATCTTTCAGTTCTCTTGTCGCTCTGGTTAACCAAGATTCAAATGAAGAAAATTTCAATATCGTGTTAGTCATGAATGATGCAGTGTTGCGTGACTGACTATAAATTAACTAGTGACGTTTTTCGTGAAGAGGTTTCCAAATTCAGAAGGAAATGTTCAAGGCTCGAGCCCACTATGAAATAAAATTCCAGGGCAATGATAGCACTGCTTGCCTCCCGCCCACGATGCTACTTCATCAGAGAAGCGCAAATTTTGGAAGGAAGGAGAGCCACCCGTCCACTTAAGATGGTTCAATACACATTAACCTTTCACGGTTCGTAGCTTTCAATATACTCTTACATTCAATGTTGATCGTGACGGTTATTCAATAATTGGGAAGTGGGTTTTGATGTTTGCTTTGAACACGAAGCACTGAATAAATAATATGTCTCAGAGAAATGACAACTTACCTTAGATAATCGGAGATATATTTGTGAAGATTAGAGCCTAACTGTGCAATTTGCTAAATTTGAGACGCGTATCAAGTTTTCATTACGTCACTTGAAGCAACTTAGCAATTCCTTCACACATCCTTAGATCACGAGCATGGTAGACAAGACAGGAACGCCAAATCACCGCTTATTTTTACTGATTTACCAGAAAGTGAAATTAGTTCTTCTCCTTTCCTCAAAAAGAAATTTGACTACATGTAATAAAAAAAAAGTTTGAATAGGAACACCTTCAGATATGAAAGAGAGGGGAACCTAGACGGCTGCAACTAAAATACCAAAACATCAATACTTTTCTTCATATTCACTGAGGGTCAATACGTGGATTGAAAGATTTATTCTTGATTTTAATCTTTAGCCTCCAATATCGGACTTTAATCAATTAACCTCCTGTCTAGTTGAATTACATCACCGACTTGCCATTTCTAGAAAATTTTTCATGAACATTAAGTGTTCCAAGAGGATGACACTCTGTTGCAACAGACCAGTTATACTCGATTAACGCGGGCGCGAGGGACTGGGATAAGCTTCATGCGTTCAAGCAAGATCTGTTCTTTCCTGCCTCTGTTATTTTCCTTCTATCTATGTGCCATCATTAAGGCTTTTAATTGATATCAACAGACATGCTTTTCTTTTCTGATCGCCAAAAAACATTCTTGAGTGAAACACAAAAAAATAAAACAAAAAAACAGAAAAACCAAAAAGGCAAAAAAACAAAAAAAAACAAAAAGAACCAAAATAATGGCAACAGCTGAAATGACGTTTAGGTTTACATAATACAATAAAAAAGACCTTGTGTCAAAGAAATCACAACACACCAGACACGCGCGGACGCGAGGGATTGAGTCGAACACGCGCAAGCCAGTAGTTACGCTTCTTGCGTTCAGGCAAGATCTGTTCTTTCCTGCCTCTGTTATTTTCCTTCTATCTATGTGCCATCATTAAGGCTTTTAATTGATATCAACAGACATGCTTTTCTTTTCTGATCGCCAAAAAACATTCTTGAGTGAAACACAAAAAAATAAAACAAAAAAACAGAAAAACCAAAAAGGCAAAAAAAAAAACAAAAAAAAAAGAACCAAAATAATGGCAACAGCTGAAATGACGTTTAGGTTTACATAATACAATAAAAAAGACCTTGTGTCAAAGAAATCACAACACACCAGACACGCGCGGACGCGAGGGATTGAGTCGAACACGCGCGAGCCAGTAGTTACGCTGGCGTTTCTGCTCTCTCACGCACGTGTAACTTGCGTTCTTGTCGAGGGCTCCTCACGCAGGGTATCATTTTGCCTTTGATTTTATCAACAGAAACGTTTTTCTGCTCTAATTGCCAAAAACATTCTTGACTAAAAAAGTAAAGATCGATCATAATGCCAAATATTCAAGCAAATTCTACAAACGTATCTGCTCAAATGCACTCTTAGGGGAAATTTGAGCGTAAAAAGGAAGCAACACGTTTTCTTTTGCTAGATCGAAAAGTGTTTCCTTGTGCAAAAATAATTTTCGGGAGTTAATCACTCCTTAAGATTCCCGTTAACACAACGCCTTCCCTAGGGCCACAGCACTGACTCAAGTAACTTAGAAATGCTATTTTGAGGTAAAACTCAGTAGCAGCTACTTCCAGGTCTATTTTAAAACTTTTACAAATCTTATGAGTTTTTAGAGAGAACATTTTTAATTACAAATTAATTTTTATGGTCAAGGTAACGAGAAACGGGCTAGAAATTTCCTCATTAGCCATATAAGATAAAATCAAAGTAAGCATTTCGCCACCCTCGCCTTAGGCATAGAGAGATATAGATCAAAACAAGGGAGCCTTCGCGGAAAGGATTTTATCAGTGGTTGTGTTGCAAAACAAATAAAACAAAACAAAACCATGCCAAAAAAAACCCATAGAAAACAAAATTATTTCTGACTTTTTGCAGAGTTGAAAATAATAGCGTATTAGCACGGGGAAAAAAAATAAAGTGAAACAATGTTTTTTAAGTGTCTCGTTCATAGAATCTTAGCATCGAAGGTCACGTATGGTTTCGAATCAGTTGGCCCCTTTCAGTAGATGCATCGCTAAGCGGAATAATATGTCAGATAAAAATTACCTTGGTTTGGGTATTTGTCGCGGTTGAATATTAACTAGATGCTCGTAAAAATATTTCCTTGTTATTTTTTTAAATTTTAATTATCTAAGGCTTTTATGGATCTTTATGGACCAAGCTTTGCAGTACATTTTCGATTTCGATCAAAACATCTCATCTTTTATCCAAGATATTTAAGTTTGCAGAAAGTGCTGACAAAGCATTCGATGTTGACACTGTTAAGATGGCGCCTAGATTTTCAAGTCCAAACCACCAGGCAATATTTCGGGAACACTCCGCCTACCCGCTGACTCTTATTGCGAAATAAAATTTCGAAGGCCTTCACCACTGCTTCAAATTAGCGAAGTGTGGTGTAGTGCGTCACATTTTGAAAGCAAACCTTAAACGAATTTCGCAAAGCGAATGATTTCCGAGGTAGTTTGGTTATGACGCTATTAAATTCGTCACAATAGAAAAGCAGCTTTGCAATTTAGCATTTAAGAAAAAATTTCCTTACCTTTAGAGTTTTTAGTACTAAGATTGGTGGCGAATGTTTCTCGTCTCTTTTTGTTCATGGGTGTCGCTGGTAAAGAAGATTTACATTTGAATCCTCGCAAGAGTTAATTGTAAACATTGACAGTTCTTGCGAATATATTACGAATGGCTAGCGACGGCAATGTAAACAGAAAATACACCGTCACGTGATTGAGCGGTCACGTTCAGACACGCGACAGGTCACGCCGTCGGAAGCTATCTGTCATGTCATTTTCTCATCTTGTTAGGGTAACTCCCAGCAATCGCCTCGCGCCGAATTTTATTCACCCCGAAAACGCAAAAACAAAAGTACTTGGAATAAAATAAGCTTTTTCTGGAGGCTGGCAAAATTCCAACAATACTATCTTTATATATCCTTTAGATATACATGGGCTAAATATCACATTGAGTTCCAAATAATCAAAACGAATATTTAATATCATTATTAAGGAAACTGAAATAGATGCACATACGTGGATTCCTGCTTACCGTAAATGAGCTTACCGCTGACTATTAGATCATTTTTCATCGCGTTTTACTTTACAGCCACTTCCTAAGTTTAGGAATAGAGTACACGTGAAAAAATTTACTGAAATACCACAAGCACCCTAATCGGTCAAAAACCTACGTTTATTTCATCAGTAAACCCATGTTAAGTTTATTTTACAAAAGCGGTAGACCGCGCTATTTATAGTTTTATTGGCTTAGTAAACCACTCGATAAGTTCGTTAATCACGAGCCGGAGGCTCGTGATATACAAACTTCTCTCGTGTTCTTTCAATATCCTGCGTGGGTTATTATTGTGGTAACCCGCAAGAAGGTGCGGTCTGTTGCTAAATACACCACGCAGCCCTTTATTTGCGGGATGACTCAGACAGACGTGACTAGATTAGTCGTGTAAAAAACATCACAATAATAATGATAAAAACAGATTTAAAAAGAAACCGCAAATCTTAACCTTTGGTGCTTGCGGTTAGTCTCTCGTGCCTAATTACTTTTTTTCCTTGAAATTTTTTTTTTGGGGGGGGGCAGTTTTACCTTCTGAAATGTCTGAACTGAATCGACCTGTAGGCTTCTCCTTGTGTTTGAATCTGGATGTCAGATTATCATTCTCTTAACGTAGTGAGTAGAAAATTTAAGCCGTTACAAGAGAGAAAAAAATCAAGGCGTCTTCCGTTTCGTGGCACTTTCAAAGCGTTACGAAAGAGATATGAAATAATTGTTTTCAGTTTTAAAGTCGAGTGGCGAGGTTTAATCTTTATTGCCTAATGATCATGTTGAATATTCTTCATACTGTTTCTATACATTTCTGATGGTGCTGACCAGGAGAATTTGTTTAACAATCATTTTTTTTATATACATTCTCGTAACATTAGACACCAGTCACTCCTCGGAGTGATTCGATTAAACGCCGCGGCATTTATCAAATTTTTCGCGATTCGAGTGCAAGAAACATTCAAGGGCGGCGTTTATACGAGGGCGGCGTTCATTTAAAATCCAATTTATTTCTTGCAAACAATAATATGGCAACTGACCATCTGAATTTAGAAAAAAATGTCTTAGTGTTTGTCTAAAAAGTAATTTTCTATATCGTTCTCGATTTCACAATTTGCATGTTAATGCTACTGCAATACATAAAGTTAATAAAGATCTAATGTCGGATATGTTTTCTCGACATCAGAACTGGTAAATTCACAAGGATTTGTATCTGGCTCACCCAAAATTTCCAACTGCGATCGAAGCATTTATCGCTATGTGTTTTTTTAGTCTATTGTTCGAATAAGCGCCGCATCATGATGCGGCGTTTATTCGAGGGGGGCGTTTATTAATATTTCTGCTCTAAACTGCGGCGTTTAATCGAGTAATTACGGTAACTTCGATTATTTTTTTAACTTTCCCTTTACTTTTATTTTCTGTTTTTTGTTTTTGTTTTTTGTTTTTCTGAGTGGACACTTTTCATCGCCTTTGCTAATGTGCACGATAGTCTTTTCCTTCGGTTTCGAAAGTTTCCGCATACCCGAAATTGCGCGGTAACGATAACAACTAGATGATGATGATAAAATGATACTAAGTTCGTCTCGTGCTCCAAAAGTCAAGACATGAAATAGTTTATAGTGGTTCACCCAAAAACTTTTGATTCAAGTAAGCCGAAAATTGGACTAGGGGTTTTAAATAAACTGAATCAGCCGAGTAGATCAATTTTGGATTAGATAGGGCTTTAAATTGAAGTCGGTTGGTTACAATTGTAGTTAATGGTTGCACTTTCGATAGGTAATTACAACGTATGCGATGCAACATCGATAACTTGGAAATGACCCCGAGCAACGTTTTACGAAATGATACCAATCTTCTACTTAATCATTCTATCTTTTTGGTTTCTTAGTTTTGCAGTTTAAGCCAGCTATAAATACTCACCATTTGGCAGTCGATCACCGTCACTGTACTCGGTAAAGCTCGAATGACCGCCCGAATGAATGACCGCCCTTAGCTTATCTTGAATAAATACATAATGTTTTGCAAAGTCGATTCATAGAATAGAAATGTTTTTATTGTTTACAACGTTATATTATGCACACAACGTGTGAGGCTTGTTAAGGTCATGCGTTTCAAACACTAAACCAATATAACATAACACATTTCTCGTCGTTTCTGTTCATCAATCCTGAGAACTTTGCAAATGCGTCTAGTAGCCAAATATTAATTCATTTGGGTGATCGGGCTCTTAAATCTTTCATTTTTGCCAAGTGACTAAGGGAATTATGCGTGATATATTTCCGGTCGCAAAATAACAAAAATGCATAGAAATTCATTGCGTCTTCGTTTCACAGTTACCATGTGTGGTTCTAGTTCATATATATATATATGTAATGTATGTATGTATATAATTTTTACCACACAGTCGTTGAGGAAGAATAAATACAAAAATCGAGAGTTTTCGAGACCGCGAAACGATAATAACAACCACACAAAGATCTTCACGAGGCCCGGTGATGTCACCCACAAGAGAAATTAAACCCCATTGGATCTCCACCTGTTTTAGAGTAGTTTCCTAAGGCTTAAGAACGGTGAAATATTGAAAAAAAAGACAGTGGACTAACTCACCTCGTTCCCTGAAACGTGTCAGCAACTGAAATGTTTTGAACACAATCTAGGAAACTTATCATCAGACGAAGCGGAAAATATGCAGGAGGTGCATAACAAGCTGCACCTCTTACTATTGTCGTAGAGAGATTGAAATTCGATAATACACACACAAAGCTGCACTATTTATAGAGGATTCGAAATTTTTTCTAATTATGATCACGTTGCCACGAAAGCTCTTTATTTTATGCGGTCGTCTAACAAAAAACCGCTCAATTCTTTAAGTAGTTAACCTTTTTGTTTTATTGTATTACCCTTATTTGACTTGCTAATGTTAAAAGGCCATTAGGAAAAGCAGCGTGGTCCCCTTGACAAAAGAGTAAGTCGAAAAATACTGAGGGGAGAGGGGAGATGGGGGACAAGAAGCTACTCGTTTGGACCGCGGAACTTTTCCTTTTGGTTTGCGCCTCGTGAGGTTCGGGACGGAAGATAGTTTCCCAATCATCGCCATGTGATCACGAGGTGCACTCTCCCTATTTAACATGTGTCATTTTGAAAGTGTCAACATCATATAGACAGTGTCTTTTGGCCAATGTAGTTACCACGGTGAGCCACTCTTCTATCAATTTCGCATGATGTGGTGATTATCAAACTTTGTGTCTTTGTTCTCTGCCTGAGCATTCGGCATCGGCAGATAACTCAGACCTCGGCATTGTTATTTCATAATATTATGCTTAACCTCATCCATTAATTGCCTAACACATACTGATACCGAATACTGAGTCACATTCGGCGAACCGGAAGTATCTGCCCTGCGAGTGTGGAATGAGTTGACGGACAGATATCTACTTTTAGAATCTTCGTAAGTTTCTTCATACTTCATGTAAGTTGACTGCCTTGGGATGAAAAACTAATTGATAACGAACTGTGGAGGAGACGGCTAACTAACAGATATAAGGAAAGATGAAACCGATCACGACCAAGCTTCTAAGGCTGGCTGAGTATGAGCGTTTCATTCTTTTAGCATTGTTACGAGTATGTATCAAGTCACTGCTTTTACTAAAATAAAATGAGAGCGAACTATTTCAAATGACGAGCTTAAAGAGCTTGTTGTTGTTGTTGTCTTTTTTTTCATCCTGAATAGATTAGCGGTGACGTCGGCTTACTTTAACCTTAAACAATTCTAGGACTGATCAACGTGTAAATTCCTTTAAGTTTAGAGCCCACGGCTCGGCACAGCGGTGATGAGAATATAAACATTATCCATTATTGCACTGAATTTGTTTTAATTTCATAAGTTTTTAATTAACTATACACTAGCTACAAAATACAAAACCGACATTGTTAACGATACTGGCGTTACTAGCAATATTGACATATTGGTAACACTAATATTTCACAAAATACTAACATTATCTTTAATAAATGACTGAAATTATATGAAAATCATGTATGTGAACTGCGGATGAAGAAATGAATATGGAATCGATCCTCGTATAATAAACACTACTTAAGCGGTAGTATTTTCACTACCGCCGAAGTAGAGTTCATTATTGTAAAGATCGCTTCCATACTCATTACCTTTAATGCAAGATGCTTTGCTTTGATGCTAGCATTATTTATAATAGTAAAATGGCTTATTGTTATTTTAAATATTCCCTTTCCTTTTATATATGAATGGTTACGATGATTCCGAATTTTTTTTTTTCCTTCTTCTCGTTTTTGAAAAATTCCACTCACATATTCACACCCACACACCGACTTTTGCATTTACATGCACTAAAAAATTTAAATAAAAATTACAATAAAAAGGTAAAAAAGGAAAAATGATAAAAATTGATAAGCATCAAAATATCAGGACCAGCTAAAAACAAAATTCCCAGTATTCAGTTGGGAGAACTACCTCGTGGAGAAACAGTAACGTATCCAACATATTATTTTAATCATTAAATTGATCTTAATCAAATTAAGATACATTTATTGTTAGTTACAATTGGAGTAGTCTTTGATGTACATGTTTCCGGTTAAAATAGAAACATATTGTGCTCAAAGCTATTTACATTGCGACTTTTACTTTAAGTAATCTGCCGCGGATAAAGGAAAACAATTCCGAAGTTATTATCCAATTTAAGATATTTTACAGTGGAGGGAAGGGTAGAAAGTTTACTTCCGTCTTTTGTCCCCCCCCCCCACCCCCCCAATTTCCAAACTCAGCCAGGAGTTGCTCAGATTACCTAAACTATTAAACCTTTAACTCCCAAGATCTGATTGTTAATTCTCTCCTCTAGCTGCTACTCATTTCCTTGGAAATAAAATAAAAGAATTTGGTGTTCGATCAGGACATAAACTTCTACCTGATACGTTTGAGTATTTTCATAACTTGTTTGCTGGATAATGTATGAGTATGTAAGGAGAAGTTTCATGTGAATCACTTCTGGGAGTTAAAGGGTTAATAGGAATAATTTAGAGCCTTTGGTTATTAATTTTGTTCTGCTTTATAGCAACACGTCTTAGTAAAACCAGGAAAATAACAATTATTTGATTCAATTTTTAACGTCAGCTTAAATTTCTGGACAAGCGTAAGCTCCTCCCTTTTCAAGTAACTGACGGTTGTGGTAGATTCGATCACGGGCTGGCATCTCTTCCAGTAGGAAGCCGTACTCCTGCGCCATCTCCAAAGCTTGATGGGCACTACTTGCTGCTGCCTGGTAGTTAGAAAGCCGGTAGTCGAGATCCGAGCGCGCCAAAAGGAACTGGAGTTTTCTTCTCTCGGTTATGTCGTCCAGGCCATTATTTTGCAAAAGAGTAAGGAACTTTGACGCTTCCATAACGTGCTCCTTGCTCACACACCGCTCTCGTCCTGAGGTGCTCCCGCAATCGAGAAGAAGCATGGCCATCTTGATGAGGGCGAAACTGTGCGTGTGAGGAATCACCCGGTTGCTGCTGTCATCCAGCCGCCGACTGAGATCAAGACAATGCTCAAAGCAGTGCTTAGCTTGGAGAAGAAGCTTCTTCCTCAAAATGCTTCCACTAGAGATGAACTCCTTCATGACATTTCCTTCTTCGTAGGCCATGAAACTTTGGTCAAGGCAGACATCGATCAGGAGAAGATTCTGCTTGGACAAGTCAATGCACCGCACTGCTTCTCCAAGTTTTTTTTGCCGGCGGTAAACATGCGCAAGGTAGTAGTAAGCTCGTCCTATGAGGAGTTGGTGATTGTCAGCTTCGGAAACAATCCTGAGAGCCTCCAAAGCTGTCGCCTCCGCTTTTTCCAGATCCCGGTGGTACAAAAATGCAATGGCTTTCTCCAGCAAAACTGCAACCTTGACATCAGAATTGCTCGAATGTTGGTGCATCTCGCACGCTTCTTCAAACTTCACCCATTCTCCATTGTCGCATAATTCATGCAGCTCGTTCATAATGATGCACACCTTGGTCTGTGAGGGCGATACGGCCACAAGGGGAACCTGTCGAGTAAGTGCAAGCTCGCGTTTATCGTGCTCCTTCTCTCCTCTGGTCTCCCTTGAGGAATGTAACTTCCAACTGATCGTCTCGACCTCAATAGTAACGTAGTCCAGGACTGCTTCCTTCAACTTCGTCTCTGACTTGGTAGGATGAGGCTTGTCGTAAAGTGTAAACATCAGCAATAGCTCACAACTTGGTTCGTAAAATCGAAACCAGTACCCCAGCTTGCCGCTGACACGTTTTACATACTTTGCCTCCCAGTCTCTCGCAGTCTGTTTAGTACCGTTGTGCTTCACATCCACAGTCACGTGGTGTTTCGTGTTTGACACGTGTTCTGTCACGAGTTGTTTATTAACGATCACGTGCTCTGTCACGTTGTCAAGAGTGCCATCTTGGTTATCGCTGTATTCAGAGGTCCTTTGGTCATTACGGACTTGCAACTCGATAAAAATGTCCGTTCGGGGATCTGGGAAACTAGAGCGACTTCTGCTTATTGGGACGGGGGAACATGGCTTCCGAAGAACAAAAATCTTTGGCTTAGAGATCTCTTCGTTGTCTTGTTTTCTCTCATCCTTGCTCTGTATCGTTGCATCTTCCTCTGTGGAAAGACTGCATGTTAAATGGACGGGGGTGTCTCTCACTTCAGTATGACTTGTGTTCTCCTCATCACGGAAAATCTCTCTTGTTTCAAACCTTTTACCGTTCTCCGTCTTTTCTTCTTTACGCTTCAAGGATGAAGACGACTCATTCCAATCATGAAATGACACTTCCACCTCTTGAGTTTCTAGTTCTGAGCCCCCCTCATAGCCATTTTCAATTAACTTGTCCGTCGTCTCTCGTGCGTTTTCCTTGACTGCAATTCCAAATACATTAATGGTTAGCCGCAAGATGTTCACTTAACAAGACAAAAAGCATCAGAATAGAGCACTAAGACTTAAATCTGACGGCGCCCTCTTTGCAAGGTCTCAATTCGAGTGGATTTTTCGTCTGGCAAAGGAAACAATGGAAATTTGAAATCTAATCGAAGTCAAAACTACAAGCAAAATAACATTAACAATATGATTTACAACTGAAACTCAATATGAACTAGTTTAAACCCTTTACACCCCAACATCGGTTTGGTATGTTCTCTATACATTTCTTCTGGTACTTACAAGGAGCACTTGCCAAATAATCACACGGCAAGAGCATCTTGACCTTGCGATCATTTTCTTTGTTCTCATGAACTATATGTTTGATTTAAGGCTGATATTGTTAGGAGAAATTAGCCGTGATGGTCATCACTCTCAGGGTCAAGGGTTAATATATCATGCGAAAGAGACTACGACTTATCAGAGAGTAGCTATATCTTGCCTCGTAACGGAGGCAAGCATTTCACGAATGAACAATTTGCACTTGGTAACAACTTACATTGCTTTAGAGACTCGTTGCTGCCATTGCATTCCAATAAAAGCCTAGGATCAACAAAAAGAACAACCCATCATCATATGAGGGACACTAAGGCATCGCGTATCAATCGCACTTCAGTATCAACTAGGAAAGCTTTTGTTCTCGATCAAATAAGCGTTTCAGGTTCGTCTCAAAGTAATGAGGGTCAAGGTGGATACAACTCAGAGGGTGACACCAATAAAACGCTGAACCTTCAGTCCAATACAATGGAACCCTGCTGATTTGAATTCATTGAAAATTCTCTTGAAGGGGCTTGAATCTGATCAACTACACACCTACCCCTCTCCTAACTCAACATTAACCCTGGCTTTATATCAGTTGACTGCTGTCGGGTTAGGGGAGGAATATGTGGGTGCGCAGATATTGACAATGATCCATTTATTCCATCAATCGCTCTACTTCTTCGCTTGTACCCCCAACCTGAATGCCTAGAACAGACTAAGCCTGAGTCTGCGTGCTCATTCACACTCACTTTCTGCTCATTTCAAGGACCAACGCACTTCTGTCAGTTTGTCTCTCTCTTTTCTGCACTTGTTCCAGGAATGGCAGTAATTTGTGTGCATGGCGCTGAAATACTTGCGAAATAACAGGGCACTTCAAGACTGCTAGCAAGACGTTATAGGCTTTCTCCTTCACCGCAACAAAGACCAGCACTCTCAGGGTAGCGAAGTTGAACTGGTGATCAGTGGCAAAACCTCGTTCTGGAAATGAAATTCGTAGCTTTTTAGGAGTTTATCAGGAGCATAAAATCAGGGATAAGGTGAGCTTATCACAGATTTATTCGCAGTTTTGTGATCTACAATATACATATTCCGGGCAGGACCGGAAAAAGCCGCACGGCCCTGTGGGAATGCGAGTTGAAAATGAAAGAGCGACGGTCACATAATATTAAAAGCCTATTGACTGAATTTCAGAAAATATATGACATTTTTTAAAAACATGTTTCAACAGTTCTTCTGTCATCTTCAGTTCTGATTTATACAAAGTACAAAGTTGAATTTAAAGTGTAATTTGCTGACATTGTTCTGTTTTTATTGTTTGTTTTGTCCAATCAGCATGTCGAAACATGTTTTTAAAAAATGTCATATCCTTTCTGAAATTCAATCAATAGGCTTTAATGACATATATTTTCTTAAATTCGTGACATATCTACTGTTATCTAGACCTACTGGCTGAGTTAGGCCGGGCCGGAGGGGAAAATGTTTGATTATGACGTAGAAAACACGCGCAGCTAGGCCAGCACGTCATCACACAGGCTATATATGTTAATCGACCAGAAGGGATAAATGCAAATGAGTCAGATTTTAGGGATTAAAGAGTTAACTCAGTGAACGTACCTCTGAGGCTCATGGTAACGTGGTGTTCAACCGGGGAACCAGTACAGTCAAGCTCCATATCTTCGTCATCTAAGGCTTTGACGCACTGTTCAAACTGCCTCAGCAGGTTAGAGTTGTAGGTGTATTTGGTTTCGCCAATGTAGGCATCCTCCTGCGTCCTAACAACAACTTTAACTGTCAACTTCCCACGCACCAACTGTTCTCCTGGAATTCCTGGAAAAAAGTATTCATATGACGTTGTCAAGCTTTGATTTATTACCTTAAAACTTGAAGATGTTCCCGTAACCATATCAAAAAAAGTCCGGTTTTTATCTGATTCTGCATTGTTGCGAAAATAAAAGAACTCGATATTCACTGCCTCTCCAGAGACCACGCAGAGGGAGGGGCTGGGGATCCTTTGGCCCCTTCCCTTTTTTGCAAAAGAAAAAAAAAATTACATTTTTGTCATTTTTTATCACCCCCCCCCCCCCCAACCAAAAACTTTCTGCGCGGTCCCTGCTCTCTGTATCATGGTCATATAAAACAGATCTCTTCCTAACCGAGTTCGAGGTTATAGTGAAATATTTCATATACATATATCTCCGGGTTCAAATGGAGTGGGGAGATTTCAATTCACACAAAAGTTAGAATTTAGTGGGCCGCACAGTAAAATACGACCCACTGAGTTAACCAATCATTGCGCACATACAAAGTCAGAGAGATTAGCTGTTAACTGCTTAACAACTGCTCATCGTTAAAATCCCCTAGTTGGACATGCTTAAGAGGAAACTCACTTGGACAGCGAGGGACACGGACTTTTAAAGTATAACAGTTTTTCACTGTTGCATGAACCACACGAGGAGACATAGGCCTGTGCTTGGGTGAAGAGAACACCACCTTGCACCTGCTGGTACTGTTAACTCCAGGAAAACGAGTAGACAAGGGCTGTTCCAGGAAAATGAAAGACATATTTCCTCCCTACGAAAAAAGTAAACACAGATTGTCAAAAATAAAAAAATAAAAATAAAATAAGATAGAAAAAACAAAAACAAAACAAAACAAACCAAAGAGAAAAAAAGGAAAGAGAAAGACTAAGTTAAAAAAAAGAAAAGAAAGGAGAAAAACAGAGATGAGGAAAAAGAAAGGAAAAGCGAACAAAGAAAAGGATAGACAAGTAAAGAAAAGGAAAAAAAGAAAAGAAAAGAAAAGAGGTGGGAAGAAAAAAAGAAGAGGAAAGAAAAGAAAAGAGGAGAGAAGTGAAAAAAAAGTAGAGAAAATAGAAAAGAAAAGAAAAAAGAAAAGAAAAAGAGAAAAAGAAGAAAGAAAAGGAAAGAAAATAGAGAACTGCCCTCTAAAAACAATGGGAAATAAAGGAAAGACTGGCAGGGTCGTGTAGCCAATGAATATTCTCCATGCTGTTCACTACACATTTCCTATGCAATGACAAAGAGAAGTTGTAGACAGAAGAACAGAGAGTTTACTAGTTGGTAATCATTTCCAAAATGCATATTACCTGATAGGGACCTTCACAGGGGTCCATTTCTTTCACCAGATTCTCATCTATACCAGCTGCGGGTGACACAAAAGAATGTTGACTGATTTTTCATTGTATAAAATGTTATTAGTTTCCTGGCTCTGGAGTATCATAACTCCATAAATTGACTTAAGTGACCTAATTGATACTTATGAAATTTATCTTCTATCAAAATTAGAGAGCAAGTTTGCCACCTGGTATGCAATTAAAAGGGATAAAAAAATAAAAAATAAAAAAAAAGAACAGGAGAATTCTTTTAACAGTCAAAGCTTAATTGCTTTATCCTGACTCATGATTTTAGAGAATGATTTAGTATTAATAATAATTAATTAATATTAATTGATATTATTTCCAAAAAATATATTCATATCAGTCAGTACAAAAGAAATGTAGTTAGTGAAGTTACTGGCAGATTTTATTTATTTGAACCCTATAAACTAATAACAGGATGGTAAACAAACACAAAAACAAATTTTCAGGCTACTACATGTTATGTGTTGGTTGTTATAGACCTACTTTCATAACCAGAGGACTCTGCATCATACTGGCTTGTGTTTGCCCAGTCAGGAAGTACAGGTAACAATTCCTCATCGTTACTAGGCATTGGAGTGAGACCAAAATCTGGGTTGAGCAGATTACCATCATCATGGGAGAGTATGTGATTGATCAGGACTTGGGATTCCTGAAATTAAGTTGCAAATAACTAACAAATTTAACCACAGGTAAAAATAACCTTATTTAAAAATGATAGCAATGCTGATTCATAGAATTGCTGTAGGCTATATAAGAATTTAAAGCTTCAGCCCTCCTCACTGCCCCCACTCCAACCAGGCAACCCACAGGAAGGGATGGAAATTTTGAACCTTGCCAGGGTGGGGTGGGGATTTTGAGCCGGTTTTGGAAGTGGAATACAAATGTTTTATCTTTTAATATAGAGGTGTTTCAAGGTAAAAAGAGTTCACTTTCATGAGCAAGTGGCTCAGGGAAAAAGGTCTACTAGGTTTAGATTTTAAATCAGTTACTGGTCGATAACTGAGAAAGCCAGGGTTGTGGTTCGGCCTTTTACAAAAAAATGTGCTGATAACAACTGACTCTTGGATTGGGCAATTGAGCACCATCAAAAGTTCAAGGGGGTTAAGGGGGTTGCCTGAGGAGGGGGGGGGGCCCTTGAAGCTCCAAATTGATCAACAGGTTATATGTTATTATAAACAATTGAAAGATCATATGCAGGTTACTATTAACATTGCAGTTTTCCTATGCCTACCTCAATCATCTAAAAACAGGCCTTTTTTAATATTAATAGCTTCAAAACTTTTAGGAGGGAAATCAAGTTAAGACCCTACAGAAATTTGTAATGCTATGTAACACCTTGAATTCAATTAAGAGTGAAACCAAGGCAAAAAAAAATAAGCAAGCAAACAAATGGGCTTGTTGTTAGCTCATTCATCAATGAAGCTATTGACAGGGATTAAGCAAGACACTTTAGTGCATGATTTTGTTTGTTTTTTTCTTGGATGTTGCATAATTTTTGCAATCAAAAAGAAAAGGAATGTTGTCCAGTCAGCCTTTATAACCAAATTAATTGCAATTGAAACACAGAACAAGTTAGTCTCAACTCTTTAACTCCCAGATCAAATTTGTAATTCTCTTTACTGTCAACTATACAATTATTATAATGTTGGTTCAGAGAATTTAGTATTGGATCAACTAATTATCCCCAAATTGATATTTTTCTTTATCCTCATCACTTATCTGGTTGATATTGTATTGATATTGTAAGAAGAAAGTCTGTATTGGTCACTACTGGGAGTGAAAGGGTCAATTAGTCTATGAATTTTTCAATTGGAGACTACAGTGACTGAATGTTTATATATAAACATCAAGATCCTGATTCCAGAATTTATTTTCTATGTAAATACTAAAGTTGTATGTAGTGAGTTGATTTATCCTTATGTTCAACAATCAAGAGCTTCCTTAGTTGGTGATCAATTCTTATATTCTTGTTACCTTAATTTGTGATTCAGGGGCTATATAATGTAAGGAGAAATAGAATACAAGTCTCCCTTAGGGGTAAAAGGTTTAAATTAGTTAAGAAGAGAGAATATTACCTCAGGATCAACACTGAGAGAATTTAAGTCCATAGAAGCCATAGGAGGTGGTCTTGACAGATGAGAAGCAGAGTCTGTTTTTTAAAATGTATAAATATTCAACATAAATAAAACATCAAGTATTGCTCTTAAACACTGTGATTGCTAGATAATGGTGAATTAAAACTAACTTATCAAAATTGGATTGATTTAACAATGTTATTTATCAAGTGAAATTATACAACAGTAGACTCCGGATAAAAATAACATACAGTACAACCCTATGTAACTTGAACTCCTAAAGGAAACATAAATGTTTTGAATTAGTGAGGGCTCAAGTTACCTGATAGTAAATGACTCAAAATGGAATCATTATTGAGTTACAAGAGGGGGGGGGAGGGGAAGGGGAAGGGGTTGACAGAGTTAACTGAGTTGGAGTTGGGGGCGGGTTGTACTGAATATTTTTTATTACTTAGCATATACAAAGTGTGAAAAGTACCATTGATGTCGTTTTCTCCTCCATGTGCATCTGACTTAGACTCAGATGTCTCTCTAAAATCAGTCACATTAGAACTGGAAGTTTCATTCTGAAGTGTAAAATAAAACAATATCAGTATAGGCTGAGGTAAATGGAACAAAAATACAAGCAAAACAAAACAAAAAATATCCCTGGGAAAAAAAAAATGAAAATTGAAGTCCAGAACTTCCTTTCATTCGAATGAAACTAGGAACTCTTCAAACGAACTGATAAAATGAGAAAAAAAAACAATAATAATTTACACCCCAACATCAGTATGCATATTCTCTATACTATCCTTGATACATTTCCCAGGGTGCTGATAAGGAGAATTTGTCAAATAATCTGTTTAATTGTTTAATTAGTGATCATTTCCTTTATTCTCGTGACCCAAATGTGTGATTCAGGGGTAATATCATGAGGAGAAATTATATGCATGTCACTCCAGGGACTAAAGGGTAATTGTCATAACTATCTCTTTTTTTCTTTGTGCAGAGCACCAACACAGGATGAGTTTACTGTAATTAGCTTTAGAATATAAATGGGTGAATCGAAAAAAAGGTAGTACTTACAACTTTCGAAACAGCATGACTAGCAAAGGCTGTTCCTGCAAGTTTATCAACCACATTTGAAGGCAATTTGAAGCATCGTTTGCTTGTTTTGTTCTCCTCATCCATAACCTTCTTTTCTGGATATTCTTTAGCACCTTTATCTTTGTAAGAATTCAGCAGAGCAGCTCTTAAACCATTGCTTGCCGTTCTGATGTTGAAGTTGTCTTTTTTAAGGGGGCTATTTCCACCTCTCCTTGCTTCGCGAAACTCATGCCAGTACTTCCAAACTGCATCTTGCCAATCGAGCTCGTAAATCCAGTTATAAGGATCGACAATTCGAGCGATTTTCCCTTCCTCGATTAAATGCAAGATCCAGCCGTATATTCCTTCGTCTAAGACCACCTTTGCATCAACTAAGGAGACAAAAAATCTTAACGCTAGATTTTGACTTTTCTCACGTCAAAAAAAAAGCTCTTGCCTTCCGAACAAATCAAAACAAACTCGAAGCATTTCATGAAGACCTCTACGTTCATTCTCGATTTTTATTTCTTCTCAAATCAAAATTGGTTCTTACCTTCCGAACTACTTGTAGGTTCAGTACTGTTAGATTCTGAAAAAGATATTCTGGAAGAAGAAGACGAAGGTGAGGACAAAGTATCAGTGAAAGGATACGAAAAATCTTTCTCCCCGCCTGTCGCCATCTTGTTTGACATGTCCAAGAGCGATTACCTCAGGGGAATCCCCGTCTGAAATCCCCGCAACCATGGCGATACCAACAATATAAAGATACGAGCTCATGTTAACCGTTTTGTAACCATTCGTGCTCTGATGTGTTGATAATTGCAAAAAATCGTAACTTTCCTATCGAAGAGCAGGATTGTGAAAAAATTACGCTTTCCTTTTTTTTTTTTTTTTTTTTTTTTTTTTTTTTTTTTTTTTTTTTTAGTGTTTCTACGCTTTCGAACGCTCGTTCGTTGCTCCCTTCCCCTACCCTCCCCCCTGACAAGTAGAAACAAGGGGGAGGGAGGGTACGGCTATACGAAGGCTAGTCTCGCAATAGTTCTTCGAGTTTCTCTCGCAGTTTGTCGATGGTGTGAGGGTGAAATGATTGCTCAACTTTTTCACCGCAAGATCTCATCAAGGGTTCTGTCTACTGTCTGCAACACAATTCTTACGATACGAATTTGGGGAATTTGGTACTGTATCAACTAATAATCCCCCAAATTATATTTTCTTTCATTCTCGTCACTTTTCTACTTGATATTGTATCTTTATATTGTAAAGAGAAATTCTGTCTTGGTCACTCATGAGAATCAAGAAGTTAAGGACACATTACGATGACCCAGTTACAAAAAAAACCCAGACCTTGTCCATCCGTCAACCGCTGACCCCAGATATTGGTCACAAAAGATAATTCTTCTGACAAAAAGGAACAGTTTCTTACCAACAAAATCAAATCCTTTATTCTCACTTCTTGATCATTTGAACTTGTTAAATAAAGGTAACGAGAAAAAAGGGTTTTCTAATTGCAAATGCGTTGAGTTCTAAACAAGTTATGCAAATTACAACAGTTTTGTTTTAAAATAATGTTTTCTTTGGTGTAAAGACAGCTACAATAGTTTTTTTGAAAACTTGCCCTCCTTGTTACTGTTTTATACCTCCTTGCAGACGGTATTCTGGTAATTGTGTTTTTTTTTTTTTTTTGGGGGGGGGGGAAATCATTATTTTTTTATTTGACAAACAGGGTAACACGCTTTAACTAGTGTCCATGCTTTCCGCTGAACCAGCATCTCTCTGGATGGAATCAAACATGGCGGACAGCTCAGGACTTGATTTGATCTGCGCTAGGAATTCGCTGAGCAAGGGACTTTTATCTAGAAGAAGAAGAAAAATAAAATTGATTTCTTGGCTTAGAAGGAAAAAAATGGATGTCAGCTCTAAGAAAATGAAGGAATGGCCAATCCTATCAACGTCTCTACAAACACTCCTTCCACATGAACAATCTAGCACTGACAAGTACCGCCCACCACAAAATTTTGCTAGCTTGTTTTACCTTGATTAGATAGTAATTTTCAATTAAATGTCGAGACTAATCCGGGATAGCATTGGTTTTGTTTCTCTTTGCAACGTCATTATCCAGAAAACTCACGCCACCCTATCAACCAATCAGATGCAAAAAAGCTATGACCTACGACGACTTGGTGGCCCGCGTTTTCCCGCGCTTTAGGCGTTTCTTTGCTTTGAGTTCACTTTGGCTCTTCACGGTATCTCTCTTCTTCTAATTGGTCGTTGTGATTACCTTAGGTTTGGTTTCACGACACTCAATCGAAAAGTGTTCTTCAGTTGATGGTGTGGTAGTCTACGCAACACTGGACCATAATCACCATTTACTTGCTCGTTATTGAACAAGTCACGTACGACTCTGCGAGGAATACTAATTCTTTAGATAACACAGCGTTGCTTAATTCATGTTGTCGAATACTATTGCTGAGAATGCTTCCGCTGCATCTTCGGAAATCTTCGGGCGCGTTCGATTGAAAGAACTTCCAGCTTTTTCGAATGCTATTACTTTGGATGCTTACAATGCTCTTTCGGAAACCTTCGTGCGCATTCCGAAATTCGAAAATAGCATAAAAAACAATGTGAAATCGGCGCTATTAGCTTTAATTCACATTTTTTTTCTCTTTTTGCTGTAATCGACGTCGTTTTTTTTTATTTATTTATAATGTTTTTTATGTGTGTACTTAAAAATACTTACCACTATCTGGAATCGACAGCAGGGCAGCTACGGCTCTCAGCGCCGATCTCTTCAGCTCGTCTTGTTTTTCGAATTCTTGCTTCACGGAATTTGCCTTCACCTTCGTTTGCAACGTCGCACGTAACGGTTCCACGAGGATATCCACACCTGGGGTCAAAGAAAATAAAAATTAACAACGTATTCCGAGGAAACGCTCCCCTCCACTCGAACTGACAACATCGCACCCAATCATAATAATACGCGTATATTTGAGGACTATGAAAAAAAATCAATGAATTTAATGAACATAGTGTTGCTGTGCACTTAGACGACGTCAAAATGGGGTAAGAAAAAGAAAAAAAAACAGTGGCACAAGAGGCGCAGACGTCTTACATGAAAAAAAGGAAAATGTTCTTAATGGTGAGGTCATCAGTAAAGCTGCCCTTCAATAGATTATAAGAACCAATCAAAATGCCCGCGTAATTCAGTTTATCATATCAACCCTTTACACCCTAACATCAGTATGCATATTCTCCACACTGATCTTCATACATTTCTTAAGGTGCTGACAAGGAGAATTTGTTAGCTAATCAAAAGGTTCCTTCCCTAGTGACCATTAACTTTATTCTCATGACCTTCATTTATGATTCAGGGCTGATATTGTAGGGAGAAATTAGATGCTGGTCACTCTTAGGGTTTAAAAGGTTAAAGAAAAGAAGACAGAAAGAAGAGAAAACAAACGTAAAGTAATTTTCTAGTGAATACTCACGCTGTAATATAGCATTAGGACACAAAGAAGACAGTCTCACTAACATCAGGAACGTCAGCATCTGAATCAATAACACTGATTATTAGACTCTGACCAACGTGACAAGCAATGCATATTACTCCACAATTCCACAGCAAGAAAATTTAACATTCCACCCCTGATAAAATTTAGCAACAACGACAAAAAGAAAAAAAGATCCTGAGATGTCCTATACTGACCACGTTGCACTTAGCTTTTCCGATCCAAAATCATTAGGCATTTTCTCCATACTGTTCTCTATACATTTCCTAAAGTGCTGACAAGGAGAATTTCTTTGACAATCAATAGCTTCTTCAGTTGGTGATCATTTCCTTTATTCTCGGGACCTTAAAGGTTTCATTCAGGGCTGATGTTATAGGAAGAAATAGGTAGGTGATAATCACTTTTAGGGGTCAAAGGGTCACGGGCTAAAGGTGATCGAAGGTTTCCTCATTCCCTTCTAAGCTTACCCAATAATTTCCTTGGCATCTACCGAAAAATTGTAAGGAGTCATTCCGTTTGGGTTAGACATAGAGTGGAAAAGTGACCGCTGTACAAACCTTGATATCATAGTGATCTTTAAGTCCGTCTTCTACATGGCTCAAGAACTCGAAGATGTCGAGGCGATCGAGACATGTGTCGAGAAGTGTATACATACATTCGAACGCTGCCTAAGATCACAACGAAGCGAATATCAAAATAAAAGCCACAACATTCGAACACAAACTCTTTCCATTTATTTATTTTCCTTTTCCACAACTAAAATACGGAGAAGTGCCAAAGCGGATACAGAGCATCTGCAGTGTAAAAGTGCGCCTACCCGGAATATCATTATCGGCACAAGTAAGAGGGAAGATAAGTGAATGAAATTACTAAATTTTCCAAATGGTTCAAGTAATGACCAACTTTTACTTTCATCATTTGAAGTAAACAAACATCAACTTACGTAAATTCAATAAAGACAATAATTTATTTGACAAAACAGCTTAAAATGAGTTTTATCTTTGGTGTGAATGGAGAATAGGAAAGTAAAACTCAAATTAAACTTAACTGAGAGGCAAAATATGTCCCGCAGCAACAAAGCACTTTTCAAAGGCAAACACCGAAAATAAACAAATAAAGTAACAAAGAAGGGACAAACATAAAAAAGGTTTTATCTATTTGCCATCCTATCTAGATGGTAAAATTTAACTATATTCCTTTGCAACTGTAAGCGACAGGTGTTTCACTTGGATACCTGCGGCACTATAGCGCATTAAACAATCACTTCGCGTCTACTTTACCAAATAAACACGAACAAAGAAACATTAGGTACCTTTCTGATGTCCAAGCCATCATCAACAGTGTGCTTAAACGGTCCCATCTCGACTTCGCGAATGAGTTCTTTCTAAAGGAAGAAGACAGTCATCACATTTACTATGTGTGAAAAGGCTTCGTCGAAAGCGTTTCTGTGCCCGCGGGAAAATATGACACCTTGAGGTGAGAGGTCTGGAACGAGTCTAGTACGCCAGACATCCGGTAGATCTCGCCCCAACTCCTCTCAAATCTTCCCGCGGGTAGAGGAACACGCTTCCTGTTGGGAGAATAAAAGAGGACCTACTCGCAGCCTTCAAAGTTACAGGCAATCTACCCTGCTAAATAACGTCCAGCAAATTATTTTAAGTTTAAAACTGTTACTCAAGTTAGAAATACTCTTTACCGAAACCAAAATATCAAAGTTTAACCAACCCTGACTTTCGTCTCGTTGTACAGTCGAGGAAGAATTTGTTCCAACAAATCTCTGATGAGACTCGGTTTATTGTGAGCCGCTGAGTTGAATGTAACTAAAGCGACACGGCGGACATTCTGAGTAAAACAAAAAAAACAGAGAAGATTCAAAGAAGATTCTCCACACTGCAGGGTAAAACAAAGAGGTTTGAGCCCGGTGGAAAACCAAAATGACCAGGTAGAGCATACCAAATCAGGGTCCTGTACTGTTCGGAGAAAATCTCCAATGCATCCTCTTAGCTGGCTGTCAATCGGCTGAGGCTGAATAAACAGTGAAAGAAACCATGAGCGAGCTTTCGTGCCTAAATCGTATACGCAGTACATGTAAATAAACCATGTTTTTTTCTTCAGGACGAAGTAAAAATGAACTTTCCCAAACAACCATGTTTCAAGGTTATACTTCACACAAATATAAAGGGTATCTTTTTTGAGTATGTTCTTTCAAGATATTCCCGGACATTTGTGGATAATTTAGCGGCGCAAATATAAAGGGATATCTTTTTTGAGTATGTTCTTTCAAGATATTCCCGGACATTTGTGGATAATTTAGCGGCGCAAAAGGGAAGAGTCAGGCTCGTTCATCGCACGCCAACCTGCTTCATCAAAGCAACAGGTGACGCCTTCAGCGCGTTTCGTACGCAGGCGAGATAATATGACGTTATCAGTAATTTCCTTACATGGTCCGAGATGGTAAATTTTACAGCTGTCACCACAGTACTCCGAGCAAAGGCTGAGTCTGAGTTCAGGTAGTCCTGCGGTATAAAGTAGAAAACTAGTTTGACAAAGGAAAAATAAGCACAGTCGCTTACAAGAGATGCTGTGTTAAAAAATACAGGCAACTTTAGTGGTGAACAAGGATCATAAAAAAAAAAAACTTTGAGACAAAAGAAATTCTACTTTGGTGCATTAGTGTTTTACCAATTTTCCAGAGTTGAAACAGATCAATTAAAAAAAAATCACTTTACGTTGGTTAAACGCCTATTTATTCATTTATTTCAATTTCTTTTATAAATTTCTTAAAGCTATTAATCCTTTCATTCCTATGGATTGACCCAAATGAGTTTCTCCAATATGAACAATAAATTTTCGCAGAGAACGCCAATGAGAAGAAGGACTAAAAAAAAACAAAACAAGATGTTGTTCGATTTAATACTAAATTCTCAGATCCAACATTATACGAAATGCTCGGCAGAAGGTGCAGAGTCGACACTTTGATCGCGGAAGTTAAAATTTCAGCTTTTCATGACAAATATCCATACAAGATATTGAGTCCAATGTGTACAATTCCTATATGTGGAGAATCGTTTTAGGTCTCTGACTGCATGTAGTCAGTTTGTTTGCTTTCATCTATGATTCTGGATGCGTAGACACCCTATTGCACTTGTTTACAGTGGGATGTATGTTTAGCACAGTCACATACCTTAAGCTGTGGTAGAAGGTGCAGTGGATCTACAAGAGTCAGTTTCCCCAGACATTCGGCGACAACGTTCCTCGTTCCTTCTTCCGTACTTTCACAATGACTAAATAACAAAGTCCTGCGGGAAGATAATCAACTGAATAATAACTGAAACTATGACTTCCACAGCACGGAAGGCACACCTTCATGACCACACACTTTATGCAAAATTTTCACAAAAGAGCGTCAAAAGGCTTACTGAGAAGTTGAAAAAGAGACTTCTACAGCACGGGAGGCACACCTTCATGACAATAAACTTATTTGCAAAATTTGCAGCAAAAGAGGGTTAAAACGCTTACTGAGAAGTTGAACAAGGACATGTTTATACATATATCCCATTTGATCACCATTCTTACCATATTGAGCTAATAAATGGTCTTAAAGCTTCAACTCCTGTTGGACTTCCTGCTTCACATGAGATCACCTAGTGGAAAATCACCATCAAAAACAAGTATTGGACATGTAAAGGAATAGCGAAGTTTACAAGAGCCGGAAAAGTCAGCTAACGAGCCCGCAGGCAAATCATGCAAGAGCTTTTACGGTTTTCGTCGCATGAAGCGACTAGGAGAATTGCATCTATCCTGTGGATGGGAAGCCAGTTCATGGCAGCGTTACCCTCAAGCCTCTAAAAGAGTTTCTCTAACATTATGCCGGTACCCATCTATACTACTCAGCAGACTCAGATGTGCACTGTGAGAGTAAGGGCTGAGGTGTCACACTACATTAGTACCTAGCCCACCGCGTTTTCTCTTGTCTTTGTTTTTATCTTCCTTTATTTTTCTTGCACCTTTGTCCCGTGTCAGCTGCCTTTTGGCAAGAAAGAGCCTTCTTCACGTGTAAATTCTAGTACATACTTTTTTTGGTAAATTTTCGTACCTCTTTAAGAGAATGAAGCAACAGATACTGTCTCTTGGGATTTGCTTGAATCTCCTTGAGCAGGAATGGTAAATACAAGTTCAAATTTCCCGCAGCAATTTTACCTACACAGAAGAGACAACATCAGCAAAGTTAAAAAGAAAGGGGACGGGCCACGATAGTTTTAACCCTTTAACTCCCAGATCAAATTTGTACTTCTCCTTACTGTCAACCATACAATTTTCGCGATGTTAGTTCAGAGAATTTAGCCTAATTATCCCCAAATTGATATTTTTCTTTATTCTCATCACTTATCAAGTTGATATTTTATTGATATTGTGAGGAGAAATTCTGTCTTGGTCACTCATAGGAGTTAAAGGGTTAACGATGAAAGGGCACAAAGACACAAAATGGGGCTTTGTACATATCGAAGGCCACAAAATAACGTAGTTTAAATCCTTATGTAAAAATATCTCTTACCAACTGAGTTTGAGTTCCGTACTGTACTTTACGGACCGAGCTTTCTCCGCTCGGATTTAGCCCCAAACGCGAAGCGCAGGCCATAAATTCGAGCGAAAAATAAAAACGAGGTTCTGTAACTTTCAATACGGACCAAGAAAAACGAGGTTAATAAGATATTCATTATATTTCTTGGTTCAAATAGAAGGGGGAGATTTCAATTCAAGCAAATTTTTGAATTTTGCAAGCCGTGCAGTGAAAAACGGCCCGCCAGATCAATGAAATATAGCGATAGCGGCACTAACTGAGAGATTGTAACAAGTGTTGCATCCAATTGGCCGAGAGAGTGGCGTGGGTTTTCTGGACCAAACACTGAGCAAGTAGCCCAAAACCAAAGCAACACACGTTTACTCTCTACGCTATGTTGAAAATTTGTCCACCATCGACAGCCACATTCATTTAATTAGCTCATTCATGAAAGACTTTGATATTCGTCTTAGATCTAAATGAAGTTAACATACACGCAGTAGATCAAACCTAATGCGAAAGAAGCCGCTGACTTTACTTCCTCTGATGGTGACGAGAAGCAATCTAAGATGGCCACAGCTAGTTGTTGATGACTGCTTAAGTCACTGAAAGGTCAAAAATGATAGTCCTAAATTTAATCCGATAAATTTGATAAGGCTATACAAAGTGGTAGAGAGGAAGAGGGGGGAGGGGGAAGGTCCCATGACCCCCCCCCCCAGATACGCTCCTGGCGACAGCCTTTAATGACATTTCCCCCGCCCCCACCTCCGAGTTTTTCTCCCAGGTAATCTGAGCCCCCTCTGCTTTCGAGCGAGTGTTTCAAACACTCGATGGAATTTTCAACACTCCAGGGTTTTCAGTAACTTTCCCCTTTTTCGCAAGCGGTCACCGATGATGTAATAGGAGGCTGTGCCGGGAGAGGGGCCGTAAGGCGAAATTCAAGCACAAGGGCCTTTGAGGTGGCCCAAAAACGCTTGTACTGCAGGCTAGACAAAGAAGAATTTTCTACCAACGTACATGTGTCTTCCTATTTCACCCAATGACAGCAGGGAAAATAAACGTAACGGATCAGCGACCTTTTCACTCTGTGGATAAAAAGAAAATAAGCACATAATAATATTTATTGATCAAAGGTAGAATTATGACAAAATTATAAATTTAACACTTCACATTAAAACTCATTTTTACCTGAATATCTCTGACAAACTGATTTACAACAGATTCTCCATCGGATAGACACGACATGGCCAGTACCGCAACACACTTAGCAATGGAGTGGAAAGCCTGCGGGAAAAGAAGAAAAATGGAAAAAGTGGAAAATTAAAAATTAAAACAAAATAAAATTCGGCATGTTTAAGGGAATTGTTAAACAAGACAGAACAAAAAAATGACACTTTCTACACTGAAAATGGTATTCCATGTATCGTTAATTATAAACCAAATTTAATTGGCTAATCAGGTCTCAATCATGGTCCTTGTTCAATTTTGTTTTTCAGTTTTGAGAGAAACAACTTGTTTACCCAGCCTCAGTCATAATAGTTAAAACAATTTCCATTTTTCCTTGTTGTCATGGTATTCAGAGCGTCAAAGAGACTCAGACTGTGAGAAGAAAATCTTTTTTGAGGGGGAAGGGGGGGGGGAGGGAGTAGTCGCTGAGAGAGGGAGTTGGGAAGTATAGAAAATAAACCCTATAGAAACAAAATTCAACTGATTTAGGTAAGCAATTTTATAACCTTCCGTTATTGTGGTCTTGCGCTCTTTCAGGAAAGGTTTTCGCACCTCCTTGTTCCTAGAGGCTTTCTTACAAAGTCTGGATAACCATACCTGTTTGTGGATGATTGTTTGTTGACTTCCTTGGCTTGAGGAGTAAATAGGAGATACTAACATCTAAGAAAGAAAGAATCAAAAGTGTTATGACGTAGCTTGCCTTATTTTCAAATATTACTCACAAATGTACAAGTAGGTTCTGGGAGAGACAAGAAATACACTGTTTCATTCACACTTACTCTGTATTGTTCCTTCTCTTCTCCTATTCTTCCGAATATTGAACGTCAAGGGAAGCCAAATTATATGTTTCTCATCGACTCTAGTGCCCAAGGCCTACAAGTTTAACCCCTCAGAGAGACTGACGTCTCGTTTCGCCTTACAATACCACCCCTCCCCCTCCCCCACCCCCCGAGTCGCTTATTAAGGTCTGGAGAATAAAGAAAATAATCACAAATTTAGGAAGCTCCCAATTATCAAAAATTTTCTGGTATGGAGAACATTAATACCAATGTTAGGGTGTGCAGGGTTACGTGATATTCATGCAGTGCGATGTTGACACTCAGTATCAGTACCGCTCGCCCCAGTCACCTTATGGTTTCCTAAATGAAAGTGGCCTCTCATTTAGTCCTAAGTTAACCCTTTACACCCTAACATCAGTATGCATATTCTCCATACTGTTCTCAAAAGAATTCCTAAGATGTCGACATGGAGAATTTGTCTAACAATCAATAGCTTCTTTAGTAGGTGATCAGCTCCTTTATTCTCATGACCTTAATGTTTGATTTAAGGGTGATATGGTAAGGAGAAATTAAATGCCAGTCAGTCTTAAGGGTCAAAGGGTTACGTCATACCTGGAAGAGATCTTTAAATCCCATTCCTTTTATTCCAGAAGTAACCAGTTCAGTAAGAAGAGTGAGAGTAGCATTCAGTGCTCCACCTGAGCGATTAAGAAATGATAATTATTACCCAATGATAAAATCTTTTTTAAAAATAGTTCACTTCCGAAGAGCTCTATACGTCTGAGTGTCTAAAACTGAGACCAACTTAAAAAAGCACAACCGCTGACCAGAAAAATGCAAACTATCACAAGAGGCAAGTAAGAACGCAAAGAATTACACGTAGATGGAATCAAACATGAGGAAATATCAGTAACCAGCGGTCTAAGGTAAAGCATGCACAAAGAGACCAACTTTGGCCAGCCGCGGTTCAATTCCCGCGCAAAATTACGAAAGGAAACATAAGAAACTACCCTGTAATATGTGTAATTGTTTATAACTCGTGCAAGACAATTTTATGTCGACAGCCCTAGGAGCCTGGAACCTAGCTTCTATAACGTTGGCACATTCGTAGACGTTAGACCGCTGTGTTGTAACCAAGCTGCTATTGGTGTTGGTTTTGCATCTGATTGGATAAGAGGATGATGCATAAGACCTTAACCAATCACAGAGCGATGTTGAGAAAAAAACAGGAGAGATCCTGGATTTAATTCGTCGGAAAAACAAACGGAAACGCTCCTAACCAGGTGCGTTACTCTAAATGACGAAAAAATATATTTTCTTTAGGGCTGAATGCGAGGCAAATCACCCTGCCCCGATACCCAGGGGTTAATAGGCAGAGCTATAAAATTTTAGGAGACTACGTAACATCTTATGAATTGTAAATGAGATAGCTTGGTAACACCTCTCTAACCTTGAAGAAGTGGCGACCTTATCAAAACCATGATGGCTGGCAGAGTGGAAGTGCAGGCCTGTGAAACGCGTGATAGTTCATTGTTAGAGTATCAGGGAAAAGGAATGGACTATGGATTGAAGTAAAATAGTCACGAGCATCATCTAGTACTTGATTCTCGGAGTTAAGTGGCATGAAGTGCCTAGAATTATTGCTACTGGTGTTTCCACTGATTTTGTTGCTGATTGTGGCCTAGTAATAGGTGTAAAATAAAGAACCTTAGGGGTCAGGGTTAAGCACTAATAGGAACTACAGTTGTCAAAGTCGTTCTCCAAATTTTTCTTCTTCCCACCCCTCCTGGAGCAAGAGGAAGATAGGGAGAGAGACCATGGAACACGCTGGCCATTTGTCTCCCTCCGAAAGGTGTGAAGGATTGGAAGCCTAGCAAAGAGAATAAACGCTCGTTCGTGTAGCAATCACAGGGCTTTACCTGCGCCATGCTGTCCTTGTGGATCTTGGCAACAGAAGTTAACAATGTAAGTGAGAGCTGAAAATAATATCAATCATTCAATCAATCAATCAATCAATCAATCAACCGATCGATCGATCGATCAATCAATCAATCAATCAATTAATCAATTATATAAACCACACAAAGTTATAAGGTGCATTTTGAATAAAAGAAGTATAGGAAAAAGAAAGGCGTGGTGGTGCCAGACTGTTCAAAACACGCTTATGCTAGCCCAGGATTAATGAAACTTTTGTAAAGCTACATAGCCCCTTTTTGTATAGCTACATAGTTTCACTGTTGATGACAAAACTACAACTTAATCAAACTTCTATTGAGCTCAATAGTGACTTTACATATATTAAAATACTGGAGTGGAGGAAAAATAAAGTACAAAACACTGTTGATGACGATTGCCTCGTTCTCAACGGTAAGCTTTTGTAACTCAGTTGTTAGTAGTGCGCCTAACTGGTGTAGAGGAAGCAGGGGTGCAATAACTTGAACCGCAGTTCAAGTTATCGTTCGTTTTCATATGTTTCCCTCACATTAACCTTACAGCACAGCCCTCGAAACGCGACGCGTTAAATGCGCCAGAAACCCATACCTGTGAGATATGAAGATCGCTTTCGCTGATTAAGGGCGGAACCTCTGTCAATACTCCTGATATGTTCTCTTGAGACAATAAATGACCTAAACACAACACGGAAGCACATTGGTTAACGCTTTATTCCCTAAGATCAGTATACAAAATCTCCATACTATTCTCTACAGATTTCCTATGGTACTTACAAGGCAGGGCGTGAAATTAATTTTTTTTTTCTGACAGCCACTTGGCTCCTAAATTCTTCAAAGTGGTAGCCAATTCAAGAAAAGTTGGTCGCCATTTTCAAAGACAAACAAAACCTCTTTTTTACGCTGTCATCGTTCTAGAAATTAAGTAGGGGAAAAGATCTTTAACGTGCTACAAAATGGACACTAGGATGGATGATATGCAACGTTTAAGCTCACCTAAATCAAAGATGGCGTCTAGTTATCGATCGAGATGCATGTGCTGCATTTTGGAAACAAACTTAACGAGGAAGTTTGCCGCGGATTTGTCTTTGCAAATCTTTTTAATTCACTAGATCTCTTAGTAAGGTTATAATGAAACATTCTAGTCGCCAATTTGGCGACTAATTTTCAGGATTTGGTCGCCAAGGTGAAAAATTTAGTCGCATTGGCGCCTGTATTGGGCGCAATTTCACGCCCTGCAAGGGGAATGTTTCTCACGATGAAAGAGCTCTTCGAGTGTACAATCATTTCCTCTTCTCTCATGACCTTCACCCTTTCACTCCCAACAGTGACCAAGACAGAATTTCTCCTTACAATATAAATACAATCTCAAGTAGACAAGTGATGAGAATAAAGAAAAATATCAATTGGTGGATTTTTCATTTGATTAAATACCAAATTCTCCAAACTAAAATTATAAGCAGTGTATGGCAGAGAGTAAGGAGAATTGCTGAAGAGATCATGGGAGTGAAAGGGTAATGTTTGATTCAGGGAGGTGATATTTTTGGGAGAAATTAGATGCTTCGTACTCTTAGGAGTTAGACTGTTAGAACAATCACAAAGCCTGTTCCAAGGATGCCGTTAGCAAACTATAGTACGCTCCTCGATTGAAGGGATCATGATGACATGAACAAAAGAAAAAAGAGTCTTACCATAATTAGTAACCAAAACATTGAGGGTTGTCAAGGTTGATAGCTTAAGTGCTCTTTGGTTCTTGCGCAAGAAGGAGGCAAGAATTGGCATAGAATCACCCTAAACACAGTGATTAAAAATAAAAAATAAAAAAAAAACAGATGATCAGTGAATGAAATATTCGGCTTATTGGAGCTACACACAAGACCCTGATGATTTCATTCCCTTTTATACCTACCAGTATTGTATAGAGGTCAATTCTAAGTGGTGATCTGAAAGACAAATAAAAAGAGGTCTAAGCTTGGGGTCCGGAAATTCATTGGCTTCGGAAAGATTATGAAGAGGAGATTAATGCAGGGATTGAAATGGTACTTTACAAAATGGAGGTACAGTCCCAACCCACGTCATATTGAAACTTAGAAACTAAAATGATCTGTGAGCTAAATTGATTTTACAATACAACTCTATTTGATCGAGTGTCCCACGTGTTTTCATCGCAGCTGATTGCAAATGGCGAGTAAAGGAGTTGGTCGACATACCCTGCAATCAGTGAATAAGCTTTGACAGTAGTTAGCCTTGTGATTTCATTTCTCAGTCTATCAAGGAATATTGGGAGACACTGTGGAAGTTGCTGACCAAGTTCATCGCCGAGGCTGCACAGAATCTGACCCCTGAAAAACACAAACATCTTCATCATTGGGAATTTAAAGCCAACTGGAAGAGATAATGCGTCCATGTTTGATTTGTTTCTTTGTGCACCGAGAATTGGTGCTAAACACGAGCTTTTAACCCGTTAAGCCGGGCTAATATTGAGGTTAAAAAAAAAAACTGTGGCCAAAAGAAGAGATTTCTTGTGAGGCCATACTTTGTTCGATGGTTTAACATGCCATACGCGCGGATATTTTGCGAGTTGCGTAGTATTTCTGTGAGCCCCTTATGGGCGATGAAGCATACGAACAATGAGCAAAATGTCCCCTCGCACTATATGTTAAACCATCGAATAGGGGATTTATTATTTCACTGTTATTTCATTTTCTAGTCTTTTGACGCCCTGTTCTTTTCGAAACTAATGCTCATACGGTCTTATCTGAGCATCGTACTAATCGCACAAGGCGTGTGTGAAAGGAGAAAACGACACAAAAGAAACCATTTCTACAAATATTCTTGATGACCGAAAGCTTCGAAGTTCGTCGCTGAAAAAATAACGTCTGAAAAACGGAAGAGAAATCAAAGACGGCGCGGATTGTTTCTGTCCGTATTTTCGTAGACAAAGAGAGTTACTGGAAGCAAACCAGCTTCCAGTAACTTTCTTTGTCTGCGAGATCAAAGTGGGCGATCCACAGCAAGCAAGAAGGCTCTTGAGACGCTTGAGTGCCCAGTTAAACCACTGATGAAGCCCGCGATAAAATAGAGAAAATTATTGAGTCAAGTTCAAACCGATCAACTGCTTTTTTGTCTTTTTCACCGACGTTTCTTTGCCTGGTTCAAAGACAAGCGATTATCGGGAGTATGGCTTTTGAAAAACCATTCAACATCAATGTTGCACAGAGCACCTTTCCACAGAAATGAACACTCCTTCATCATAACTTACATGCATGATATGGCTCTTTCTTTGACCTCCTGGTCAATATCGGCAGCTTTGAGTCTGACAAGAGTACATTGGTAAATATCCTTCACATACGGCCTAAATTCAAATTCACTTGCTGGCACTCCTGTTCGATTTGACGAGAAACAGCAATTAATGTTGTGTCCGAGGACATTGTTACATGTTAAAAAACGGTATGGTGATTCCTGTCACGCCAGCTGAATGGAAATTATTCTGCGCTGCTGACTTTTCTGCACCTTTAAACCTTTGATCCCTCAAGCTGACTGGCGTCTAACTTCTACTCTACAGTATCAACCCTGAATCACACGTGAAGGTCACAAAATTACAAGAAATGATCACCACCTAAAGAAACTCCTGATCGTGAAACAAATTCTCCTTGTCAACACCATAGGAAATATATACGGAACACTATGTGGAATATGCATACTGATGTTAAGGTGGAAAAGGTTAACGAAAATAAAGACAGCAATGTGGAGCACCAGAACTTCGATTCGAGAAACTGTGTACAGGAGGTCGATGGGTATTTTCTCTTCTAAGATCTCAAGTTAATGACATTTTCCTCTCGGACTACAGTACCTTAACTCCAATAAATTGTTTTGACCCTTCCCTCATCGTCCCATCTCGCGTCTTTTAGGCACGCAAAAAACAAAACAAAACAAAACAAAAAACGCCGGACGCGCTAGCTTGATGGAGATTTTAAATAGAGTGTATGTCTTTATAAAGTAAAGGTAACGGCACTAAAGCCGAGAGACACATCCAGCAGGAGCTTATCCCGGTTTTTATAGTATTACTGATCTCTCTGGATGGGATGCTACTTCATTGAGCAGATTACCTCTTAGCATTTCATCAGGCTTTCCTGACAATTCACTGGTACCCATTTATTCTCCTGGGTGGAAGAGGGGGCCGTAAGAGCAAAGTGTCTTGGCAAGTCTTGAGCTCGGACTTCTCAGCCCAGAGTCCAACGCGCTAACTTTAAGGTCAAGTTAGGTCAACGTATATCTCACATACATTTAGGACAAAGAATGACTCAAAATACTGTGACATCTGTGACATACCGTGAGGTCTGATGACCTTGACCAGCTGTTGAGTGACCATCAAAGCTTCGGAAGTGATCTTGTAGAATGGATCGCCAACTGCTGTCACAACAGGCTATGAGCACACACACACACACACACACAAAAAAAAGTTTCAACAAGAGATATTAAGGTCGACTACCTGATCTAATTGCTTCAAGTTGTAAAATAAAAGAGCAAGTTCCAAAGGACCGTCGTCGAAAGTAATTCATGGTTTTCCTGCTTTTGCCTGACTCAACTTCTGAGTTGGTTCTTCAAATCTAACGCCACCTTCTTAAGCAATCAGATGCAAAACTAATTTTGAGTGCAACTCTGTCGTTTTGCGAGTGAAAGTTCACTTTTACATAATTATGCGAATCATGTTCCCTTGCATTCTATAATGAAGGAATTGAAGACAACACAACCACCTTATTAGGGTTTTAATAAGGTTTTTTTTCTTTTTATAAGCGGCTGTCGATGGTGTAATAGGAAGCATGTGCCGAGAGGCTGAACAAATGACAGAAAGGGGTCTTACAGGTGGCGGAAGACTGCTGATAACCGGCCATCAACAAAACCCCTGCCTTGCTCACCCAATATTTCAAATTGTAGTAAACAACAACAACAACAACAACACAAAAACAAAAATAAAACATAATGACTACTTACCGGAACTAGTACATGAATATGTGGATGGAAAACTTTGGGTGGATGTTGGGCTAGAATGCAGCCAAGGAAGGCGAGGGTGTCGATTTTCATATTTGATGTTGAGCTCTTATCTCTGAAAAGAACAGGAAGAATGTAAGAAAAAAGGCGATTATTTATGAATTAAAAAAACATCATCGTCTAAGAAGCAACCATTTACAACTTCGAACTCTCACTGGTAAAGTAAGGCAATTAATTAGCGAGAATAGCCCATTCAACAAACACATCCAGCTTCATTTGCCTTCGTGGCCTCAAGAAAGAAGTGCTTGTTATATTTTTAGTAATCAGGTACTCAAGAACTCAAAATTTCCACGACGAAGTATCGGTATAAACCGTTCGTTTTTGTGTCACTGTACATGGTCAACAAACGTTATACAAAGCTGCTCGGTGAAAGATATTCCTTCAAAAGCATAAAATCGGACAGGGCAATCATTATTTTCCGCGATACGAGACAACGACACTTTTTTTTCCAAATAAAATACAAAATAACGTGCATTTTATTCAAACATCAGAAAACAAGCACTACTCAGATAGCCTTTGAGCATTTTCACGTACAATTCTACATCTCTGCTTCACACCCTTTCTCGTTTCCTTTCACAACGCCTTACCCAAGTGAAAACTGTATTCCAGGAACAATGGCACTGATATGATCAGACAGAGCCCCAGGCAAAACAGCAACAAGTTCCAACAACAAATGGAAGCATCCCTGAAATGGAAGAAAGTTAAATAAGTTCAGTGAAAGTACATCTTCAATCAAAAATTGATCCACGCTTTTAGCTGTTAGTATAACTAGGTGAAGTTTGCAGAGCAAGAGCGAGGTGTAGGAATTGCTCGAGGCGCAACCAAGAACAACCCTCGCTTCTTGAGTGCTCTCTAACCTACTCAAGTGGATATGAACAGCTGAAAGCATGAAGCATGGCAGGCACAATGCTCTCGTTCGAGCGGAAATACTTCATATGGTTTATCTCAAATTGTTCATGAAAATTCACATCTTTGAGAAAACTGTCCATAGAAAATTCGCTTCTCTGAACCAAAGAAGCAGCATGTCAGTTTTTTTCCTCGATGCTTACGAGTCATGGAGCCAACTACACCGTGAAAATGTGTACCTGTCTGGTTTTCACACTCTTTTCCTTCAGCTGTTTGTGCAAAGCTCTGACAATGGATGGTATCTGAGTGGTCAGGAGATTCACAGGGCTACAAAGAGCAAAAAAATAAACATACGGTAATATGCTGTTAACCCTTTAACTCCCATGAGTGACCACAACATAATTTCTCCTTACAATATCAATACAATATCCAGCAGACAAGTGATAAGAAAAGAAAAGTATATGTTAGGGGATTATAAGTTGATCCAATACCAAATTCTCCAAAGTAACATTACAAGAACACAGTTAGGAGAATTACTAATGAGATCGTGGGAGTTAAAGGGTTAAGTGCAATGTACATGTAGTGTATTTTCTATATTTTGTGGAAGAACTCAAGATAAGTGATAATAGCGATGACTGACAGCTACAGTGTAGTATCAATGACCGTTTTACATGTCATTTTGATTAACACCAGACCACGACAGTCACTAGCTTGCGACCAGTCCTTAACTTAAGCGCTTTGGGAAGAGCGTTTCTTCGCTGCTTGGATCAACAACGTCAAAAAGCGTCATGTGAGTAAACATAACAGAAAAGGTGCTGGAGTTTGTGGAATAATAACGTAAAGTAAAACGTCTTTCTTCAATAAAAACAAACAAACAAACAAAATCCAATTCAGATTATTACTACCAATTATATCGTTCCTAATAATGTAATGAGACTCGGTAATAAACGGCACATGTTGTTTGTTATTGTTTGTTTGTAGTTTCCTCTCACCCTGAATCATCTTCCATAGCTTCAGCATCCAGCGTCTGACTAGCCACAGGCCTGGTCTGTCTCAGAAGAGTGATGTATGCTGCAAATATGTCAGCTTTAACATTCTCTTCCCGTTCTACAAGATAAAAATCCACACTTTTTGATTAAGAGACCAATCTTAATATTTTTTCTAATACTTCATTGATTTGCTGTACCTTTGAATCTGGCAATAAGCGCTGGTGAAACTGATTTGTAGAACTCAGACAACAGTTCTGGTCTTGATCCTAACACTGCAGACAAACACTTGGCTGCTGATCTTCGAACCTGCAGTTGACAATAAAATCAATCTATGATTTCGCTGATATCAAATGCTCTCTATACAGTAAGAAGGGTTATATACCAGGCACATCAGTAAATATATATATATTAAAATAAAAAAAAAAATGCATGACTATATTAGAGGGCTTGGATCGAGTGTCGTAAAATAAAAACCAAAGTAATCGAAACGACCAATCAGAGGAAATGAAGATAACTCTAAGAGCCAATGAGAACTCAAAGTAAAGACAAACAAACTGCCTAAAGCGCGGGAAAACGCGGGCGACCAAGTCGTGATTGGTTTTAGTTTTGAATTGATTGGTTGAGAGAGTGGCAAGAGTTTTCTGGACCAATCACAGAGCGAAAAAAAGCACAACCAAAGTAATCCTGGATTCGACACTCAATTGAAAACTACTCTGATAGCATGGTGTGACTCACATTGCAGTAATGGTCAACTCGTCTTTCACCGCAACAATATCACAAGTATAACAGTTACTGAGCTCTGCCTCAGTCTCCACTAATAACGAATACAACGTACACGCTCATATGACCATATTACATTTACCTTCCAACTCATGTCATCATCATCGCTATAGTCGTCATCTTCGTCACTATGAAGAGTGGTAACAACCCACAAGTTAAAGAACATTGTATATCATTGTATTCAGTTAAAATTCGTAATCTTTTGTCTTGGTCAAACCTTCTCAGGACCCACAGAAGTCTTAACGCAGCTAAGTTACTGTACACCCTTTAACCCTTTAACCTAACTGACTAGCATCTATTTTTCCTTAAAATATCACCCCTGAATCATGCAGTAAGGTCATGAGAATAAAGACAATTACCAGCAGCTAAAGAAGCTGTTGATTGTTAAACAAATTCTCCTTGTCCGCACCTTAGGAAATGTGTAGGGAACAGTATGGAGAATACCCTTACTGATATTAGGGTGTAAAGGGTTAACCCCTAAGAGTGACCGACATCTAATTTCTCCTCACATTATCAGCTCTGAATCAAACATTGAGGTCACGAGAATACAGGAAATGATCACCAACTAAAGAAGCTCTTGATTATTTGACAAATTCTCCTTGTCAATACCACAGTAATGTGCAGAGAAAAGTGTGGAGAATATGCATGCTGATGTGAGGATGTCAAGGGATAAAGTGGACCATGTCTCATGCATGTGTCACACATGCGTAATAGAGGTCGCGCGTTAAGTAATTCTTCCTACTTGCTGGGTGGGTACTTATTCGAGGTCGGACGATTCGTCGAATTAATACGATTTGTACAATTATTATTCAACCGCATGAAGTAGAGTACCAATAACATGCAAATAAAGAACAAATATCCTGTCATATTGTACGGTTGGTTATTTTGTCCTGTTAAAAAAAGGCCTGTTTAACGCTGCGCGCGCTACGCTTCTCTCTCCGCTTTGATTTGCCCTCCTTATGAGAAATTAGTTGAAATTTTTGGCCAAAAAAAAAGCAGTTGGGCATAAATAACTTTTTACACGTTTTGGTGTGTAGAATCGCTGAGTATTTTTACTCGTTATTTGTATTTTGACTCCCCCTACGGGCTCCTCAAAATGCGGCACAGCTCGTAAAAATACTAAGCGATACTACCAAGCTAATACGCTATATACAGTATACTGTCTATTGAGGGTACAACTGCATAAAAAACAAGGAGATAGGAGTTACAAGCAACGAGAATCCAGGAAGAAATCACTTTTGGTTTGAGTCAGCTAGGATTCTTAATATCAGCTACTGACTGTAATTTATGTTGTTTAAAACTTTAGACCCCTTAGAGTGACCAGCATCTAATTTCTCCTAACAGTAATCTATCTGAATCATTCATTAAGATCACGAGAATAAAGGAAATGATCGCCAACCCAAGAAGCTTTGATTGTTGAACAAATTCTCCTTGTCAATACCAAAGGACAAGTACAGAGAAGAGTTGGGAGAATATGCATACTGATGTTAGGGTGTAAAGGGTTAATACTTACTCCTCCTCGTCGTCATCCAAGTCTGTTTCCATGTTTTCATCTTCGTCGTCACTTCCATAGTTATAGTTTGGATCATAGCAAATGAATTCCAGGCAGAGCTCTGTAATCTGTGGAACACCAGACGAAAACATGTCACATTTTACAGCTTGTTAAAAGTCATTTTCAAGTGAGCGTCAAAAGTAATCAGGACTTTCTTTGGTTTTGCTTTACTTTGCTCTGAGATTTGTCTGGACGCAAACTTAAAACCAATCGTGATTTAAACACCCGCGTTTTCTCGCGCTTTTAGCAATCTACCCGTTTTTACTTTGATTTCCTTTTGGCTTATTATATATATATATATATATATTTTTTTTTTTTTAAATAAATGGCCGTCATGATTACTCTGCTTTTGGTATTTTGACACTCAAATGAAACTGCTCTCTATGGAGGGGTGGGTAAAGACTGCCCTTGGTCACGAACTCGATTTTGCTGCTGTCGTCTCATTGTTATTTGGTTGTTATTGTTTTTTGAGGGAAATCTAGCGGGAGCAAGACAGTAAAAACTAGTGGTACCGCTTTTAATTAACAAAGTGTTTCTCGTAATTTTCGAGTGGAGATGTGTAAAATAATATTAATTTTAAAAAAACACACATGCCGCAGCATTGCTTGGCCAGGTAATTAAAAAGATCATTTAACTTAGCATAGATTTGTGTAATGTTTTGTTTCCTCTAGAATTGTTTTAAACTAAGATGAGACCCCGTAAAAGCTTAGCCTTTGTACATTGTATTTACACCATTAGAAAATGTTTATCAAATCCACTTTTGGATTTTAATCCTGGATTAACACTAACAATCTTTTGAACTACGGATAGTTTAGTAAAAGCATGAGTTGTTCTTATATTCCTTTCTGTGTTGTTTGGGATAAGCATAAAAAGATTTCCAAACTACAATTACCTTGGGAATATAAGAGGTTACTTCTTTGGGGCATCTGCAAACAAATGATTCAAATGCCTACAAAAGAACCAAAGAGAGACATACTTCACTACCCAGGCATCATAAAATGTAACACAATGCATGTGCAGCCCATAAACCTCTTCAAGCATCATAAAATGTACTGAGCACAACGCATCTGCACCACACAAATCCCTTGAAACTTTATTAGTGCCAGTTTAATATTATCTTTTTATGTGAGGTAGTAGTTATCAACACTAAAGGAAACGTAAGTTTGTTGCAGCACTAAACGCTTTCTGTTATTAATACTCCTTTACATGCAAGGATATTAAGTTGGGTGGGGGAAAAATAAAAAAACTTTGTAAATGTTGTGCAAGCCTTGCACGTTTTTTTACTCCAGGCTCCAGTTGTATAATGGGAAGATAACAACAGGGGCCAGCTTTGTGCACACAGACTTGCCTAAGTTCTTAATATGAGCTTGTTTGCTCATCTCATAATTGCAAAGAGTTCTTGACAAAAAATGAATAAAGTTTTGTAAAAAGTTTCAAGAGAATATTACAGGCTAAGCAAACTAAGAGTTACATTTCTGAAGCACATGAAGTTGGACCAAAAGCTCAGAAATACAAGTAGTGCTCTTGGAATAGAACATTACAGCACATGTAAAGGAAACTGTTTTGCATGCTGGTAGTTCAAAGAGAGAGTCAAGTCTAACCTGAATACAGTATTCTCTCAGCTCATCATCATTTTCAACCCTAGAATATTGTACTATCATGGGTATGATTCTCTCTAGATGTTCTCCAACTCTGTGACCAGCTTGGCGACTAAGGTACAATCAAATGTAACAGTCAAACGACAAACTGATCCTCAGCAATGCACATCAATTGGAAAAATTGCAGAAAAAGCTGAGAGTTTCATTCAACTCATATCTGGGAAGAGGGGTTTAAAATCCAGCAAAGCCTGATTTTTCTTTCTTTTATTTTTTTATTATTTTTTTTTTGGCTTCTTTCTCTGCATTTTCTTCAACAAATGAAAACCAAATAAAAAGAGGGATTCGTGATAAAATAATTCATTTTGTGGAGTTTCCATACAAAAGAATGTGACTTACCATATTGCTCCTATGCACTGGATAAAAGTTCTAGTTGTAGAGTGTGAGGCATTTTGCTTCAGTTCAGTAAGCAAATGATCCATTAGTTCAACAAACAAACTGCTGTTTGCACTTAACACAAGATGGCCTGCATTGAACACAATCACATCAAACAAGTACAATAAGTTTCCAACTAGAGTGACTGAGACATCCAGGGGCTCCCACTATTGGGAGCCAGCTCCTAGATGGAGACTGCTCCCATAGCTGGAAACTCCTGGCAACCCAGAACCCAGCTATGAACCCCCAAGTAGGAAAGGGAAACAGGCTCACCACACTGAATGAACAAAGCAAAGAGGGAGGGAATCGGTGGGACAAACTGCCAGGACGATGAGCTGCCACTCCAAACAATCCTGCAAGTTCATGCTCAAAGCACATGCAAGAATGCCTCAAACAAAGAGCACATAGAATTCTGATGCATGCACTTAAGTAAAAACTGCTGACTAGTAGAGAATGCTGATGCTACATGTACCATCAAAGGTGCTCTTGACTCCAACAGGGTTGTCAAAAAGATTTTGAGAGCCAGTTTGAGTTACAAAGAAGGCAGTTCAATGTTATTCTTCAATGCTGAAAATAGAGCCACAAGCATTCAGAATAACCCATGTGTTTTTCAGAGTCGACAATTTGTTTTGACAGCTCTGCTCCAACAATAACTTTCCAGCTATGATCAGGGTAGCAGAAGTTTATTATATATAATAAGAAAAAATTCATGGATTTTAAGAAATCAAACCGTACATGCACAATACTGAGTTGCTTTTAAAATGGCAGCCTGCATGATGATAGAGCAGTCTGGTTACTCTGTGAAACCTAAAAATTGTGGATATAGTAACCTTCTGTACAATACATGTACCATTTTGTGACAGAGAAAAAGATTGTATAGTTTCTGGGGCGTAATTCTAGTATAAGATGTTTACAGTACGAATTGCAATTCCATGTGAACTCAGAATAATCAGGAAGGTTATTTCATTACCCAGTGCAATGATGGTTCTCTTTCTGACAGCAAGCCTGGCACTTGTTAATTGTGGTAACAGAGCTTGCTGAATAGACTGGTGGTATGATACCAAGAGTCCTGTCAAATGAATAATAATTGTATGTTAATCCTTTACACCCTAACATCAGTATGTATAATCTCCATACTGTTCTTCATACATTTCCTAATGTGCTGGCAAGGAGAATTTGTTTGACAATCAAGAGGTTCTTCAGTTGATGATCATTTCCCTTATTCTCATGACCTTAATGTTTGACTCAGGGGTGATATTGAAAGGAGAAATTAGATGCTCGTCACTCTCAGGGATTAACCCTTTAACTCCCAAGATCTCACTAGCAATTCTCCTTACTGTCTGCCATATAACTCTTTTGGTGTTATTTTGGAGAATTTGGTATTGGATCAACTGATAATCCCCTAATTGATATCTTTCTTCACTCTCATCACTTGTTTGCTTGATGTTGGTTTTAAATAGTAAGGAGAAATTCAGTCTTGGTCACTCATGGGAGTTAGAGGGTTAAAGGGTTCGCTGGTTTGCACCTTAGAGTGACAACTAATCATGTCTACAGTTTTCATTGACTGCAATATGTAGGTGGGCATGGGCAGGGAAAGGAGTAAGAGGGGGTAAGTTCATGATGAAACTGTGCTACTGTGATAAGGCAGGGGGGTGTTGCAAGATATATATAATTATATATATATTTTTTTTTTTTGGGGGGGGGGGGTTGACCTTGCAACCCTTTGCCCTTTGCATCACCACTTTGGTCTAGATGATGCTGTATAGTACAACTTAAACATTCCACAAAAATTATTGCTTTACGTACCTCCAAACCTGCTCAACAGATCACCCAAAATATCCAAGGCCTCAAGCTGGACAGAAACATCAGTGCTCTGACAAAAAAAAGAAACACAGTGATAAAGTGCAGTACATACAGCGGCAAAAAAGCTTACATGAATGAAGGTGTTCCATGTTTTGCCACTACTGTAGTAAAATATGAAAAATGTCAATTGCATCAAATGATTTTTGCACCTAATTGGTCTGAAATCACATGAGACATTGCAATAAAGAATTTTCATTGAGGAGTGTTTTCATGATGACAGTGTAAAATTCTTTGCATCAAATTTTTCTTTGGTAAAAAAAATTTCTGGACCAATCTATACACAGTCAACTTTCCATTAACAGACAACCAATAAAACCAAATTTTTTTCCAAGACCTTAACCTTGTTGAGTTAGCTTTCTCAAAAAAAGACATTAAGCCCAATTATTCATAACTGAGATGTACGAGAAACACCACATACAGGCGTTGTTCTGTTTTTTTAATATACTGTACACAAGTGTATAATACAAGAGTAATTTTGCTGTTAATATCCATTTCAAGGAGAATGCTGCATGCATTATTATTTTCTTGAAATAGTTACCTTGGAAATAGCATTTGTGAGTCTTCCAGTTATTCTTCGGCAGATGTTGGCAGCCAGTGAAGATGAAGCAGGGGGTAATTCACCAATAACTGTTTTCAAACCTACAATGACAAGTACAACATGCATGTACATCTGTCCTTTGCATCTGTAAGGGAAATTTTTCTCAAAAGGAAGACCTTTTCAGCAAAGCTGGAAGTACAGTATTGAATATGGAGAGTAAAAAATGTTTAAGAGTAGAGCTCTCTTGTAGACATCAGATTATTTCAAATACTGTACAGAATGTATGTTTTTATACAGTTGTCAAATTCATTAGGGCTGTTGTTTGAGATACATCATTTAGTTAATATTTCCTTTTTAAACACAGTAGACATTTCAGTGCTTAGTGTAAAGCTTAGATTAATTCAATCTCTTGTGCATCTTGGTGAGGATGATTGTAACTCGCTGTCATACTACCAAGCCTTTAAGTTCTATTCCTACACTTGTTCATGACTGATGATTTAATTTCTCATAAGACTGAACTTTTTCCAAGTCCAAAAGTGTCGACTTGCACAAAAGAAATGTCCACTGTGTAAATATGCATTCACAAAGTCTGCTGATTCTTAACTGCTTACCAATACTTGAAATGTCTCTCAGTTGCTCATTGTCTGAGAGCATGTTTGAGCAGAGTGAATCAACTATGGTCTCCACATGATGTTCCTTGACTTTACTAACCAGAGGGCCAAGGCTAGAGATGGTAAAAATAACAACAATACAACACGTTAATTTTTTTACTGACAGTTACATGGAAATGCATAGAGAACAGTATGGAAAATATGTACACTGACTCTGGGGTGAAGATGAAAGGAAGATCACAGGGGAAAAGAAACTGAAACAAGAGGGAGACAGAGGAGAAGTTTATAGAGGGGAAAGAAGACAGGAAGGGGAGAGAAAACAAAATGGGATTAAAAGAAAGATAAGAAGTATGGATACATATACATACACCATACCATAAGACATGTTATCAAAAGAGCAGAATTTTCAGTAAGAATCCAAATAGGCAACAAAGATTCAGGAGTAAGTTAACCCTTTAACTCTCATGAGTGACCAAGACAGAATTTCTCCTTACAATATCAATACAATATTAAACAGACAAGTGATGAGAATAAAGAAAAATATCAATTGGGGGATAATTAGTTGATCCAATACTAAATTAGCTGAACTAATATTGTAAGAATTGTATGGTAGACAGTAAGGAGAATTACAAATTTGATCTGGGATTTAAAGGGTTAAGAAGGGAGTGTTTGCCAAATATGCCAGATACTGAACATCCAGCTGGTGAATTTTCCCAGCCACCACTTCTTGCTGAAAACCCTGAATAGAAGCTCAGTCAAATGATTGTATAACACAAATTCTGTTGAATATTCCATGTAAAAACAGATCAAATTTCAATTGGATTTAGGGAGATGAAAGCGTTCATGTAAATTTCTCTGAATTTAGTTACTCTTTGAGCAAGAGGTGCATTTGAGCTGTTTTGACTGTGAATTGTAATTCTGGACCAGGTCCAGAGGTTTCATGATTGAATACAAAATATTCATTTTCTGTAATATTTAGAGTATCAGATCATGTCAACCAAAAGATGCCAAGACAACATCTTAGTCACCATTTAACAGCAAGGTTCTGTACTTCACCATTCTTATCTTCAAGCAATTTCAAAAGCATCTGAACAACCTGAAATGATCCGAAAAAAAAAAAAAAAAAAAGGTTACAACTGCTTACAGGTATGTAAAGGTTGACATCGAAAAAAACAAACAAACAAAAGAGAAAAGAAAAGAGAAGTACTTTGAAACAAGGTGTGCTTGGAGCCCCGGGAAATATAAGTTTTGGCTGAGTACATGCACGCATAACTGACCTTTCTTTCACTGTCGTCATCCAGTTTTATAGAATCTTTCTGAAGTTCAGCCATCAAGTCATTTGTTGCCATAAATCTGAAGTCTTTGTCACTTGATGTCATCTAAACACAAGCCAAAGAATGACAATTAATACAAGCAAACATGCAAAATTGAATAAATGATGCTAATTGTGTAGGGAAATAAAATTAATCACTAGTTGGGAGGCTTCAGAGTTTAAAATTTAGGTTTGTTTGTCTTCAGACTAAAACTGCCCTCTTTTCTCATACTTTTCTCAGCTACTATAGGCTTTCAAGGCAAAAAATTGGCGGTTGCACAGTCGCCAGTGGCGAGTTAAAACTGACCAGGGCCACCAAAAGTTAAGGTTTGAATGCTCGATGTGTGACTATGCTACAGAATTTTGAAAAGTTGCTATGTAAATTATGCAAAGTACAAAGTTTAAAATAAAACTCAATATGTAGTTTAATTGGACTACCCTTCTCTTCATTTCGTTGCCTGGACTCTAAGATCATCCATTTTAGTGAATCTTTTAGTTCTGAAGTGGAAATTCCAAGCCGTTTTAACAGTTATTTCATGAGCTTGTTCTTTCCTTTTAGTTAATGCTTCGTTAAAAGCCATGGGGCATTTATTCAAGTTTTTCATTTTAAACTAGGGGAAATTGAGGGCTACATCATTTTGGGAAGGGCCACTAAGACATCAAGAAAACTGGCCTGATTGGCCACCAAACACTGGAGTTAATTTTTAGCCCTGGGCTTTGAGAACTATGGTGATGAAAAAACATGTGAAAATACTTTGCGAAAGGGCAAGCATTACTTGAACACTATTCAAATGAAGTTATATATCTTTTACAGAGCAAATTTAAAATACAGATAAAATTTTCTTGTGAAAAAAAAAATGGGAAGGCTATGTAAGGACTGTTCATAGATTGTTTCACTGTGTCTACAGCTGTGCATACACACACTCCAATAAGAGTCTAGGTACACATAGGTACTCCACAAAAAGAAAGGAAAAAACTTAAAGCACTTGCAACAGATGTTGTTAAAAAGAAACAAACAAAGAAACAGAGCAACACAGCTGCAACAAAATCCTGTTTTTTTTGGCAGCATTGCCATTTTACCTTCTCACACCCAAAAGCTAATTTTATCTACTACAGAGCAGACAAATTCAATTTTATGCTCCTACACTGAAACTATTATTTTTCATGCATTTAAACTTCTTTCATCTAAATTGTTGATTTTGAGATAGCAAAATGATGTTATTGTTAACTGGTAACTATGTATTAATTCAATTATCCTTCTAAACATCATTTACTCCTTGTTCCCTTTTTATTTGCTTCAAACACCATCCAACAGAGGAAATTCTCACACAGAGTAATGGGGAGCATGCCCCCATACCCTCCCCTCCTCTCTCTCCAGGAAGGTGATGCCTACTGCATTGCAATTGAAGGCTATGTGGTTGAAATTTCACTCTGTTCCCTTTAACCATTTAATTCCCAATTCTCCTTACTGTCTGCCAAATGATTCTCATTATGTTAGTTTAGATAATTTGGTATCAGATCTATTAGTAATCTCATACTTGATATTTTTCTTTATTCACATCACTTGTCTCCATGATATTGTATAGATATAGTAAGGAGAAATTCTGTCTTGGTCATTAACGAGAGTTAAAGGATTAAATCAACTTCAAAGCTCTGTAACTGATGACTACACTGTTGTTTGTAAATTAACCCTGCAATGTTAAGTTGGAAATTTGGAGATAGCCTTCTCCCTTTTCACTACATTATATCAAATCAGTGTGGAGAATATGAGAACTGATCATCACTGACAGTTGAGTACAAGGAAGTCTACTGGACATGGCTGGTAAATTTACATGGAACATATTATCTTCACTACATATTGGAATACCCCATTCACTCAACACAGATTTATCTGCATTTACTTTTTCACCGATCGTTTTGAGTACATCTGAGTAGCAAGAGGCAGCCATAGAGGAGACTACAGTCAGGCTGTCATGAATAGAGAGGCGCAAGATGTAAACGACGTCTTTCGCAGTTGCGAGCCCATATCTACCCAGTTTCAGCGTAAGAGGAAAGGTAACTGACAGAAAATAACAATCTACTAACTCCGAGCTGCCGTTAAGTGGGCTTTTTCATACATGCGCGATCACTGATCGAAGCTGAGCGGATACAATTATTCTGCAATCTGTTTGACATTTCTCTTTTTGTTTTCGAGATCACAAGTAAACGAATTCAATCCCTTCTAGTGCCTATTTTACAATAAGTCGAAATGAAACCGTCCTCACCAAAAGGCTCACACCTTTCTGATGGAACAAATTGGCATAAATAATCGATTGAAGAATTGCACTGTCAGTTATCAGCGGTGGGATCGGATCATGGATCATTGTAACCTGCACCCACACGTACACAAACTAAAATGAAAAGTTTGCCATCGCCAAAGAAAGTGAAATAACTCAAATGCACATTACCTTGTCCAAAAGAGACGCTATATGGTAAGGTGAAGTCGACATGATGATACCTCCACAAATGACAGTTTTCCGCAGCTACAAAGATGAACTTAGAGGAATTTTCTGATCTCTCTCCTCTCGATCACACTCATCACGCCTGCTTTCTTGAAAAACCGCTGGTCGTTCGCCGACTCATTGTCTCAGAAATACTCAAAGAACCTGGGTCTGAGGACGGCACATGATCTCGAGACCGAAATTACGATTATCGTTATTTCTAAATTGACACCAAATTTATGGATATAGTAATTTCGTGGCACTCTTTACCAATCCTCTTTAAACGTGTTAAATAAAGAGAAGGACTCGGTTCCACTGTCTTACAACATTCAAGATGGCGGAGGAAAGGGGTAAATGTGCGTTCAGTTGTGATCAGCATGATCTCGACACCAAAATAACGATTACCGTTATTTCTAAATTGGCCCTGAAATAACGAATATCATAATTTCAGGGCATGTCTGAGACCTTCGGGCTCGAAGCTTGGGAACTAGTATTCAGGGAAAGATAAAATGGCGGCTTACGGCGGCGAAGGAAATCTCAGTAGTTTAATATTTAGCGTGAAAAGGCTGGTTCTCAAGTAAAAAAAAAATCACGGTCTGCAATGGCCCTACCACCTTTTGAACAACAAGAAAACATTGAAACGGTGGTAAAAAGCAGCAAGTTTCGAAGTCTAAACGAAAGATGGGTAAGCTGAGTTTCAGTCAAATATCATGACATTTGGGATGTAATTTCGATACCGAATAAATAGTTCTACATGGTTATACACGCATAGGATTCTGTTGTGTTCACGTGAAGGCCATTTCAGCCATTCCTGCCACTTGTAAGTGGTAGGAAATAAAAGATATGTATAGTTGTTTCGTATTGAAGCCCTGTGAAATCAAAAATTTGATTTATTTCTTCTTTGTTTTAGGTGGTCATTATCCATTACTTTTGGAAGTCGATGCTGATGAGAAAGAAAAAATGTTTATGATTATTTCTTCTCTCGAACATTTTACTATTTAGGTACCAAATAATCTTGATATTGAAGATCATTGCATCCATTATGAAAAAATTACCCTTGATTGCTTTGTCAACTGGAATGTATAATGTAATATACCTTGTGATTTGTGGGATTTTCACAAGTAAACTAGAAATACTTGAAGAGGGTAATGATGTACTTAATGCAGAGCATTTGGTACAAAGTCTGCTTTGCTGTAATCTACCTGAAGGTGCTTTTTATATGCTAGTAAGACTTGCACAGCCCAGTCAAAATGTTTTTGAGTAGTAGAAAAGCTGGCCAAACCTCTTCCTGAAAAGCAGTCTGAAAAATGTGAAGTTAGCGGAAGGTACTTCATTGTAGGCGGCCAAATTGTAAGCTGCCAGCCCATTTTGAGTGAGCAGTAAAACTCAAGATTGGCTATTTTAGCTAATTTTATTGAGAACCAAATTCCCAGCAACGGGCACAATTTTACTGGGCTATTTGTTATTTAACTACTTAGTAATATTCTTATTAAAATTTACTGCATTCCTTTCTAATAATTTGCTGTTGATTGTATGCTGTATATAGCTTATGATTTGTGTGATTTTCACAAGTAAATTAGAAATACCTGAAGATGGTAATGATGTACTAGATAATGTACTTGATGCAAAGCTATTTTGGTGCAAAGTGTGTGCCTTGTCTGTAGGTGATTTTGCATGCTAATAAGACTTGTAATTCAAATAATACACATCAGCTGGAGTGGGAATATTAAAAGAAAAATAATAATATTTAGCTATACCAAGTTCTGGTTTTATGTCCAAAGTGTGTGCCTTGTCCATAGGTGATTTTGCATGCTAATAAGACTTGTAATTCAAATAATACACATCAGCTGGAGTGGGAATATTAAAAGAAAAATAATAATATTTAGCTATACCAAGTTCTGGTTTTATGTCCAAATTAAGCACTTAGTTGAAGATCACTGCACTGCTCAGGTCCAGAAGGCTGAAAGAGTACTGTCTGCTGTTAGTTTGATTTTTGTCATTTCTATTGATTTATTTTATTTATCAATGTTTCTTTGAATTGTAATTCATTGATCTCTTTCAATAGTGCAGGTTCGCTCATGTAACCTAATCTCCCACTTATGTATGTATGTATGGATGAGCTCAGTCAAAATGTTTTTGAGTGGAAGGCAAGCTGGTGATAGTAATAGGCAGCAGAGGCTGAACCTTGTCTTGAATGGAAGTGTGAAAAGTGTGAAGTTAGCGGCAGCTATATTGTGGCAGGCAGCCAAATTGTCAGCTGTGGCACATTTTGACTGGGCTGATTGTGTGTAGTATATATGTGCACTTCTTTTAGGGTGTTAAACAGGTTAAAGTACCAAGAAATCCTCTGTGATAACTTGATAATTCAAGATGTAAAAATTTTAATAAGGTAAAGCTTGATCATTCTTAAGAGTTTCCATTTGTTCTGGAAATTTGGGGGAGGGTCAGGGGAGCATTATTTATACATAAATAATGTACATAAAAAGTAAAAAAAAAGGCCCAAGGTAAAATCCCAATTTGTTTTAAGAGTTAATTTTATTAAGAGAAAACCCTGGATATAGCTTGGGATTTGTGTGATTTTCAAAAATTGTTAGGAACCTTGTTAATTTTCAGCTTCAAGAACACAAGTACATAATCTTTAGTGCAGCCCTCTTTTCTCCCCGCCATTATTCTAATTTTTTTATCAAGTTTCCTTTTTCTTGTGTTCAATTAATTTATTGTCTTTACAGGTGAAATTTTAATATCTGCTAGCACAATTATCTCTGCTAAGAGTGTCTACCATCACTCTTGCCGGTCTCAAGCCCAAAATGCTGCAAACTAGCTGAAACTACATGTATTTCGTAAAATTGCAATGAAATCTATCTAAAAACACCAAAATCCGGCAGAACGCACGAGTTTTTGCCAAATTTTACGCAAAAGTTGACAAAAGCGCTCAATTCGACCTGAAAAACACTTTTTTTTTTTTTGCAAAAATCAGCCTATTTTACATTCAAAAGCACGATGTCTTTAACAAAATAGGGATACAATCCATGTGAAAACACTTATTCCAGCTAAAACGCAGTGTTCTCAGTAAAATTTGGGGAAAAAACGCGTAAAAACCGTCAGAAACACGACAAATTGGGCTGATTTTACCCACTTTTTGTGTAAATAGCTGCCAAAACCCTCTAAACTAGCTGGAACTACATGTTTTTCACAAGATCGCCATAAAATCTTGAAACGTTGCTTTAGGGACCTTAATGCCTCCAAAACGAGTTTTTACTTTAAAAAAAATGGAATGAACAAAGATGTTAAAGGGGAAAAAGCTGTGAGAAAGGAGAAGTTTAGTGTTGCTGTTTGATATGCCGCCCAGATATATCAATTTATTAATTTAACGCCTTTAGCCGTGGGCAAAAGTTTTTCTCTAGACTAAGAGGACCCTCCCTATGTTGACGAACCTCAATAACTCGTTGATTTTACTGTTTTTACACAGATTTGATTTTAACCATATTCGCCAAAATAACTGCCAAAACACGGCAAACCAGTATCTCGGCCAAGAGCGATATTGGCCATTTCACACATCCTTATTAGATATGAATTTTATTAAAGATTGTCATTCTAGCATATGTTGGCTAGTTACCACAGGTTTCTTGATTTTCATGGGAAAGTGGCATTGGTTGGTACCATGACCAATCTCCTCGACTTTCCCATGATTTTCATAGGATGTTAGCGACCCATACTTCGAACCTCAGTTGTTTTTTTTTTTTTTTTAACATTGGCGCGAGTTTCACAACTTTCTTGTGGTTTGGCATTGACTCAGAGTTGGGCTTATTTTTATGGCTAATCCATCGGCGACTTTCTCATGATTTTCTTGGGTTCTCAACAGTGACACGCACTTTGGAACCATAATTTTATAAATATGTCAACACTGGCAAAAACTGCTAAAATCTACACTCTACTAAACTCCATGTACCACAATATCCACACAACTGCGTGTGCCTACTTGAAAATCCTAACCCTAACCCTAAAACTATCCAGTTAGCCTAGTATTGTATTGCTGGTTTGAGTGACTAAACTGGCTCAAATGATCCAGCTGCTTAAAAATCTAAGCACAGAGTAAGTTTAAAAGATTCAATTTTGTAAGGTTTCGAAACAGTTCCAAAATTAACATGCACATAGCTCAGTGTAAAACATCGAAGCTTCTAGGACTTCTTATGATTCCTACGAACGTACACACCTAATGCACGTAAATTTGCCTTTGTTGTCCTCGAACGATCACGTCTTCATGGTAACGTGGTGTAAGAACTGTACAGCACTTTATAAATATATGTTTTACTTGACGGTAAAAGTTTGAATCCGTACAAGGAAACGTAACGGAAACAGGCGATGATAATATTCCGTTGACAGAAATGCAACGGAAACGTGTCGTCATATTTCCGTTCAGGAATCATAACGGAAACATAACAGGTCCAAGGAAGAAGTGAATGATGTGGAAACATAGAGTTTCATTTTTCCGAATTACGGAATCATGCTATTTCGTCCTGTGCTCACTCTAACTCTGTGCTATCCTAAACCTAACCCAAACCCCAAACCAATCCTAAGCTATGGTAAAGGGTTTAAGTCAGGGTTGAGGATAGGGTTAGGGCAGGAGCCCATTACCTGGTTAGGGTTAGAGTTTGGGTTGCTTCGGGTCAGAGGGGTTTAGTGTTACAATCAGGGTTAGGGCTAGGGTAAAATTATGCTTAGAGTTAGCGGGGTTTAGTGTTAGAATTAGGGTTAAGGCTAGGATGAGGCTATGCTTAGGGTTGGCGTTAATATTTTTCTACAAGCATTCAATTGCAGGGTTTTTGGTATTGTGTTTGTAAATTTCAGTAACTACTTGAAAGTTTACTGAAAAACAAACGATAGGCCGACTGGTACACTTACAGGATAGATAGAGAAGGTTGGGGTTAGGGTTAGGGTTAGGGTTAGGGTTAGGTCTAGGTTAAGGGCTATAGGTTAGGGTTTAAACCATTTTATCTTGTTTTGGCTGGTTGGACCATGTTAACCAGTTGCATCATTTTGACTGGAGTGAAAAGTTCCGTTCTTAACCCGAGCCCTAACCCTAACCCGGGGTTAGGGTTAGGGTTAGGATAGCTCGCAGCTAGAGTTAGGGCTTGGGTAGGGTGGGATTATGATTAGGCTGAGGGTCACAATTTTTTCTGAAAACATCCAATTTTTTTTTGGTATTGTGTTTGGCTCTAAACTTTAACAACTACTTGAAAGTTTGCTTGAAATCAAAATATACCATTTTTTGCCAAAATAAATGCCAAAATGCGCAATTCGGGCCTTTTTATCAATTTACACTTGGTTTAAGCTTGGTTTTTGTGTTTTCCCACAGACTCTTAAACTATTTTGCTGAGAACATTTTTTGCAGCGTTTTTTAAACTGAAATAAGCTTATTTTTGCAAAAAAAACAAACGTGTTTTTCAGTCGAATTTAGTGTTTTTGTCAACTTTAGCAAAAAATTTTGCAAAAATCTTACATTTCTGCCGTATTTTGGAGTTTTTAGACAGATTTCGTCGCGATCTTGTGAAAAACATGTAGTTTCAAGCTAGTTTTCAGTGTTTTGGCAGTTATCTTGGCAAAAAATGGGTAAGTCAGCGCAATTGTTTTTTTTTTTGGTTTTTAAGGTTTTGTTTGCCCAAATTTTACTGAGAACACTGTGTGTTAGCTTGTCTCCATTGTTTTTTCGCAGATTCTATCGCTGTTTTGCTGAAAACATAACGTTTCAGCTTGTTTGCATCGTTTTTGGTCGTGAAATAAGCTAATTTTTGCAAAAGGAAAAAAACCTGTTTTTCAGCCCAAATTGACATAAAGGATACAGAGGAACATTTGCTTATTGCCTTTTTTTTTTGTCCTTACTCATGAAGTTGATTTTGGCATTTCAAACAAAAACTCTGCTAGAGCATTAATTGAATGACATATCATGCACTAACTTTGAAGCAAGAACACTTTTTTTTTAATTCAGAAAAATACCTTTTTATTTTTTTTTAAGGACTGCTGGATATAACCTGTACAACCAAACGTTTTCTACAGCAATAACTAAGCTCTACAGAAGCACACTATGCAGACAAAAGGTGTAAGAGAATCAATGAATTCTTTAATTCTTGGTCCCTCCCAGGCCAACCTATTGTACAAATCTCATGACATCTGTTCCAGTTTCATCAGTCAATTTTTCAAGCTTCAAGCTTTTCCTGCAATTATGTACTTGTTCTTGAAGCTGAAAACTAACAAGGTTCCTGTAAATTAAGTTTACATAACAACCTAACAATTTGTGAAAATCACACAAATCCCAAGCTATATCCAGAATTATGCTCTTAATAAAATAAACTTTTAAAGCAAATTGGGATTTTGCCCTAGTTCTTTTTATTTTTTTGTTACTTTTTAAATACATTTGTATAAATAATGCTCCCCTAACTCTCCCCAAAACTTTTAGAACAGATGCAAACTCTTAAGAATGATCAAGCTTTACCTTATTATTAAAAATTTTTACATCTTAGACTACCAAGTTATCACAGAGGTTTTTTTCGGTACTTTGACCTGTTTAACACCTAAAAAGAAGAACACATACATAACACACACACAATCAGCCAGGTCAAAATGTGCTGCAGCCAACAATTTGGCCACCTACAATGAAATAGCTGCCAATTTCACACATGTCAGTCTTCTATTCAGGACAAGATTTGGCCTCTGCTGCCTATTACTATTGCCAGCTTGCCTGCCACTCAAAATTTCAACTGAGATTGTACATACATACATGTGGGATTAGGTTACACGAGCGAACCTGCACTATTGAAAGAGGTCAATGAATTATAACTCAAAGAAACATTGATAAATAAAATAAATCAATAGAAATGACAAAAATTAAACTAACAGCAGACAGCTTTTTTTTGGCCTTCGGGGCCTGATCAGTGCAGTGATCTTCAACTAAGTGCTTAATTTGGACATAAAACCAAAACTTGTTATGGTTAAATATTATTATTTTTCTTTCAATATTCCCATTCCAGCTGATGTATATTATTTGAATAACAAATCTTATTAGCATGTTAAAATCACCTGAGGACAAGGCATACACTTTGTGCCAAAATTGCTTTGCATCAAGTACGTTATCTAGTACATCATTACCATCTTCAGGTATTTCTAATTTACTCTTGAAAATCACACAAATCATAAGCTATATACAGCATACAATTGGCAGCAAATTATTAAAAAGGAATGCAGTAATCTTTAATAATAAGAGTAGCTAAATAACAAATAGCCTAGTCAAAATGTGCCAGTAACCAGGGATTTGGCTTTCCACACAGAACATTTGTTAGGCGTCTAGTCTGGACAAGGTTTGGTCTCTACCTTCTGTTACTATAGCCAGCTTGCCTACTTCTAAAAAACGTTTTGACTAAGCTGAAAAAAATGTTTGAGAGAAAAATGGCCACAACAAGCCCACTTACTGCAAAATAAGAAACATAAAAGTAACACTTCAAATTAGTACAGAATATAAGCCTTGCAGGATTTGGCTCTCAATAAAATTAGTTAAAATAGCCGATCTTGAGTTTAACTACTCACTCAAAATGGGCTGACAGCCTGCAATTTGGCCACCTACAATGAAGTATCTTCCACTGACTTCACACCTTTCAGACTGCTTTTCAGGATGAGGTTTGGCCTCTGCTGCCTATAATTACAACAGCCAGCTTGACTACTACTAAAGAACATTTTGACTGGGCTGTGCAAGTGTTACTAGCATATAAAAAGCACCTTCAGGTAGATTACAGCAAAGCAGACTTTGTACCAAAACACTTTGCATTAAGTACATCATTACCCTCTACAGGTATTTCTAGTTTACATGTGAAAATCCCACAAATCTCAAGGTATATTACATCATACATGTTGACAAAGCAATCAGGGGTAAATTTTTCATAATAGGATGCAATGGTCTTCAGTATCAAGATTATTTGGTACCTAAATAGTAAAATGTTCGAGAGAAGAAATAATCATAAACATTTTTTCTTTCTCATCAGCATCGACTTCCAAAAGTAATGGATAATGACCACCTAAAACAAAGAAGAAATAAATCAAATTTTTGATTTCACAGGGCTTCAATACGAAACAACTATACATATCTTTTATTTCCTACCACTTACAAGTGGCAGGAATGGCTGAAATGGCCTTCACGTGAACACAACAGAATCCTATGCGTGTATAACCATGTAGAACTATTTATTCGGTATCGAAATTACATCCCAAATGTCATGATATTTGACTGAAACTCAGCTTACCCATCTTTCGTTTAGACTTCGAAACTTGCTGCTTTTTACCACCGTTTCAATGTTTTCTTGTTGTTCAAAAGGTGGTAGGGCCATTGCAGACCGTGATTTTTTTTTTACTTGAGAACCAGATCACAACACCCAAGCCTTTTCACGCTAAATATTAAACTACTGAGATTTCCTTCGCCGCCGTAAGCCGCCATTTTATCTTTCCCTGAATACTAGTTCCCAAGCTTCGAGCCCGAAGGTCTCAGACATGCACTGAAATTATGATATTCGTTATTTCAGGGCCAATTTAGAAATAACGGTAATCGTTATTTTGGTGTCGAGATCATGCTGATCACAACTGAACGCACATTTACCCCTTTCCTCCGCCATCTTGAATGTTGTAAGACAGTGGAACCGAGTCCTTCTCTTTATTTAACACGTTTAAAGAGGATTGGTAAAGAGTGCCACGAAATTACTATATCCATAAATTTGGTGCCAATTTAGAAATAACGATAATCGTAATTTCGGTCTCGAGATCATGTTGAATGCCACGAAATTGAACTTTGGAAAATAACAGTTTTTTTTAATACAGCCGCGCGTTATCGGGCTAAAAATATTCCGTAACCGCGTCTGACTAGACTGTTGTTATGACAAATTTATTTGAAAAGACTTTTTCTTTTGTTATTTAAACAGTTGTTTATGGTCAAATTTAAGTGTTAGTTTAAAATATTATTCTGTGTGAGTAACTGTCGGAGTGCGCGGAATAAATTAAAGTTTCTTAGTTGTACTACGTCGTAAAAATCAATATAGACATCTCTTGCCTGGGGGCGAGATGATCGAAGAGGTGACCGGGAAGTTTTGTAGAGCGTACAGTGATGTCGCGGCAGTGGGAAGGCTGCTAAAGCACCCTCCTTTTCAATCACATAGGATCTAAGACAGATGGGTAAAACCGTTTCTGTTATTGTCTACATTAAGGTTTCAGTATTTTCTCTTGTGTTTGGTTGTTTATGTTGCGTGTGCGTTTCTTTTGTTGTTGTTGTTGCTGTTCACTGTTTTTGTTTGTTTTGTTTTGGTTTTTTTTTTTATTGTGTCTGGCCTTTTGTTTTTTTGGCTTTGTTGCTGCTCTAGTCAATTTGTTTCATCTAAGAAGCCTAAAGTATACTGAGGCTCTGCACACCATGAAGGACCTGAAGTCAGGAAAGGGGCTTTGGTCGTAGGCCTTGAGATGGATGGTGGAGCATGTGCACCAACCAGCAAATGTGAATACATTTTCTTACTATTTTTCAATGGTTTTCTCAGAGAAATTTCCTGCTGCAGGCGCTGGGGAAAAAAAATTCTGAACCTCTGCTTGCTCTTTTCGCCTGAAAAAACTGATTGGGCCGATCAAGCGTTTGAACGTGCACCCTTACAGTCGGTTGTTACCAAAGTACGTCGGTGTCGGTAACTGTTCTAGTCAACACGGAAATATAATTTAGGGAAGTTCAATCTCCAAAAGCCCTAGTTTAAGCAGCGTGAAGTAATTTTGAGCATAGCTTCTCCTCCAACCTCGTCTTAACAGGTTTCTTAGGCAGGTTTTTTTGAAGATGGCGGTACGAAGAAAGCGTCCAGATTCGATCGACCGATATTTTTAAAAACCGAGAAAACCCTGGGGACGAGGTTGGCTTCTCCACTGAAGGGGAATATACCTGTTTGCTGGTACCCGATATCAAGCTTGCTTGGACAGAGACGCTGTGAGAGAAACACATTTCGCCAGAAGCCACTATATAACGAATCGAACCGACCGGGCTTAAGTTTGGACCAAGAGTTTCTTACTGGGATTATAATTTACATAATCGAGAGTCCGGGGTGGTATCAATTGACGCTCCGAGTCTCCTTCTTAACAAATACAGACTGACATTATCCCAGAACACGCCATGCGCGTTGAACCTGTTCCAATTTACGGACAAACGACACAAAGTACGAAGAAACTTCAGCGTTTATTTCTTAACAATAAAAGCCACGTATGTATGATCCTTTAACGCAAATTTAGATTGAATATTTTAAAAACAAAAGCAAAGTAATAAAATCTACCAATCAGAGCAAAGAAAGTATCACATGGATTAAAATAAGAACTCAAAGTAAAAACAAGCAAACTGCCTCTGCGCGGGAAAACGCGAGTGACAAGGTGCAATTTTCTTTACATTTGCATCTGATTGGTCGAAAGGGTGACACGTGTTTTTAAGACCAGTCAAAGGCCGCTGTGAAGCAAAACCCGAGACGCTATCATTAAGACAGTCAATTAAAAACGCTTTGCGAAACCTGAGGAGAATTTTTACTGCTATGACAATACGCAGGAGTCAGTTAAGATTATTTCTTTAGTATATTGAATTGTGTTCTTTCTCCTATTTTCTTTAACTAAAAATTGACCTTAGGAAAACCCAAGTTAAATAATTTACAATTTACACAGTTACAATAAGTAACAATCTTATATAACGAATTTATATCACTTCGTAAATAAATGAATTAGAAACCACGTGTGCCCACGTTGCTCGAGTGGTACTTGTGAACACCGTTATCATGCTTTAGATTAGGGCGTATTGAAAAGGTGTATTACTCTAAAGCAACAAAGGTCTTATTCTGTATCTTCACAGCCTTGTCTGAACACCTTAGGGAAGGTGGGGGGGAGGGGGGGGGGAAGTAACCCTAAGCAAACCCTCAAACCCTCAAGGGCATGTATCACTGTCTCAGATTTTCACCAACCTCCCCCTCCCCCTCTCCCTCAACCAACACCACCACTCTCGTGTTTAAATGAGGCTATGTGACCACGGAAGTCCTTTACTGCTTGAATAAAGAAGTGTGATGTCAATAAATCGATAACACAAATGCTACATAGATTGATCAACTCTAACCACAACAACAACAAAAGCAAGGTAAAGCAACAATAACAAAGACCTAATGTTTTGCCGATTTACCCGCTTATCCTACGTCTAACAACATTACCGGTACCCCGCTCTTCTGCTGAGAAAAAAAAGACTAATAACATAACATAATAGCATAATAAGTTATCGAGGTTTAAAATAAATTACGTACTCAATAAATTAAGGGGAAGAACTCTTTATGTTTAACTGTAAAGCTCTAGTTCTGCTGACAAAAAAGGAAAAATTCCATACAAAACGAAGTACTGGGTATGCTGTCGGAGCACCCTCTAATGTAAAGACTGCACTCTGGGTTTTACCTCGTTTAAAACGTCCATCAAAGATCTGGTGTTAATATGACTACAATCAACCGCCCGAATTTAGCAGTGGATTGACTGCGCGTATGAAAATCTACATGAAACGAATAACTCTTGCTAAGGTGGTGACTTTTATCCTCAGCCAGAAAGTACACGACGTTAAGGAATTTTCACGTAATAACTCGATGCGACTGTGAACAAATGAAGTAAACCTACAGCTCGACCAAGCAAACCGCTACAAATTCAGTACGACAGAAGTAACACTGTGTAAGACCAAGGCACGACTAATATACGACTTAAGGCCAACTCATGTACGACTGAAGACGAACCCGAAACGACTAAGGACGACTCCAGCACGAATAATGTAAGACCAGGAATAGCTCAGGTACGATTATAGACAATCCTGGTACTCCGATACGACTGAAATACAATTGAGGACGATTCCGGTGGAGTACAATTCCGGTTGAGTACGATATATAAATGCAACTTCGTTCTTAAACACAACTCGTACAGCACAAAAAGGAGTTCTGATAACCCTTTTAAATTAAGTATAGATGCTCTCTTCGCCAAGTAAAAGTTAGCGAGCTAGATTCATACCCAAAAAACTGCATTCTGTGATTGAAGACACATGCTGTATCGAACTTAGTCCTCCAGAGGATGTCGTGAGAACTCGACCATTTCACTACCTGATGTAAAAACGAGAAAATCTTGCTCAATATCCGGTTGTTTAGTGCTTGCGTTACTTTCTTTGTTGTCGACATTGCCATTTACTAATCCCTCAGATCTCTCTTTCAGAAATTCATCGTTTGAGGCGCCTAAGTCCCCTGAAAAAGCTGTTCCATTGTCTCGTATCTCTGAAGACAAGGTGTAAGTAACTGGGTGAGTAGCTAGATCCTCGCTGCTATTTCTACCACTGCCATGATCAAGTCTTGGAGACTTGTTTAACCGTGACGGAGTCACTTGTTTCCTGAAATAATAATAATAGCAATAATAATAAAATGATTAGAGTGGATCAAAGAAGACAAAGATAGTTTATCACAATCATTCAAAAGTCCATCACAGTTTAAGATGGTTCGCAATAGTCTACAATGATATTGCTAAGACAAACATAACTAGTTTTAATTTACATCGGTTGATGGCCAAGTGATGAAAAATTTCAAGGTTGTTCAGTCGCAAATTTAAGGTAGGTCTGAACTTCTCTCTGAAAGTAGAAAAAAGATATGGAGGCCTAAATTTTTTTAGCTGACACGAACAAATAAACACTAGATTAGATATTAAGCAATTATTGGATGAGGCTGAGCATGATAACATAAATTATGATTCTTCACATGAAAGAGCGTCTGAACAATTTCTGGAACTTTTCGTTCATGAACTTTATTCGTCTGGCGGTTTTTTTCGGAATCATCTGATAGCTTCCATGCCACTTGGATGAAAGTGGCCTCTTCTTCAAAACGAGGCCTGGTGCTCAACCATTCGCATGAATATGAGTTTAATTTGTATGTGAATGAAACCCTATAATCATATGAGAGGATGAGCTCAAGGACTCGCCTTGAAAAAGAGGCCGAAGGTAATTCGGAAATGGCCCATTATGAGACACTTACCGCTTTGATTTTAAATGAGCCAGAACAGAACTCAACGCTTCTTTCGGGTCATTTTCACCGTGACAGCTAGTTTGCAAATGTCGTGAAATGTCATCTAACAGCCGGTGCTGTGACACATCGGTGTGCTGAAAATCTACAGCGTCACGCAGTCGTTGGTTTTCTTTCTCCAACAAGTGAATGCGCTCCAAATACGAGTTCCTTTCAGTTTTAACCACCGTTAACCTTTTCAGTAAATTGTCACGCTCTTCATTCGCTTGCGTGACAATCTCCTTCAAAAGTGAATAATCAGAATTATCTCGATCACATTCCATTTTCTTTTCTGTCACAAAATCGCTTTTTGCTCCTCCTAATCTTTCCCACAACTTTTCAAGCAACGATTCTTTGCAGTGATTCGCGCTGAGTTCTACACTATTAACTACCGCTTCTCTCTTCGTCCTTAAAGAGTTTTCGGCCACGCTACTTCTCGTTTTTTCTTTCCTCATTCTCTCTATTGTCCCCAATGCCTCGGCATGTTCTTTTTCTAGTTCCATTAGGGCCGAGAGAGCCTGATTCCGTTCCTTTAATGCTTGGTCGCGCTCATCAGTCAATTCCTTTATCCTTTGCTTCCAGTCTTCCTCGGGCTCTTCGCAGGAATCCTCCCCTTGAAAGGTTCGAGCGAACTCTAATTCGTTTCTAGCCTACAAGAAACTTCGGGAATTAGTTTGCGAGACTTTAACGAGAACACTTTGCAATGTTACGAGTTTCAGGCATAGAGGTTCAAGAGTCAAGCTGCATTGTAGTTTCAAAAGTTTCAAATCAAGGACACAAACAAAGGACACACAAACAGTCAATAAACTTTAATAAAGGTGGTAAGTTTCTAAAGAAACTGTGGTGCTGCGTCGGTGGCAAAGGACACACAAACAGTCAATAAACTTTAATAAAGGTGGTAAGTTTCTAAAGAAACTGTGGTGCTGCGTCGGTGGGAAAGTATAACAGGGTAATTTAGCATTATCAACTGATTTGATAATGTAAATTGGCCACCGTAACGAGTTTTAAAGCTGACTTTTCGAGCGTTTGCCCTTCGTCAGAGCGAATCAGTGAAGAAAGGGGCTAATGCTCACACGAAGGGCTAACGCTCCATACGTCAGCTTTAAAACTCTTTACGGTGGCCAATTTACGTTATCAACTCAGTTGATAATACTAAATGACCCAGTCAATAAACTTTCCCAGTTGCAACGAATTCCGGGAAAAAAATAACTTGAACGATATTACTTAAACAGGACAGAATTTCTCCTTAAAACATCAATGCAATATCAAGTAGACAAGTGACTAGAAAAAAGAAAAATGCCAATTAAGAGATAATTAGTCGATCCAATACCAACGTCTCCAAACTAACATCATCAACGTCTCCGAACTAACATCATCAACGACTTTATAGTAGACAGTAATGACTAATGATATCTTGGGGGCGATCGCATCACTTTCGTCTTTTTCTATCTAGCGAACAAAGTTAATATTTTCCTGTCTCTTCCTAGTCAAAAATGTTTTATATATTGCAAAAGAAAAAAAAATTTAATGAAAATATCGCGAGGTAGCTGCGTCAAGAAAGACCGAACCTCGTTCCCAGGGTCTTTTCTCTTCCACCCTCGAAGCTGGTCATGTGTCTCTTAGAAATTGGGAGACACAAAAACCAAACCGAGGGACGGTCTTGCGCGTCAAGTTTTTGGCAATACTAACAGGATGGGTAGGGGGAAACTTTTTGGACCCCAGCTTAAGCTTAGGGAGTTGGAAAAAATTGCGTCGAAGACCCAACCCCTACTCCCCTAATAAAAGGTTAAAAACAGTTTAAAATCTCTTGCTCCTTACGGTATTCTTTGGTCTGCATAGGCACGCGACTGAGCCGCAGCCAGGGTCCCTTCTCGAGGGAGAAAGAGGGAGGACCCTGAGAACGAGTTTGAAGAAAGCTCTTGAAAGCCACTTTAAACACATCGAGGTTACCTGAGATTTCTCAGAAGACCCAGAACCTTTATTGATAGGTCTTATTCCCCTGTACACATACTGCTGCCCAATGGAAGACACTCGTACGTTCTTCTTGGGGATCAGTCGGTTTCTAGGACTGGCGTAAGCGGACAGGACTAGCTGGTGGCATTCTTTGTACGTAATGTCCACATTAAAATCTTGTTTGAATGCTTTTACCACATCTTGAACGGGAACATACCATGAACTGTCCTGCACGTAGCTTGAAACCACCCTAAACATTGCAGTATTAAAACATTAACTTAGTCTTGTTTGTGTTGAAAGTAAACCGTTATGTAGGTGTCAAAGAGTGCGAAAGAGAGCAAGGGAGGGGAGGGAGGGAAATTCGAAATCAGCACAGTACGCCCCCTCGTTATCTTCTCCTCTTTCTAAAGGGATAGTCCTGTTCAGTACAACAAACGTTGTTATTTGACCTTCATTCCGACCATAATAGTGAATTAGTACCTTCAGCAACTACTGGTAATTGTTTTAGTACAACGAGACAATGTTTGAGACCGTTTCGTTTGCGAAACGTGATCCAGCTTTCGCACGCCTCAATCCCTCCATCGACTCAGGCGCGATTTATGGCTATCAATCCGAAGCATTAGGGAAGTTTCAAGGCTTCATTTCTAGTGATACAAAATGCACATTTAACTTTTTGACTGCCAGCACTTAATTTCTTTTCACAATATTATTCCTGAATCACACATTACGGTCGTAAGAATAAAGGAAATGATCACCAACTAAAGAAGCCTTGTTAGCAAGGAAAATTCTTAGAGAACAGTATGGAGATTATTTCTCCTCTTACCATTCCTGCAAATTGGAGCTGTCCATAACTAAAGCTGATCTCTCACTCCCTTCACATTCGACGTTGAAATGAGTGCTAACATCTAATGCCATACCATCAGAACCACTATCACACCCAGGAGACTCGCCACCGTATAGTCCTACACCGCTGCTGTCTACAACCATCGTATTGGGGCTACAGCGCTCCAATGTGGCACTTGTGTAAGCGGGTGAGCTTTGGTGATGGCCGGCACCTGCTGATGATGAGGAGTGTGGTGCAGGTGACGCTCGCTTCCGTGATACATTTCCAGACGCAACAGGTGGTGTCCATGTGCTAGTGGTGCTTACACTTTCAATTTTAACTGTGGTTTGAAAATATTAACTGTCAGTTCTCTGTTCTCTGAAATCTCTAAGAACTGGGAGTAGGATATGGTCAGATACGATGTAAAATAAATACGAGATAAGATCAATCTGCCCTAAAACCTTTAATTTTCTATCCATTTTTCAGCCACAAATTGTTTCACCTGAAATCTATTATATCCTTATATCAATTTTCATATTCTCCATACTGGTCTCTCTACACTTCATATGGTAATGACAAGGAGAACTTGTTTGACAATCAGGAGCTTCTAAAATTGGTGATCATATCCTTTATTCTCAAGACTTTTACATTTTGATTCACCACAGATACTGTGAGGAGAAATTAGATACAAGTAACTGTCAGGGTTCAAGGGTCATTCCCCATTCAGTCAAACGTTAACATCATGAGAACAAAGGACCAAACACAAAAGAAAATCTCAATTGTTTTAAAAATAAAGTCTTGCTGTCAGCACCATAGGATATGTTTGGGGAACATTATGGAGCGGAATATGAATGCTGACGTTAGTGTGATGTGTGAGGAGTTGAACTGCCTGCATTATATTTTTCATGACCTGAGTTGAAACTACTGTAGTAAGTCTAGCTCGACCAGTTCAAACAATTAGTGAAAAGAGTGGAAACATATGACAACCCAGAGGATATATTGGCAACTTTGATCCGCTAATAACTCGCCAATCTAAACATCTGTGCTATTACAGAAAAATGCTTACATTTCAACAGCGAGACATCAGATTTGGAAAAAAATGTTCTAGAAAAAAGAGAAAACATTTATCACTGCTAATAAACAAAAGTCTTACCTTCATCGTGATGAGTGGTTCTGGAAGGTTTCCTTCTGATATTTACATACAACCACCTAAAGATTTTAGTCAAGGAGTCAAACATTGAATCAAATTTATTAAAAAAAAACCAATTGCTACTGCTAAGTGAAACTTAATGACCATCTAGAAGTATTGATCCTCCAAAACTAACATCAATACTACAAAAAAAAATCCTAAAGTTACCAGCCTCTGTAGTGACCACCCTTCCTCAGATGCACCCTAGGTTCTCCTATGGAGTATCCCTCATCAATCCTCCCACCCAAACATTCAACCCCATAGTTTTTACTCCCCCCTGCCCCCTGCCCCTTCCCCCCCCCCCCCCCCATCTTCCACCTCCTTCCTGCCTCTCACTCCTAATAATGAAACCAGTACAGTAGTTAACTTTGCTTGAGTGTTGAAAAATCAAAAGCAAAGTACTCACAACAGGCAATAAGAATAACAGAAAATATCACAAGAAAGCAAAGACAATAGCAGTTGGTTTCAGCTTTGAATCTGATTGATCAACAAGGTGGCATACACTTAATTCAAACCAATTCCAGTGCAAAGTAAAACGAAACCAAAACAACCCCAGATTATTTTTTACACTTAATCGAAAATTGAATTTAATCATACACTGTATTTCTAAAAACTTCTTTTCAATTTCCCAAAAGGATACGCCTTTCTATACTGATCCTCTTTGACCTGTCTTCTCTTATACTCTACCTCTGGAAAAACCTTTTTGATGCGACCAGTCAACACAGTGTCTCGAAGGTTCAAAAGGTTGTCAAGATCTGGAAAGTCACTTAAATGTCGTTGGACAACACTTGTCAAGAACTTCACCATATAGAGTCGATCAATAGTGTAACCTGGACACACTTCAAACTCTTGACGAAGAGCATCAAACAAGATTTCATCCAGTTTTAAGTACAGCTCTTTCTTTGGTTGGGGTCTTCTAGGTCCTTTTGAATCTATGAACATCAGATGAAAGATAGAAAAAAATTACACTCAGAAAAAAAAAAAAAACAAAATCGCATGCACAGTTTCAGCCAATAGCTCCCTCAACCTTCTAACTCCTGAGAGTGACCATGACAGAATTTCTCCTTACTATATCTACACAATATCATGCAGACAAGTGATGAGAATAAAGAAAAATACCAACTATGAGATTGCTAATTGATCCAGTACCAAATTTCCCAACCAACAAAATGAAAATCATTTGGCAGACGGTTAGGAGAATTACTACTCCGATCTTGGGAGTTAAAGGATTAACTGCACCTTGAAGCACCCTAGCATGGATAATTTCCACTTGGGATCAGATCCAAGGAAAGCATGTACAATTAGATAGAATGGGATTAATAGAGGTTGGTCTTATTAACAAATAAAACAATTAACAAGAAAACCAGTCAAAATTAATTCACAAAGAATTAATTGAGGAGTCACTTTGACCAATAATAATAGTTTACAATCTTAGTAGCTTCTAAAACTTTTAATTAAGACACCCTTCTAAACAATCTCACTTAAGAGCTTCTTTTAAATTTTTTGGCTGATTTAAAGATCTAGTTTTGACCAGTATGCACTGCATGCTGCATTGGCCATCAGGGACCATTAACTTGGTTCCACAAGCTTCATGAAAATAATACAAGCCTTGCTCTCATAAAAAACCATAACAAAACCAGAGGCACACAATGTATAATGGCCAATACTGGGTCTGTAAGAAACAAAATGTCCTGGAAAAGGTCCTAATAGGATACCTCTAATGTCTAGTCTGGAATATGGCTGCAAAACAAATCTGTCACGTGAATAGTCTGGTTTAATGTCCAGCACACTAGGTCAAATTGTAATTTGTAATCCATATAAAAAGTTCATTGCCAATGGGAAAAATTTTGACTGAATCATGTTTTAGACACTCCCTGCACAAGTCATGTCAACCAGTCCTCAAACAAAGGAGTATTTGATTCTGAGTCCAACCCATTAAACTAAATGTTGTAGGCTTTCATGACATTTCATGACATTTGCAGTAAGAAAGTACATACATGTATTCCAATGATTACCAATCATCTTATTTCTCCTTACAATATCACCCCTGAATTACACATTAAAGTCACAAGAATAAAGAAATGATCACCAACTTATGAAACTCTTGTTTATAAAACAAATTCTCCTTGTCAGCACCCAAGGAAATGTATAGAGAACAGTATGGAGAATATGCATACTGATATTGGGGTGTAAAAGGTTAACAAAACAGGAGTAACTTACATTTCTTTTTGATTGCTGCTGTTTGTGTTGGCTTGAGATAAACCTTGTGAAAGTCCCCTCCAGGAACAACAACAGCTACATCTACATGAAGTACAGAAAAAATAATTAAGGAAAGATTCATTTCAGTGTGAAACCCATTTCTCTGTCACTCTATACTTTAAATGCCACAAGCATCTCATTTCTTCCTACAATATTGACCCTAAATCACACATTAAGGTCACAAGAAACTCTTGTTTGTAAAACAAATTCTTGTTGTCAGCACCTTAAGAAATGTAAAGAGAACAACAGTATGGAGAGTATGCATACTAATGTTTGGGTGTAAAACATTGAGCGAATAGCAGTACAATAAACAAAAGGTTTTTGATGAACCAGAGGTTGCATACTATCTCTCAGTTCTTTGACAAGAAAAAACTCCCACTTAAAATTTTCAAATAAAAATTTAAAAAATACAACAACAAAAAAGAAATAAGAAAAGAGAATTTACAGATAACTAAATTATTAATAAATAATGCAGACCTTCTGAAGAAAGATTCAAAGTTTGATAATCAGCATCACTGACTATGCTATCTTCATCCATATCAAGTCCTGTATCATAAATTATCGCCGTAAATTATGAAAAAAAACTGAAAGAAAAAAAAAGATGTTGCTAAAGTGAATATTAATCTCTATGAATTGGAATCTAGACATTGATAACTGAGAGGCCTGGACTGGGTACAAGCAGGGTGCAAATTAGTATATAGTACTTTAGTATATTACTGCTTAGGTATCTGTGCACATCTTTTTAGTAATCTGGCAAGCAAGTAAATAACAAGTTTATTTCTAGCTTTAAGAGAGTTCTAGTCTCCCTCCCATCCAGACAATCAAAAGTATTACATAAGAATTATTGTATCTTAATTAATCTCACTTGTGTTTGTTAATTATTCTGGATTACTGGATCGTTGGTTTACTGTATTTGTCAAATATCTTTTATGTAATAGTCTAGTGTGTTATTTACCTAGGATATATACATTTAATAGACTGTCTGGTCCCAAAACAAGCCTCTGTCTTTTGTGGCGTTTTAAGTGCACATGTACACTTACATGATAATGAAATATTTGGAAGTCAACACTCGCTTACTTACTCTCACCCATGCACTCTATCTGTAAAAAACACCACAGACTGATGACCTTGCTTAAAATGCCCTCTAATTGTACCTTTACAGCAACCAATGTTATTTTGTAAGAAAGACTTGTTTCTCATTGATCTCTCTAGTTTTGATTAGTACCCTAAGATTTCAATATCAAAAAAATATATATAAAATTATATAAATGTGGGGGTAGAGTCTACCTTGGCATAAAGTTCTCAATGCTGTGATAGCAGAGCTGAGTATATATAAGTGAAAGAATCAAAGAGGACACATTGATTCTCTGTTACCCTGAGTTTCGCGCCTAAGCGCTTGTCAGACAGAACTTTCTATATGTATGTGTCCTCTTTGATTCTTTCACTTATATATAAATTATATATATATATATATATATAAATTATATATATACATAAGTTAAAGAATTAAAGAGGACGCATCGATTCTCTGTGACTCTGAGTTTCACGCCTAAGCGCTTGTCAGACAGAACTTTTCTGAAAAAGAAAAGAAAAGTTCTGTCTGACAAGCCCTTAGGCACGAAACTCAGAGTCACAGAGAATCAATGCGTCCTCTTTAATTCTTTAACTTATGTATACTTAGCTCTGCTACCACAGCATTGAGCACTTTATGCCAAGGTAGACTCTACCCCCACATTTTTATATATATATATATATATATATATATATATATATATATATATGTATATATAATATATAATTATATATTTCAAAATATACACTGCACAGTAAGATTAACATGCAATGGAGACTTGTGGGACTGGGCTGAAGAGTCCATATAATCAAGAGTACAGATAATTTAAAGTATAAATAGTGATGAACCAAAAAACTGAATACAGATCAATTAAGCAATATCATCCTGATGCAAAAATTAAGGGCCATTCTCAAAGAGGTTTGGATAATCAAGGTTTGACTGTAGTTACATCATTTTGTGACACAAGTATTATATAATATTACTATAAACTTATGAATCTTTTTGGATTGACATCTTAGTTAAAAAGGAAACAATTCTCATCTTAATCCTGAAAAAAAGTTACCAGCATTCTTCCTCAAAAAAAAGAAAAAAGAAAAAAAACCCAATGTTGAATTAAGACCTTTGACAACTTAATCTAATTACTTCAGGCACACTTGCACCAGCATACAGTCGATTGCAAAAAGCTTGACACTTAGAAAAGAGTTTACAATAATAAAAGATGAGACCCTGTGGCTCCCTGGGTACACATACACACAACAGCCACCATTAGCAGGTGGTGAGTAAAGCTATCCACACTTTCTTGGAAGGAAAGGTTTACCATAACAAAGGTTTTTCGTAAATAGTGACAAAAGTGAATCACTAATTATATATCTACACAACCACTTCCCTTCAAGCATTTCAGCCTCATCATCCATGGATCATACTTTTTTGGGGCTCAACTTTTTTGTAATCAAGTGTGTAAAATAATATTCTAATTGTTCTGCAGAGAGATTTCAGTTTTTGCTGAAATCCGCATGATCACACAAAACACATAGAATCATAAAATCATTTAAAAAAATCAACATTTTTATTATCTTTCCCTCATATACACTTTAAAGTTTCTTTTGAATATTTATTATCAACAGTCCAGACACTGTTAATAATAACACCTATGTCTATCATTCCATATGTTCCTATTGAAAACTTGTCTGATAAGACAGCCAATCACAAACAGTAAAAACAGTATGTCAATATTATATTAAAATATGTGTCTACACCAGGATTTCACATAAATAAAGTCCAAGAGGGTATTAAGCACTTTGATACTTCACTCTTAAACTTTAGGATTTTTTCCTGAATGTTTTTTATTTGAGTGTTTCACACCAGGACAAGATCTGAGTTTTTAAAATAGAAAATGAAATCTAAGTTTGATGTGAAATGAATTTCCACAGCTGTCGGTCGTGGGACACTTGAACGCCAAACAAACAGACAGCTGTCACAAGCTGAATGCAAATGGTTTTATTTTCCTTTAAGCAAGAGCAAATCGAGACTTTTTGAAAATGAAATATAAAAACGTTGTTTGAGAATCAAAACACAAGAGTTTTATTTTCTAGAAGGAAACTGCGTACCAGAAAATGAAATGAATGCCGTCTATCTCATCGAAGACACCAGCAATATATATGTACTGACATCATTTTCTTATCTGTGAAGACAGTCGAATCTAACCCACAATTTTATCGTCCTTAACCGAACACAGTAATTCTACAAAGTGGATTATACGAAACTGGATTATAAGTTACACCGACTTCTTAAATCCACGGGCCGAAAGAGCCTTAAAACTTGAATATTCAATTTTTCCAACACAAACAAAAGAAGACACACGTTGTCGATCTTCCGCAACAAACGCTTACTGACACTTACCTTAAAAAAATCCCGTTTATTTAAAAAGTTTAGCCGGATCAAAAGTGGTCATACAAGGTTCAAGGTTCTGAGGAATCATTTCTTCGTCGGGGCAAAGAACACTACGTAAGGTCTGGCAGTTGACAAAACCTGTCTGGGACACTTATTTTGTAATGTGTGACACACAGCGAGTATTGACTTGATCACAACCACTGACATGACCGCGGGCTATGAGATATTTTCGCTGCGTGACAGAGACAATTAGCGTGACTTTTTTCTTAGCTATATGTCATGCAACCATGAGATTCAATCTTGTAATTTCTTCAGATCTAACTAGAAACTTAACCCTAACCCAGCCAGATCAAAAATGTCAAAAATCATCCCCATATTGAAGACAGACGATGAAACGAACCTAAGCAATATCTTTGTTATCTGATTTTAACAGAATTCCCTCTCTATATGGGTTGCGCGAGAAACACTCACCCAAGATGCAACTAAAAATATTGAAAACACTATTTAGAACAAAAAAAATTTGTTTTGATCTTGGGGTGAAAGGCATCGTGGTTTCCCAATGTAGTTGCCTATTGCTCTAGAAAGTTTGGTACTAAAAGAGCCGATCTCATCTCGCTGTTCGCCGACGCATTAATCCTACCCACAGGCGACACGAGGACGGGCGTCTTTTTTTATTTTATTTCAATTCTTTTTTCTTCTCATTTTTTCTAAGGGCCTTACGCGAAACGAAAAGCGATGCGTGACTTGCGCAAGTAAGTCACTCACCCAAGATGCAACTAAAAATATTGAAAACACTATTTAGAACAAAAAAAATTTGTTTTGATCTTGGGGTGAAAGGCATCGTGGTTTCCCAATGTAGTTGCCTATTGCTCTAGAAAGTTTGGTACTAAAAGAGCCGATCTCATCTCGCTGTTCGCCGACGCATTAATACTACCCACAGGCGACACGAGGACGGGCGTCTTTTTTATTTTATTTCAATTCTTTTTTCTTCTCATTTTTTCTAAGGGCCTTACGCGAAACGAAAAGCGATGCGTGACTTGCGCAAGTAAACAATTAAACAACATTACCTTCGGATTTAGCGAAACGTGACTCTCGCCTCGCAGCATATGGAGGTGTTGTGTTACGACCGTTTGGAACAAGGAAAAACGGATTCCTAATGTCTAGTTGGTCTTAAAATTTTATCGTCCTGTGATTTATATATGTCACCGTCATTTATTTCTAATAAACCTAATTTTCAATAGCCAGTATTGCATGTCAACACACGCATGGAATGGTCGGAAAACTATCTGTAAATAACTTGATGGAAATCGACATATCCCAAGACCTAGAAACCCCCTTCTCTGTTCCATTATTTTCTATTGCCTCATCACTTTGTTTTTTGTGGAGTTGTAAACAAACGCTTTTCATCGTATCTAAAAGACTAGACGTAAATTATGCAAAATAGTCCAACCGTATCTGAAATAACCTTCACAATATGCGGCTCTGTATCAGGACCTTTATTATATATTTTGTACATCTTTGTACTTAACTATTTTTTCGATCTTTAATCTCTCTTTATATTGCGGATTATCTGTTTGTAAGTCTCACCTAAACAAAATATCACTGTTACAGTAAACGTGCACTCCGTCTCATATATTTTGCATACATGTATGAATACACCATCCTTCTGCCGGTAAAGTTACACTTCTACCTCAACCCTTTTTGTATAGTAAAAATTTATCTGAATTGATTCATAATGTTAAAATTGCCTCAGATTCAATAAACATTTGTAGTTTATTTGCGGAAACATCTAAAGTTCATTTTACAACACACGTTTTTCTACTTCTGATAATATTTGTCTTAAAACCCCTAAACCTTATATTGTACAAAAAAGTGCTTTCTTAAGAATCGGCGTCACTGTGGAATGAAGTTCGACGCCCTTTCAGGGAGCTACGTACCGGAAAAAATCACTCAGATTTAAATTTGAAAATAAACTGCTTAGTATTTTCGAGAGAGAGAAAATTCCCTTTTCGACTTACACGAGAACATTCCAATGGTAAAACTTTCAAGTACTCAATAGTGGAGCTCGCAGAGCGTAGCCCCATAATTATACAAAATAGTAGTAACCCATCAAGCCGAAAAAATTTGGATGTACGACCGTACGACCGTATGACCGACCGTACAAGGTGCTACTTTTAGCATGCGCGGCCAACTGTACCACGGGCACTATCTTATAATCAGTCCTCTACACGGACACGGAGAAGTTGCGAATGAAAATCCATCAATATTACCAAGCACTTTATCCACTGTAGGGGCTTTAGTTTTGTTGAAGAGACGTGCGGGAAAAAAGAAATGCGAGCTCCGCTCTTAGGCTTGCCTAAAGCTATATACTAACGCCCATAAACTTGGCGACCATGACGGTTAAATATCACGTTTCCTGCCTTGCATCATTTCCAATTACTTGAGATCATTCTTTACGCATCTCTCATAAATTAATGCAGAGGCACTGCAGTTGAACTATTTACCTTCGAGTTTATGATTTACCAACTATATTTTCATTCTTGATTTTCTACGCGAGTGGTCCTCGTTAACATTACGAGTGATAATACTTCTAGATAAGACATTCTGGTGGTTTGTAACTAGCATTAAACACATCAATTGTGTTTAAAATGATTATGACAAGGAAAATTGGACCACACTTAACCTCTTAAGAAGATGAAGTTAAGGATTTATTTATGAATCCTATTACGTGAAGTACATTTGCTTCAAAGTCGGTCTGTGGCACAGTGGCGCATAGGACAATCTGATAGCTGATGAGGTTTGTAGACGAAGTAGGATGAACAGTTTTTTTTATAAAAATATTTGCAGAGAATTTGAAAATTTTGTAATTATTACTAAAGCATACCGTCCTGTAAACTTCACCATCTTCCACTGTAGGATGAGCACCACCCAACCAGCCTGACAATTTTGTACCACATCTTAATGATGGCACACCTGTGGTTGGCATTTTAGTTCCAGCAGTTCCCACAAAACGATACCATCCCTCAACGAGTATGTCGTTACACAAATAATGTGTTTGGTTTTCGGGAGTTACGTAACTGCTTTTTCTATCAGCATCTCTTAGATTCTTATAATGATAACAGTGGTCGGCTACAAAGTTCAAAAATTTTAAACGGAAATTTTAATTCTTATCGTTACGATTGTAACTTAACTGCAAGAATCTCATAGGGTGAAGGGTTTTAAAAGCTTCATAGGCTCCTCTGAAATTATTATAACTTAGCACGAGGCTTATGAATCATTTAAAAAATAATCGAGGGTAAAACCATTCTTTTTGTGAAAAGGAATTGATTACAATGGATTCGTGCTTCCTCTCAACAAAAGGCAAACCTTTTTTACAATATTTTCCTGTCCAACCAGATGAGTAACACACACACGTATAGTTCATCTCATGGCTCACACACTTTACATCGTTTTGGCACTGATGTTTTGACATTCATGTATGGCGGAAGAGCCCCCAAGGGGGAGCTATGCAATAAGGTAGTATGGGTGTATGCATGTATGTCTTGTACAAACCTTCTGTCTTCATGTCACAACCAGCTAAAATAGAGTTACCAGATCTGGTTGAATCCATCCAATAATTATTACCGCTGACCACCTTTCCTCCTTCACTCGCCTTGATCTCCTTGCACGATTCCGCAGGCAACTCACGAATTGATCCGAGGGGAACTGCATTGAAATGGCCCATTTTAGCGAAACGAGAGTAAGGAAGATTCATTGCTGACAGCGTAAATCCTTTAAATTTAGATTACCCATATTTTTTTTTTCATCACCTGAATGAATATGTGAAGTTTTTCATTTTAGTTAGGCCCACATTTCTAAATAAGTTGTAAACATGTATTGATGGTGTCGTCACAAGAAAGTTTGAAACTTGAAAATTATTTGTTATTCTCCTTTTAAGATGTGTATCAAAGTTTTGAAGTCATGGTAGGCTTAAACTACAGGATTATAGGAAATCTGCATTGAAGCCAGGATTGTGACTACGTGGAACGATTTTACTATTTTTGTGCAGATACATATGGTTGTTGTGAAAAGCTGTTATGCTGCAAAATTTTGTTAAGCCTCTTTCATTCGAACATTTTTTCTTAGAATGTTGTGAAATTGGCCTGCACTGAATTCTAATTTTTCTACCAAATTTTAGATTCTTTTGAATATTATTAGATCTCCTAGTATCAGTTATCAACAGGTCTTTTGAAAACTTTTCATAATTACGTGAATTGTGCAGATGTATTGTACATTAATTTTTCTCCTGGCCTTGTTCACAATTTATTATGTAGGACTTGGTATTATATTGGCCATAGATGTGCAGTCAAATTTAAGTTTTGTGCACAGCCATGCATCAAATTTTGGTAATAAAACATTGTATTCTTCCTTAAATTAGTGGATACGAATAGGAAAGAGTTTAGATTTACTTTGCTTGGAATGTTTAGGACTTACTCTATAGTTAGCAGTCTATAGACACTTCTGTAAAAATATGCGATAGACGATGCCCAGCGTCATATTGGGTACAGTTAAAGTTACGCACGCAGATCGAACTATCAGTTGAATGGCTTCCGCAGTCTTCTTATAGAACAATTTGAACACAAACGCCTCAGAGATCAATCTTTATTTTCCGATGTTCAGATGGCCAATTCAATGTTTCTTTCTTTGTCAGTAGCATCGATCCATCAAGGAGTGTTTTCAGTAGAAACGTAACTATTTGACTCACAAGGAGTACATTCAAAATAAAGGCTGTTATACAAATACAAGGCCAGAGCTATCACAATTGAGACTATCTTAGGTTTGGGTGTGTTGCTATGGTGACACTTAAAGACCGATGCAGCTTACGTTGTAATCTTGGCGTTCTATTTTATACTCGCGTGCTTAGCGCCTTCTAGAGGACAAAAGATGTTTTCAAAAGTCATTCTAATTGCAACGGCAGGGTCGGCGAATGTTGTTTTCAAAATCTCTCAAATTATTCTCATTCATGATTCATCATTTCAATGTTATTTTAGATCGAATAGAAAAACAAAATTTTGAAATGGGTCGAGTTTCATTTCTTTCTGTTGGTTTTGCCACAAGAGTAACTTTCGGAAAACATCTAAGGCGATAGAATATGAAAACTTTACAAATTTACATAAAAAAAATCTCGGGCATTTTAACACCTGCCAGTTTGAGTGAACGAATTCAGTCCCTATTTGACAGCATAGCTTTATGAATGAATCAGTTTCACTAGGATATCACAAAACTGTTAAAGGATAAAATCTACGATGTTCGATATATTTTTCAAAGTTTTGAAGAATTTATTTCTATATTTTAATTTCACGGTGGTCGTTGTAATCTTGTAACACTTATCCATCGTTGTTCGATGAAATACTCCAGTTAACTCATCAATTGTTTCAAAAGGAAGAGTTTCGGAGATGGATATTTTACCAGTGATAAATCCGCTATCACCTTGTACTGAAGTTAATAAGAAGATACTTATTAGGAGTATTTAGTGATAATGGAGGTGGTAAAGTATTATCTGAAATTCTCAAACTAATAAAATGGTTTGGTCATTAAGAGGTTGGCGTGATTGGAACATATATTGATATGATCACCCTGCGCAAGATGATATAGTGGGCAGCGCAGGGGGATCTTATGATATGTTCGCACAAAAAATAAACAAAATGAAAGAAAGTGATGTCGCTTTATCATCAGTCGGGACTTGACACTCAGACTGTAGTATTCACGTTTTGTATAAAACATAATAAAAGCACTAGCTTGACACGAACCAGAACTAACAGCCTAGAAAAATACGTATGATTACATCAGATGTCATTAATAAATCAGTTGTGGCATGACTGAGAACTAGAATGACAAGCAACTTTCGAAAATATTACAACAAGATATTTCTGAGGGAAAAGGAATATTTTGCATGTTAACTTGAACCCCGTAAAAAATTACTACCATTAATACATTATACATGGGTTTCTTTCAGGGGAAATCATAGCCTTATCATCTCGCTTCTGCGTCGCAATTGAACGACTTTCGCTCCTCAAGAAGCCGTTAAACAAGCCAGCAACAAAATTAATCATAATTTCCTTGATTGTGATTAGTTAAAAAAACCTTTTTTCCACTAACTGACGTGCCAAGTTGTTATCGGACATGGTTATTGAGTATTATCAATTGAGTTGATAACGTAAATTTGCCACCGTAAAGAATTAAAAGCTGACGTTTCGAGCGTTAGCCCTTCGTCAGAGCACTGTTATCAGACAGTTCAATAAGCCAATCACATTCAAATTTGTGTTAAAATCAATCAATTAATCAAACAGTTGAACAATTTACGCCTCCTTTGTCACTCTTTTGATGCAAATTTCCCCTTTTTTTCATAACTTGGCCAGTCAATCCTATGATTAAAGACCGAATTGGACCCTACTCGGTCCTTTCACCATTTCCAAAATAATTATTACAGATAGTTATTATTTTAACTAATTATAATTATGACTAAACTACGGTTGCATCAGGGTTCAAGTATCATCATTTCAACATGCCTTTTCATACCAAAAGGTTTTTATCCCAATAGTTCTAATAACAGTTTATTTCAACAGCGTAGGCTTGCTTTAGCAACAAAAGGATAAAAAACGACAAAACGTGACATTGATCATGGTCAGCCGTTGAGTTTTTTTCAAGACAGTGAGAAATGTTTAGTTACTAGTTGTATTTGGCCTTAACGAACAAAAACCCTCCAGAAGTCACCTGTGGATAAATCAAAATATTCTGCACCATTGATGTGGAAGTCGTCACATTCCCATCTTGAGCTCCCTTCAAGACGCCAGTGATATTTCCCATGGACATAAGCAACGACTCGATATCTGTTTTTTCCAAAATAAGAGTATCCCCACACTTTATTCCCCCATTGATTACAATCAACAGCTAACTTCGAGTTGTCATCCTTCATCCTCACAAACGAGCCACATGCTTTCGGATTGGCATCTGTCTGACCACTGAAGTATTGTACTACTGCTTCACCACTGCTGTTAGCAGCCGTGGTCAAATGGAGAGTGCGTCCCTTGTTTTTGCGGCAGTGGAATCTCAACTGAGTGAAAGACAAGTGTCTTCTCAGTTCCTTCATGGCATCTATCGTGAGTAACAACGACTTGTTATGACAATTGCTTATTTCACGGTATGATGACTCAAATGAATACCGTAGCGAGGATGGGTTGCCGACGACAACGTTGGAGACCAGAAGCCAACCTCCTGGAAAAACGAAAGGAAATAAAATGAAATTCTTTATTTTGCAAAGTAATATTGCATTCCATTTATTATAGAAGGACAGTTTGTGCAGAAGTAAAACAAAACCACCGTTATCGTTATTAGTTTTTCTTAAACATCCATTCCTTACCTCCATCGGTTGTCATATCACAGTAGACCTTTAAAAGGCTTCCGTTCTTCTTAAGAACGATCCAGTACTCTCCGTCTTTAAGATGGGAACTTGCGTTCCGAATTTCCTTACAAGAATGACCTGGTGGAAGAAATGCGGTTTTTTTCCTAAATAAAAAACGGCATAATCTTCCCACGAATGTGAGTTGATAAGGGAAGGCAGTCGCCATTTCTCACTTGTTGTTTTTCCTTGAGTTTCTTTTAATTCTAGAATTGCTTGACCAGAAACGAAACGCATCCTTATTAGTTTTAGGTAAGTATGTGTGACAATATCAGTCACAAGCGATAAAATGATGATTGTTGTTCAAAAGTGCATAATTCTTGCGCGATTTGTGGAACAATAAAAAAAAAAGGAATACTCAACTAGTGTAGTAGTCAAAATGTAAAATCGTGCGCTGTAATTTCTAGCTTATCCTTCTAACAACGTCTCCACACAAAGTGGTTTACATCCTTACTTGTACTTATGCAGCTGTTTCTTCCGTCTCCAATTAATTCTGGTCTGCATGTGCAGTTGTAAGAACCCACAGTGTTATCACAAATGGCGTTAGGATCACAACCATGTAGACCTTCCACGCATTCGTTGACATCTGTGGATAAGCATATCCTTAATTAGGCATTCCTTATCTTCTTTGTTTAACATGCTCCTAAAAATGGGAAACGATTTTAACAAAAGGCAAACCTTTTTCACAATATTTTCCTGTCCAACCAGGTGAGTTACACGCACACTTGTAGTTCGTCTCACGGTTCACACACTTTGCATTGTTTTGGCACTGGTGTTTGACACAATAATCTGCAACTAGGGACAAAGAAAATCGATTAAGTAAAGTCCTCTCATTGGCACAGCAACTACACGCTAAGAACCATGTCCTGTACAAACCTTCAGTCTTCATGTCACAGCCAGCTAAAATAGAGTTACCAGATCTGGTTGAATCCATCCAATAATTATTACCGCTGACCGCCTTTCCTCCTTCACTCGCCTTGATTTCCTTGCACGATTCCGCGGGCAACTCCCGAATTGATCCGAGAGGAACTGCAATTGAAGCGATTGATGTTAGCAGAATAAGAGTAAGAAAGATTCATTGCTGACAGCGTAAAATCCTCACCTCGTTTTGGACCTTTCGCCATGTAATATCTGTCCTTGTTTTTGACAAAGTCCTCTGGTCTGGCCTCTTTAGTTCGGTTGTTTAATTCGCATATTGCAATAAACATAGCAACGTTGTAGCTTTGACATTTGATATCAGCAAGACAAGCTTCTCTGCATTCTAGAGTACCCGGTGCAGTCTTGAACGACTTGTAAGTGTGGCCCTTGAGCATCATTTGGTAAATGGAGTATAGGTCGCCGCCGGCTACACACTGCTGACTGGCATTGTCACGGAACAGTTGAGAAATGAAAAGTAGCACGATAAAAAATGAAGCTTGTCGACCAGTCACGAGAAGCATATCAGATTTAAGACACCTGCGAAAACAAGATGAACGCTGTTTATTGGTAACGTTTGAGTTAAAGACATTTTTGGGAAAAAATATCTTGATAGGTTATTAAAGAAAAACGAAATTTTGTCGCTTTTAAGTCTGCCTTTCCTCCCTCTCCTTTGAAGTCTTAATCTTTTCTGATCAGTTTGCGGGAAAAAATGAGAAACTGTGTGAAAACGTCAGTTACTTTTGACAGCTTGTAAATGACTTTTAGTATATTGGTAATAACATTATTGCTAGTGCAATTTGCTGTAAATAAGCACGAGTATATTTTTTCTATGAAAACAAAACCACTGAAGCTCGTAAGGCGAGTACAATTTGTAGTCTAAAAAATTTACATTTCTTGAAATTAAGAGACTCACCTGTTTTGTCAGCCATTCAAAATTGCTTTTAAAAATTGGTGATGAGAAAATGCTACCTTTATATGAATTTGGGCTTCGCGCGTAAGAAAAGATCGTTCACAGTTATACATTGTAACGTCCGGTGAGAACTTAAGTATCTAAAGTTTCCTTTAATTTTGGGACTTATTATACTTTTTCGGGAAAAAGAGATCTGCAATTGAGGAGGCAAGGGTTTTGGCTTACATTTTTGAGACGTGCTTCAATTGTAACTTGAAAAAGAGATTGTATAATACACTGCGGAACAGTTATACGTATACCTGGGTGAAAGTACTCGTTGTTTCTTAGACAGACTCCGACTGGTCTTCTCTTGAGGTGAAGCACCTTTGTTCAGAGTAGGTTGCCAACGGCCAACTGAAGATGAAAGGTTGTTTAGAGAGAATTATAGATAATAGTTAATTAGCCACTATCCTTAATTCCTTACATTGGTGCATCTTTGTTGGATTAGTGGGGTGCTATGGTAGACAAATAAAGTTTACTCCTACTGAACGTTGTTGTGTTTTATGGCCCATTGGAGCTGAATTGATGTTCACGAGAGAATTATATCACACCAGGGACAAACTCTTAGTAGATAAATAGCAATCGTTCGTCTTCCTTACAGGGGGGATCTTTGTTGGCTCAGAGGGAATCTATGGGAGACGGTTGAATTTTTTGCCTTTTTTGTTTTCAATATAGATACCGTTGTGTTTAATTTTGATAAACTAGATTAGGCTGCCAGCAAGCGGAATCCAAATTCCAATTTAGATCCATATATATGAAAAACTTACTCTCGCATTTTAATACCATGCGCCAGGTGGAAAGGAGAAGCGTGGTATCCGTGTCGCCATTATGAGAAGCTTATTGAAAGCTTTTCTTTTTGGTGAAATAAAATGATTACTTCCCGTCTACGTTTACCATAGCAAGTAGATAAAACAATGAACTGAGGAAATAAGTTATTGGCTTGACTCAGTGCTTAATTGCCATATTTATCCATCGTTGTTCGATGATATATTCCAGTTAAGTCATTAATTGTTACAAAAGGAAGAGTTCCTGAGATTTTATTTAGATTCCTGAGATTTTATTGGTAATAAATCCTTTCTCGCCTCGTACTGAATTTTCCACGATTTGTTCCTAAAGAAGATACTTATTAGGAGTACTTAGTGATAATAGAACAGGTAGAGTATTGTCTAAAATTTTCCATCTAATAAAATGATTTTGATGATTACGGTGATGGCGTGATTGCAACATATATTGCTATGATCACCCTGCGCAAGATGATATAGTGGGCAATGCAGGGGGATCTCATGATATATTCGCACAAAAAAGATACATAATAAAAGAAAGTGAATTTGCTTTATCATCAGCAAGGACTTGACACTTAGACTGTAGTATTCACGTTTTGTATAAAACATGAATTTTTATTGATCGCTTATCGAGAGATAATAGGAGCACTAGCTTGACACGAGGTAGAACTAACGGACTAGAACATTACGTATGATTACATCAGATTTCATTAATAAATCAGTTGTGGCATCACTGAGAATGACAAACAACTTTCGAAAATATTGCAGCAAGATATTTATGAGGGTCAAGGAATATTTTGCACGTTAACTTGACTCCCGTAAAAAATTACTACCATTAATAAATTCTGTTTTGAATTTCGCGCTGGAGAAATCATAACCTTATCATCTCGCTATTGTGTCGCAATTAAAACGACTTTCGCTTCTCAAGAAACAAGCCAATAACGGAATTAATCGTAATTTCTTCGATTGTAACAAGTTAAAAAACCCTATTTTCCATTAACTTACGTGCCAAGTTATTATCGTACAGGGTTATTGAGTATTATCAATTGAGTTGATGACGTAAATTTGACACCATAAAGAGTTTAAAAGCTGACGTCTCGAGCGTTAGCCCTTCGTCAAAGCACAGTTCAATGAGCCAATCACATTCAAAGTTGTAGTTTAAATCAATCAATTATATCAAACAGCTGAACAATTTACGCCTCCTTTGTCAGTCTTTTAATGTAAATTTCTCTTTCCTTCTTAACTTAGCTACTCACTCTTATGACTACAGACCGAATTGGACTCCACTCAGTCCTTTCACCGTTTCCTAAATAAGTTTTACAGATAATCATTTTTTAACTAACTATAAATATGACTAAACTACGGTTGCATCGGGGTTCAAGTATCATCATTTCAACATGCCAAAAATTGCGCATAGTTTTTTCCCGATAGTTCTAATGACAGTTTGTTTTAACAGTGGAGGCTTGCTTTAGCAACAAAAAGGATAAAAAACGACAAAACGTGACACTGATCTAGGTCAGCCGTTGAATATTTTTCAATACAGTGAGAGCTGTTTAGTTACTTATTGTATTTGGCCTTAACGAACAAAAACCCTCCAGAAGTCACCTGTGGACAATCCAAAATGTTCTGTATCATTGTTGATTAAGTCGTCACATTCCCATCTTGAGCTCCCTTTTAAAAACCAGCGATATTTCCCGTGGACACGAGCAACGAACAGATTTCTCCTTTTTCCTTTAAAAGGGTATCCCCACTGTTTATCACCCCATTGATTACAATCAGCAGCTAACTTCGAGTTGTCATCATTCATCCTCACAAACGAGCCACACGCTTTCGGATTGGCATCTGTCTGACCACTGAAGTATTGTACTACTGCTTCACCACTGCTGTTAGCAGCCGTGGTCAAATGGAAAGTACGTCCCTTGTTTTTGCGGCAGTGGAATCTCAACTGAGTGAAAGACAAGTGTGTTCTCAGTTCCTTCATGGCATCTGTCGTGAGTAACAAGGACTTGTTGTGACATTTACTTATTTCATGGTATGATGATTCCTCTGAAAACTGTAGCAAAGATAGGTTGTCGACGACAACGTTGGAGACCAGAAGCCAACCTCCTGGAAAAAAGAAATGAAATGAAATGAAATTGTTTATTTTGCAAAATAATATTGCATTCCATTAATTATAGAAGGACAGTTTGTACAGAAGTAAAACAAAACCACTGTTATCGTTATTAGTTTTTCTTAAACATCCATTCCTTACCTCCATCGGTTATCATATCACAGTAGACCTTTAAAAGGCTTCCGTTCTTCTTAAGAGCGATCCAGTACTCTCCGTCTTTAAGATGGGAACTTGCGTTCCGAATTTCCTCACAAGAATGACCTGAAGAAGGAGATTCGGTTTTTTCCTAGATGAAAAGCATAATCTTCCCACCAATGTGAGTCAACTGATTAGTAATTATTGTTAATATGCTGCTCTTCGTTTGTAGAGAAATATTCTTTCGGACTTTACATGCACATGATAAGGGAAGGTAGTCGCCATTTCCCAACTGTTGTTTTTCCTTGAGTTTCTTTTAATTCTATAATTCCTTGACCAGAAACGAAACGCATCCTGATTGGTTTTAGGTAAGTATGTGTGACAATATCAGTGACGAGCAATAAAATGATGATTGTTGTTCAAAAGTGCATAATTCTTGCGCGATTTGTGAAACAAACAAAAAAAAAGAAATACTCAAATAGTGTAGAAGTCAAATGTACAATCGTACGCAGTAATTTTTAGCTTATCCCTCTAACAACCTCTCCACACAAAGTGGTTTACATCCTTACTTGTACTTATGCAGCTGTTTCTTCCGTCTCCAATTAATCCTGGTCTGCATGTGCAGTTGTAAGAACCCACAGTGTTATCACAAATGGCGTTGGGATCACAACCATGTAGACCTTCCACACATTCGTTGACATCTGTAGATAAGCATATCCTTAATTAAGCATTCCTTATCTTCTTTGTTTAACATGCTCCTAAAAATGGGAAACGATTTTAACAAAAGGCAAACCTTTTTCACAATATTTTCCTGTCCAACCAGGTGAGTTACACGCACACTTGTAGTTCGTCTCACGGTTCACACACTTTGCATTGTTTTGGCACTGGTGTTTGACACAATAATCTGCAACTAGGGACAAAGAAGATCGATTAAGTAAAGTCCTCTCATTGGCACAGCAACTACACGCTAAGAACCATGTCCTGTACAAACCTTCAGTCTTCATGTCACAGCCAGCTAAAATAGAGTTACCAGATCTGGTTGAATCCATCCAATAATTATTACCGCTGACCGCCTTTCCTCCTTCACTCGCCTTGATTTCCTTGCACGATTCCGCGGGCAACTCCCGAATTGATCCGAGAGGAACTGCAATTGAAGCGATTGATGTTAGCAGAATAAGAATAAGAAAGATTCATTGCTGACAGCGTAAAATCCTCACCTCGTTTTGGACCTTTCGCCATGTAATATCTGTCCTTGTTTTTGACAAAGTCCTCTGGTCTGGCCTCTTTAGTTCGGTTGTTTAATTCGCATATTGCAATGAACATAGCAACGTTGTAGCTTTGACATTTGACATCAGCAAGACAAGCTTCTCTGCATTCTAGAGTACCCGATGCAGTCTTGAACGACTTGTAAGTGTGGCCCTTGAGCATCATTTGGTAAATGGAGTATAGGTCGCCGCCGGCTACACACTGCTGACTGGCATTGTCACGGAACAGTTGAGAAATGAAAAGTAGCACGATAAAAAATGAAGCTTGTCGACCAGCCAC